ACAACTCACTCAAGTTTGGTGTTTTTCAATCAGGCAAGAGTTTAGCATAAAGGTGCTGAAATTTTGATTTCGAACATATGATACCTATCCCAATATTTTAGCAACTGTTTTCCATCATGGCGTTTTCCTAACTGATAATGGTCACCTGTGTATTTTTCTGGCCCTCGAGTCTTATTAGTGAGTGCTGCAGAGAACATTTTTAGAGCTGGAGTTGACTACAGGCCCTGCTTTTTGTGCTCCCACTCCCCAGGAGACACTTTATAGAAAGTGGCCCACAGGTTGGGAATAACTGGTCCATTGAACTCATTAAACTGATTTCAGCGCTAATATTTCTGTAAATATCCAAGAGTTCTTTTCCTGTTTGGCATTCTTTGTTGGTGTGGGTATGAGGCTACTTTAGTAAGTGGATAGAAAATGGAACTTAAGGAGAAGTTTATTTTGATACAAACATATTTGAAACCCATGCATAGTTTTTTTTCAAATAAGTTTCCATGAACTTTTTGTTCCTAATATGCACCAAATAAATTTGCATCAAAATAAACCTATTGTTTAATTCCATTTTCTGAGAACTTTTTGAATTGTATTCATATGTGTATGTGTTCACATAAGTGGTGTAGGCAGAAGTTGCTTGTGTGCGAAAAGAGAATTTATTGTAAATTTACAAAGTTAGCAGTATGAAAATGTTTTCTGATATACATAAGAAGAAACAATTATTACTCCTAAGTAGATAATCTCAATAATATTTATCTTAGTAATAACTTAGAGTACTCATAATTATATTAATTATATTATATAATTAATAGCTAAGAACTAAGATCTACTACTTTCATATCACTTTAAGTGTATTGTTATGCATTCAGAAATAAAATAATTTTTTAAGCCTTGGTTTTAGAAAATCTTAGAGAAGAGTATGTTGAACATAGTTACTTAGTAGGACTTTTAATTTTCTTGATGCTGGGGAAGGAATTAAAAATGAACCATTTGTGTTATATTTTCTTGGATAAAATGTATCTTGAGAAATTTAAACATTACAGATTTTTAACAAAACGTGCAGGATGGGAGGGGTGAGAAGAAGGGAAAGACTTATGACCTTCGAGCCTTTTTCCTGAATGTGTCTGATTTCCTGTTGCCGCTGAATCTCGCGGCTTAGACTCTCTTTACGGGTGCAACCCATGTGGATGATGACACACCTGATGCTAGAAAGCTTAAGAGACATCTGCTTCTCTCGTCTCTGTCTAACAGCCTCCTCTTTCTCTCTCCAACCTGTCTCTCCCCCTGCTTCCTTGTGCTTCCATCTCTCCCTGCGTAGCCATGCCAAAGTCAATGGTCGCGTGTATCTAATAATCAATAGGTGGGTACTTCCATGTTTTCTGTCTTCTTTGTTTTAAAGCTGTTTCTTGGTGTGTTAAACTCTTGACTGCTTTATAAACGAAAAGTGGTGTCACCGGATAGTGGACGATGGTCTCCAGGTACGCTCATGGATGTGTTCTGCAAACCAAGCCATTCGGTGCTTGCACTGGATGGTGCTGTCGAGTGGGTGTGGAGGTTGCCCAGGGTCTTCAGCTGCTGCTCAGCCTCTGGTCTTGGACCCAGCTTGTGCCCCTTCATTTCATGCTTTGGCGGAGCAAGTTCAAGGCGTGCCTGAGAGTTCATTACTCTCTTGAATATATCATTGGAGCTCAGCGTAAGAACCTCCTCCTCCACACCCCTCCCATAAATGCCAACATCCTGCTGAAAGGTTTTGCCCTCCCTCTGACTCCCATGGCACTTTGTCATCGCTGCTGTCCTGACACTTGCCTTCCAGTGCTCCATCCCCTGCTCGTCCTTTTTTTTTTTCCCCTTGCTAGAGGCATAAGCTCCTCAGGCCTGGGCTCCCTGAATAATTCACTTAGATGTCCCCTTATCACCTACCCCAGGGCCTTACCCACTAGTTGACATTCAACAGATATTTACTGAATGAGGTGAAAATAGTTACAACAATACATGGCTTCAGAAAACATCAATTCTTCAACTACATCTGGACTTGAAAGGTTGACTCACTATTGTAGAACATTTTCATCACCAGATTTTATGTTTGCATGCCCTGGAAAGACCAAAGATGGCACAGGAGGCAGAACTTCTAGAAGGAGGTGTGAAGATTATAATGGGTCACTGTGTAGACTACGGATGCAGGAGGAAGGACTGAGTGGTCTCTTTAGGGGAACCAGTTTTGTAGACAGCTGGGAGAGAAAAAGCCAGCCTTGGGCTTTCAGCAGATCGGCAGAGAACAGAGTCAAGCTGCAGATCTTGAGCAACTAGTTGAATCCCATCCCTCCAAACATAGGCACTGGCTCTCTTTTGATTGGTCTGTGTTTCCTCTGCAAGCATGAACATTTGCTTTGTGTGGAGATGGCTGTGATGGGGAAAGAGTCAGGGGTTGGTTGGTCGGACTCTCTCTGCAGTGACTGACGCACGCTGTGGTCCCCATAGTCCCAGTCTCACCTCATGAGATGTTGCTGTCTATCACCCCAAATCACAAGGCCAATGAGCTCACCCCAAAGTGCTTCGACTCAAGGGTCAAAGCTACCCCAAATGAGTCAAAACTGGAAGCACTCTAGTTGTAGTGCTATCTTTTTTTTCTAGTGAAATCTTTTGCTTTTGTACAAATTTTACCATGCTAAGAGAGACCAGAGCCCTGTCTCAAAGAAGACATCATTAAAGAAACGTGTCTCTTGCTTTATAACATAAGCTTTGGAAATGCTGCATGTGAAGTGTGTGCCCACTTTTAATAGGACCTATTATTAATTAGAATGAAGGCAGGAATCATTTATAAATTAAACTTCTTTCTCCCATAGCTTATTTCTTTAGGCTCAGTGTTGTTTTATAAGGAGAATAATGTGCTTGGATATGTTCATTCTGGACCAAAAGAGGAGGCACACCTACATATAATTCAAATTAGGATTTGACTGAAACTTAGCTATTACCTCTCAAGGTATAGGACAGGAAAGTGTACTGACTACAGAAGGTCAATTTTAATAATATGAGTGATTGTGAGGAAGTTCCAATTGACTTAATAAGCAATACAAATTAGAATATTTTAACAGGAGTATTGTTTATTTCCTCACATATACAGATATAGGAGCCAATGTATTCAATCCATGACTAGTAGACTGTTTGGGAGGAATTACTAACACATATCTGGATGTGACATTAAATCCACAATCAATGGCACACATGTAAACATCAAAAGTGCTGAATTCTAGAAAATAATTCATTTGCCATAGTTTATTATAAGTAATGTAGCACTGGATATTGCTTATAAATACTACAAGTTTTCAAGAGAATTCCTTTTCTAGTATTTTCATGAATGCATGAGCTGAATGCAGTTTACACAGCCACATATTCCAAATCAAAATACTAAAAATAAATGGAATTTAGACTAAGGAGATTTTACCACAGTAGCATGTCCATTTTCTTTCATGGAAACTGACTATTACATTTTTCACAGTCAAATCCTAGTACAGAATTAAACCTCATAAAGGCATTGTGCAATTCATGTCTTCTGTTGCAAAAACACTGCTTCTCTGGTACACAGAATGTCTTCATCCAACTCCATGGCTCATGATGTACACGAAGCACCATAGCATATTTTGCAAGGGAGGATGGTATAGGAAGACGGGATTTCTGCCATCAAGAGCAACGTGCCCAGAACATGTGCAGGAAATGAAATGATGCAGGCACACGTGGGGAAGGGTGCACACTGAAAACTTTCAGAGCCATAGGAACACAGTGGAAAGAGCAGAGGAATAAATGCCAGAGTCTTCAGTCTTCACACAGTTCATGGAACACGTATCTTGTGAAAAAATGATGCGTGGTCTTCAATTCCTTTTTGCACCAAAATAAACTTATCTTTTAACTTCATTGCTCCACAAACCCTTGAAGATCCTTGTAAATGTCACTTGTTTCATCAGAGCACGGAAGGAGAGAACTAATGTACTTAAGAAATAGATAAGGCCAGTGCCACGGCTCACTAGGCTAATCATCTGCCTGCGGCGCCGGCACACCGGGTTCTAGTCCCGATCGGGGCGCCGGATTCTGTCCCTGTTGCTCCTCTTTCAGTCCAGCTCTCTGCTATGGCCTGGGAAGGCAGTGGAGGATGGCCCAAGTGCTTGGGCCCTGCACCCGCATGGGAGACCAGGAAGAAGCACCTGGCTCCTGGCTTCAGATGGCGCAGCGCACTGGCCATAGCAGCCATTTGAGGGGTGAACCAACGGAAAAAAGGAACACCTTTCTCTCTGTCTCTCTCTCTCTCTCTGTCTAACTCTGCCTGGAAAGAAAGAGAGAAAGAGAGAAAGAGAAAGAAGAGAGAGAAATAGATGGTGAGAGAGTTAGAGCTCAGAGTCTAATACAGAAAAAACAAACAAACAAACAAACAAGGAAGCCAAATTGTAAGTGACATTGAAAATGAACTATCTGTGGAGAAAGGGGGTCCCACACAGTGCGCTGCAAGGAACTGGCGGAGGGGCATTCATGAAAATACTAGTGAGTTCACCACCATGTCTATCCGGAGCCCCCAAATAAAATTCCTTCACCTGCTTGTTAGATCATTGCCATGCGCTGACCAGTGAAGGATGACAAGTAGTGAGAGTTCCCAAGCTTGAAGGTCAGGGAATGTTAGTTTTTGGAAAAATCAAGATCCTGTTCTAAAGCTTTACTTGAAGATAGGGAACAGAAGCTGAGATAAGGCGCCCAGGCTTTCCTGGAGCCCAGGCAGCTGCTCACTCCAGCCAAGTGCAGCTCCTCCTGCCTTGGGATCTGCATCTGAGCAGCTCCAGCTCGGCAGCTGCCCCGCCCCTTCCGGAAGTGCAGTGATCAGAAGTTAGACACAGAGAGCAGAGTGGACAGGAAGAGAGATTATCAGGAGATGGTGTCCCGAGGGAGAGACGGCTGCCCTGTTTCTCTGTTACATAAGAATATGAAAGAAAAAGAACGTGTTCTCCACAAATTACCGTCTAACTTTAGCACCCTCCCTGTTGCCATCACTGTGTGGCCCACAGCAAGAAGAGGTTACTCAGCCTGCATTTCATTAGGATGGATTCATGATACTTCTTATCAAAGCCTCCTATTCGAAGATGGTTCCTGACTTTAAAACATTTCCTGTGTAACTAAGCATTGTGCTAAGCATTTAACAGCAACCACCTTAATTTTCACAATATGCTGTCAAGTCATCACTATTATTTCCATCTCACAGATCAGCAAATTGAGACTTAACAGGTTAACTAGTTTTGCCATGTCACCTTGCTAGTAAATTGCCTGGTCGGGACTCAAACACAAGTCTTCCTGATTCCAAAGCGCTTACTTTTAATATTCTTCTCTGTTACCTATAACAGCTATAATACAATACCTATATTATAATACCTGTAACTGTTAGAACAAAAATTTTAAAAAGTGAAAGAAAAATGAAAGGATTCATATTGGTGTCTTTTTAAACCCTTCACTCCCATCATAATTTAAAATATTTTTGTCTACACATGATACACACAGATTTTCATGATTGTATCATGCAAAGTATACTGCACTGAACTTGACTAGTAAGAGCCAGCCTGGTACATGTCTTCTCTCTCTTTCTTCCTTTCTTTCATTCTTTCTTTCGTTCTTTCCTTCTTTCCTTCCTTCTTTCCTTCCTTCTTTCCTTCCTTCCTTCCTTCCTTCCTTCCTTCCTTCCTTCCTTCCTTCCTTCCTTCCTTCCTTCCTTCTTTTTTTCTCTCTGTCATCCATTGCACACTTCTGAGGTTAGACTGGCCACAGGATGTCTGGGTGGCACCTGCCCTGTTCCTTGCAAGGATGAGGTTAGAGAGCAGTGGGCAGCGTTCAGTGTGGAGTTTCACTTGTCCTCCCTCCCCAGTCTTTCCTAGAGGCCAGACTTCCTATAGATTATGACAAGGTTCTAAAAGTAGGTCTTCTGGCTCTGGTTCCAAAGGGCGCACTCAGGTGTTCTCCTGTGAGTCCTTCATTCAACAACCTCCCCTCAGTGCGCCATGCTTGTGGCACAATGGTGTGGGGACGTTTTGTTACACAGCCACCGCAGCAGCTTCAGGAATTGCCTCATTGCTGGGGGTTGCCCTCCATACATAGCAGGGATATTAGAGGGTTGTGTGCTTCCAGATTCCTTAAGCTAAGGATAAGTAGCATCTCTTACACAATGCAATCCTCGGGCAAAAACACATATTAATGAGCCCATGTGTAGTCACACTTAGTATCAGTGTCCCGATAAGGCAGGAACAGCAGGAACATCCTGAGATTGGATGTGCAGTGCTAATGGAGATGCCACAGTATTGTAATTTCAAGAGTGGTTAACTTCCCTAAAGTCAGGAAGGTACATGGACTAGCTTAAGCAAATAAATTAATTTGTCAGCATAATTCCTTTCACCAAAGCTGAACTCTCCCCAAACATTCTTTCTGCATTAAATTAGCACTTGGTTTCTGGCATTCATTCTGCAAAGAACCTGTGTATCACCTTGTTGAAGAGAATTCCTTTTGAATGATAGGCCCACTAAACGCCTAAACACAGTATGCATACAATTCCCCAAATAGTAGGCATGTTTTCACATGGAAAATCAACCACCTGCAAGTAAGTTTAGATTTAATCTAGCCACACTTCTCCATCCAATAGAAAAATCAACTAAACTCCACAAAGATTAAATAATTTACTGAGAGTTCACATTGTACAGATATTGTAATATTAGTTGTCCATTCTGTCACAACCAGGCTGAAATGTATGGACTAATTATTGCAAATAGAAAAGATCACAGCATTTCCAGGAGTATTTTCCTAATATGTACTTTTGTTACCCACAATCTACTTTGAAACATTTATTTGATGTTTGAGTACTGGCTACCCTTATCCTGATCTTATCATTACTCATGGTACACAAGGATTGAAATATGCACCTTGATTATATATCAGTGAAACATTCTAAAAATATTTTGAATATGGATAAAATAAGTGCTTTTAAAAAATGTGATCATTGTCTACTCTGCAAAATACGGCAGTATCGTAGGTTGCTGTTGGGCTTGATGGAAATCTCCGTCCGTGCACTCTCGCTATGGCTCAGGCTCCCACGGTCTCCCCACAGCTGTCAGTCAACTGTCTGCATCAGTCAGCCCCCTACACGGAATGTGGTACAGGCATCCCAAAAGTGTTTAGCTCCCTTGGCACATGCTTTAGAAGACAGGCAGAGCCGGATTAGTCTACACAGAGGGTTGGCTGAAAGCACCACTGATTTCAGAATTTTAAAAAACAGCGTTTAAAATGTGAATGACTTGATTCTTGCGAGATGGTTTGTTGCGTTACTAAGAAAGCATGAGATAATTTGCCTCAGTATCTCTGTGTCCTCCTCTCCTTTACAAACCTGCAATCCTCTCCACTCTCAGATCAGTTGCCAAGCCTCAGGCTCATAGCAAAAGCACGCTATTGAGGCCGTCCTGGAATGCACTTGGCCTTAGCACACAGGAATGCAATAGTGGATGAAATGTAGCATGATATGTGATCTCTGACAGTCCTTATAATTTCTCTGTTCTCATCTCCTTTTTTTCCTTTCTATTTCAATTACTTTGAGCAGCATCAAGAAAAAATTACCAATCCACCAAAATGAGTAAGTCCCCCTGTGAAGCCATGAAATGCTTGCTCTACACGATGCCATTTCATGCTTCTGCATCCTAAACTCTGACCATTTTCTCCTCCGGGAAAAATGTCAAGTTTAGGTGTCAAGAGCTCTCATTACTGACTGATCACTGAAATTGGAATTAGAAAAGCTAACCAAACCTAACTGAGTTGACAGTTTGTTTTTAGAAAGAGCTTGAAACCAACCAACAAACAAAACGTGGCAAGATGCTAACACCCCACCTTGCAAGGTCTTTGCACATGCTCTGGTTTTTGTTTTTTGTTTCCCCTCTTTTTACCTGCCCCTCACTCCACACTCTCCTGACACCCTTTCCCCGGCTGACTCGGCTGCTATCTGCCAACAGATTGGCCCACCCAGAAGGAAGTCTTCCAGACCTTGCAGCCATGAACTTCACTGCCAGCCTGGAGAAGCCAGAAGTGAAGAAGTTGACTGAACTTGCAGAGGAGAAGCCAGAGGGGTGCTTGGAGAAGGGTGAGCCTGGGAAAGACAGCGAGGAGTCGGAGGTGGAGGAAGATGAAGAGGAGGAATCCGAGGAGGAGGAAGAAACATCAGGTAATGAGCCTGTGACCCGGCAGCTGCTCCCAAGGAGCTGGCTGCTTGAATGAGTGAAGGAAGCACTGGACTTGTTCCAAAGGAATGCATGAATAGGTGACCCGGGCAGGGACATAAAAGTTGGAGGCAGTTCTGCTGTTATTGTTGCTCTCCTTGTATTTATTCCTGTCCAGTTATTCCAGTAGCACCAGTGCTGAGTGAGGAGAGGAGAGAGGATGGCTGGTTGGTCAATTCCTGGCCCAAGCATAGGCTCCTGTGAAGCCACCAAAGGGCTGTGTCCATCAGAAACCTCTCCGGGGAGGTGGGGGGCGGGGCATTCCTACCAGAAGCAGAAGCAGGCTTTGGGGCACAATCTCTGAAAATCAGAAACAGGCTGTTGTGCACGACATCTCTAGATGTTGCCTGGCTCTAGATGTTGCCTGGCCCAAGCCTTTCTCAGAGGACACCATTCAGAGGCCCCTCTAGGAAAACGCTCATCAAGAAAATATGTGGCAGTCTCGCCATGCTCTAATGCTTAAGGGCCCAAGGGCCCGAGGAGAAAGCGATTATCATTTCGAGCCAACTGCTACAGATGTATTTGTCACCATTGCCTTATTTAGGGGTATTTTCTTCTCTCTCTCTCTCTCTCTCTCTCTCTCTCTCTCTCTCTCTCCCCCTCTGTGGTCGGGAGAGGGGGCTGTGCTTTTGTTTTGTACACTTCTCCCTAGACCTGAAATAATGTTGTGATGATGGCGTGATGAGAACTGAACAGCTTTGGTGGGCTGGAAGAGTTCTCAGAGAGACTAGAAAAGGCAGAGGGTTCAGTCCATCTAGTCCATCTAGCAGCCCCCAGAAAGGAGAGGAGACAGCAGGAGGCACAGCTCCTGGGTCGTCTCCTGGTGCTGCAACATCAGAGTGCTGCCCGGACTTTTTTTTTTTTTTTTTTTTTTTTTTTTTTTTTGACAGGCAGAGTAGACAGTGAGAGAGAGAGAGAGAGACAGAGAGAAAGGTCTTCCTTTGCCATTGGTTCACCCTCCAATGGCTACCGCGGCTGGCGTGCTGAGGCCGGCGCACCACGCTGATCCGATGGCAGGAGCCAGGTACTTATCCTGGTCTCCCATGGGGTAAACAGCCCAAGTACTTGGGCCATCCTCCACTGCACTCCCTGGCCACAGCAGAGAGCTGGCCTGGAAGAGGGGCAACCAGGACAGAATCCGGCACCCCGACTGGGACTAGAACCTGGTGTGCCGGCACCACAGGCGGAGGATTAGCCTAGTGAGCCGCAGCGCTGGTCTACCCCGGACTTCGCTCTTCCCCTCTCCTATATCACAGGAGGAAACTAAAAAGCGTCTGGGGTGGAGAGTCCCTCCTCATGCACACTCCCAAACCTGGCCGTTTTCTCCCAACTCAACCTCAGAAGCTCCAAGAGGAGAACCAGAAATCTTCTCTTCACATCTGAGCAGCGGGTCTTCTCCAGTGTTAAGGGGACAGCCCAGCTCCGTGAGACCAAGGGGTTAAGGCGAGGATTTTATTGTATCGCTTCACGCTGGATTTTGAGCTTCACTATTAGAGTCTCACCAAACCTTGCACTGTGTCTTATTCTTTCACTCCTTGCCCACATGCCTTCTACACTCCTAACTCCTGTTCATTTATTTCCTAGACCTTTGGGTTAACTATCAACGGAGTCTATAAATAAGCATTTTTCATAATCATTTCCAGAGCAAGTAGAGTAGCTGTTATACCTACCCAAGTCAGATAAAGCAGATACTTTAAAGAAATACTCAGGTCTTTGTGAGCTTTGTCTGCAGGGGTGATGATATGCTGATAGTACGAAGTAGTCCTATTGTGACTTTAGTGAAATCAAGCAAGAAAGTCCTACCCCATGGAAGCATGACCTCTGTGCCTAGCACAAGTTAGAAAGAATAAAATAATTCATTTGATGGGAAATGATGATTCGAATGAGTCTGACCATTTCATGAAACCATGTACTGGCTCATTTTGATCCTTAGTGTTCCCTTTGGCTCTGACAAGGAGTGGCTACTCCCTCTGACCAACTCGCCCCTTGGGGAGACTAGAGCACTTCACTCACTGTTAAAGGAGAACTGCCACTTATGTAAATACTGTTTTGGTAGGAAAGATGTCCTTTAGAAGGAGCTCAGGCTTCTTCCCATGCTAAGGAAATTAGAGAAGCGCAATTTAAAGAGTCAATAAGGTCACATTTTTCTCTACATTTATTTAACTCAAAGATGTTTAAAAGTAGCCTTTTCCTTTAGAAGCTCAGTATATGGTACCTGTGTCATCATTGTGACTTGGAACTCTGTGACCCCCCTTCTCCCAGATTTGCTGTCCTTATAATTCACCCACTATAACTATTTTGCAGCCTCTCATTGACATCTGAAGGTTACAAGATATACCTTAAATAATCATGTGAGAAAAAAAAAGCCATTTATGCTCTTGGGTCTATTTACTCTTTCGCAGATCTAAAGAACAAATGGCATCTGGTGATTGACCGCCTCACTGTGCTCTTCTTGAAATTCCTGGAGTATTTTCACAATCTGCAGGTGTTCATGTGGTGGATTCTAGAGCTGCACATCATCAAAATTGTTTCATCGTACATTATCTGGGTTTCCGTGAAGGAGGCAAGTGCACGTTTTGTTGTCTCATCAGGCTGAGTGGAGCCACAGTGGAGATTCACTTTCCTCCTCTAGCTGTCTGTGATGTGTCATTCTCATTGCAGAGGGGATCGAGATGTAAGGTAGGCACATATGGTTTGACCTACAGAAAGCCAGAGGGCAATGGCTCTGAGCACGGGGAAAGATTGCAGCAGAAGAGGCTCATGGCTGAGTATCTAGTTGGCTTGGTCACATCACAGAGGTCACTTCTCCTCCTCTACTCCTTGCTGCAGTGAGTCAGAGTGGACTTATTTTCTGCTGTGGATGCGGGAATTCATCCTAAATTCTCTTTGAGGAAAGTAACATTCTAGTTATGTGACCAAGAAGTAAACTCAGATGTCCCAAAATATAACAAAGTCTTCAATAGAGCTCATCTTGTTTCTTATGGGTTTTTTTATTATTATTATTTTGACAGGCAGAGTGGACAGTGAGAGAGAGAGAGAGAGAGAGAGAGAGAGAAAGGTCTTCCTTTGCCGTTGGTTCACCCTCCAATGGCTACCGCGGCGGGTGCACTGTGGCCAGCGCACCGCGCTGATCTGAAGGCAGGAGCTAGGTGCTTATCCTGGTCTCCCCTGGGGTACAGGGCCCAAGCACTTGGGCCATCCTCCACTGCACTCCCTGGCCACAGCAGAGAGCTGGCCTGGAAGAGGGGCAACCGGGACAGAATCCGGCGCCCCGACCGGGACTAGAACCTGGTGTGCCGGCACCGCAGGCAGAGGATTAGCCTATTGAGCCGCGGCGCTGGCCCTCTTATGGGATTTTTTGAGACAGGACAGAAAGTCTTCAGTAGCACACTGCATTGCACATCTTTCTGCTTGACTGTAGAGAGCAAAGTCACCATTCAGCCAACGGTTGTTTCATGTTTACTGTGGAGAAATTAGCTTTATGTCCACTTATTCTACAGATCAGTTTTTTCATACTTCTCATTTTCCTGCACTACTTTTGAGTTGGTGCCAATTCATAGAGTCTTTGTCCTCCAAAAATTGTCAGGTAACTACTGAATATATCAATAGTAAAATATCACAACCATATGCTGCAAACTTAAAATGTTTCACAAACAGGTAAATAAGGGGTGAAACTTAATTTGTGCTCTATGGTCTAACGTAGAACTTTCTCCCATTTCATACAAACCCTCTGAAATGGATAGATGATCCCTGCATGTGAGAATAGAGACAGAACCACTCCCCTGTGAGATTTGTGTCAGAAAACAGGCTGCATTGTTAAGTAACTAAATGCATGTATTATTTGGATCTGACAATAGCCTACTATGTATATTGACTGAGAGCAAAAGAATATAAGCATGTTAACTGTGTAGGTGAATTAATCAATTGAGATAAATTTTGAGGGTCAAATATTAAAGGGAAAAAGAAAACAACCAAAGAAAGCAGTTGACTAAGAATGAGCACTTCTGAATTAACCAAATCCATTGTGCTCGTGTGAAAAGTTGTGTTGCAGGCTGGTGGAGGCATAATAAGACAATGGAATGATGGGAGTGGGTGCTTTATGTAAAAAAAAAATAATAATGGGGGTTGGACTCAGAAAAATCTGCTCCCTGAAATTCATGCTAGAAAGGTGGGAAAGAGAACAGAGAGAGAGCTAAGAATGCACATCCTTACAAATTCTAAACAAAAAGGAGATATGAATTTTAAAATCATCCTCAGTGAGTCTCAAGAATGTAGACCACTGAGTAAATAATGGATTATGACCCAGTCACCATTAGAACAATGGCCTCTGGTAGAATAGGACCGGTTCTGTCTCTTATTCGCATGTTATGAGAACTCCCAGAATTTTCATTCCTAATGTCAGCTCTCATGTGTAACTCTAAAATATGTCAGAGACCCACAAAGTAGACAAATGCTGATCCTGCAGCAGCCAGCATCTACTAAATCCGGTTGTTACAGATATTTTACTGCCTGTGTTGTGCATGGTGCCACCCCATCTTCATGAGGGGTGTCTGGCCCTGAAGGGTGAGTTACTGCATGCCCCTTGGATGCTATCGCCTCTGGTGTCTCACCCCTCTCCACACTAGTCTTGGTCTCTGGCTCCCAGCAGCTGTGCACGGAGATTCTTTCTGCTGTAACTGGAGTACTAAGCAAGCCACTTGTGGGGAGGGGGGTCTAATCATAAAAGCAACGTCATTTTGAACTTCCATTGCCCTTTGAAGTGCATTCTATCACAAACTTTTCTCTCTGCCCCTGGACACCTTGATCTTTCTGCTCACTCCTAAGCAATGCAAAGTCCTGTAATCTGAAATAGCAGCAAGATCTCACTTTGTTAATTCAAATTCTCCACCCCCAAAAATAATCAGAACTCTTCTTACCCAGGTAGAAGCTTCTCCTTTCCTTGTTGCTTCTTTCTCATGGGTCTCTCCCTTGCCCCCACTGCCTCCTTGCTCTGGCTGCCTCATCTGTTAGGCAGCTCCTGAACAGAACTGTTCTCTTTTCCTTTTTACATGTACAACTACTATCCTTTTTTCAAAATTTTCAAAGGTATTCACTTTCATTTTATTTATAAGGCAAGAGACTCAGAGAGAGAGGACAGAGGATCTTACCTCCACTTGTTTACTCCCCAAAAGCCTGCAACCACAAGGGGACGAAGCCTGAAGCCTGGAAATCAATCTGAGTTTCCCACATAGGTGATAGAGACCCAAATATTTGAGCCATCAATGGCGCCTCCTGAGATATGCATTAGCAGGAAGCTTGATCGGAAGCTGAGCAGCTGTGACTTGAACCCAGCACTCTGACATGGGATGCGAGCATCCCAAGTGACAACTTAAGCTGCTGTGCCAAATACCTGCCCCATAACTACTATTCTGATTTCAAAATGTCTCTGGAAAGCTCTGTGAAATCTAGTTATTCCTGAAAGAAAGAGCCTGTACTGCATTTCCTTTGATAACCTCCATACCTCCCAGAGGGCCTGGCCAATTACAGAAGCTCAGTGTTTACTCAATGAAAAAAAGCAAATAAAAGAACCTTTCAAACTTGAGATTTGCAGTTGATGTTTCTTTATTATAAATGTCGTCGTCATCATCATCATCATCATCATCATCATCATCATTGTTGTTATTCGCATTCTCACTAAGCCTGGATGTTGTGGGCATCTGGGGGAGTGAACCAGTGGATGGAAGCCCTCTGTCTGTCTCTCTTGTCTCACTCGCTCTATCTTTCTGCCTTTCAAATAAAGTGAAAATTTTAAAAAATGACAATTTTTAAAATTAAAAGTTCTATGTAAATTAATCATGCTGTTTTCATACTCAGTGTCCTAAATTTCACAGTGTCAATAAGATTTTCTTTTGAACATGTAAATTGGCAACACTTGCTGATGACTATGGAAGAGGAAATCTGATTTTCGCTAATCAGAATATTTTGTTGCAGTGTAACACTTAGTGTGTTTACAAGGGCTTTATAGTTCACAAAGCACTTTCGTGTACAGCATTTCTTTCACCCTCAGTTAATTCTGGAAAGCAGCTCTTCCTCCCCTGATATTTTGGTATCAATTCTCAGAGTAATCTCTTACCTTGGACAGTGAAAATTGCTAACTAGAATAACAGGTAACAAATTGCATAATACTGCCATGCAGTCCTGCATTTTCTGATTTTGCAGTTTTATAAGCCAAATCGATAACCATACCTCTTATAGCACAAAAGGCTTAGCACTTGCTATGTGTTCAATTGTACCAATTGAAAATATGCTGTTATTTTCACCTGATATTAAATGTTGTGAGGATATCATTTTCACATTTTGAAGAATAAATGAGTATTTTACATAACTGAATAAGTTTACAGTGCTTCTATACTATTCAACGAACTGTTAGCTTTGGAGAATCAATAAAAATGCAGGCCATTTCATGTGATCTATAAACTCTCATGCAGCTCAAAACCAGCATGTTCAAGTTCATCTCATTGCTCTCCCTCCTCAAACCTGCTCTGCTCTCAGCATTTCCTACCCCCGCCATGGCACCAGCATTCATCCAAGCTCCAAAACAGAAGCCTGGGAGCGACTGCTTACACATTCTCCCTTTAAACCCAAGTGCAGTCACCACCAAACCAAATAAGTATCCTTCTCCCACCAGTCGGTGACTCCTCCATCTCTCCTGGGCTACTGCACAGCATATGAGCTGAGCTCTTGAGCCTAAGTCTAACCCTCATAACGTACTGGCCATTCTGCAGTTGTAGTCATCTAAATAAGACGCAGAACCTACTTTCAAATCCCCCAAGCTGTTGCCTTTCAGTGGCTCTCTGTTCTCTGCAGAATGGATTCATGTGTCATTGCGTGGTTAAAACTTGGCCTATAGCTCTCTGACCTCACCTTCTGCTGCCCTTTTTGCTTTTGACTTTGAAGTCTTCAGTTGTTTGGAGTTGACTGTCCCACCAGGCTGTCTCATGCTCTCCGGCCCTTGTTCATGCATCGTCACCTGGGATGCACTTCTCACCTTTGTCAGCCTGACTCAGCTCAGGCACTCTGTCTTCTAGAAAATGCTTTCTGATCCTCCACATTAGACCCAGGGCCTCTTTTTAGCACTCACACAGGTACCTGTTCATATCTACAGCTTAGCCATTGCTGCATTATGTTGGGAATAGTTAGCTACATGTCCGACTTCCATGCAAGACAAAAGGTCACCAAGGGGAGGGACCACAACTCACTTACCTTCATATCCTCCAGTGCCTGGCCCAGGCCTTGCACCTGCTGAGTTCTCAGTCAGCCTTTATTGAACTCAGTAGAAAATCAAGTCCTCATGCTTTGTGGATGTGCCATGTGCTGTATTTTTTGTCTCCAAATCTGATTTTGTGTTTTAGGTCTCTCTGTTCAACTATGTATTTTTGATTTCATGGGCATTTGCTCTACCGTATGCCAAGCTACGCCGCCTGGCTTCCAGTGTCTGCACTGTCTGGACGTGTGTGATCATCGTCTGCAAAATGTTGTACCAGCTTCAGACCATTAAGCCCGAGAACTTTTCTGTTAACTGTTCCTTGGTGAGCCTCAGTGATGGGGGGATCTTCCTCACTGCCCTCTGGGGAAGCGAGGCAGATATGTGGGTAACCTCCATCTGTGTGCACATTCTGTCTAGTGCCTAAGTCCCCTCATTCACCTAATTCTGTTGTGCTGAGATTCCCCCATTGATGCTGCTTCCCTCCCTACCCCACCCTTGTCAAAGCTGCAGAACCATCTGAACTCTCCTAATCTGTGAAGCATCTCTTATTCCATGTTCTCTTCTTTTCAGCCAAATGAAAATCAAACGAACATACCCCTTCAGGATTTGAACAAGTCTCTGCTCTACAGCGCTCCCATTGATCCGACAGAGTGGGTTGGCCTCAGAAAGTCTTCTCCTTTGCTTGTCTACCTGAGGGTAAGGGCTTTGTGGATCCTCCACTTGGATGGAATTTGGAATCCTTCACCTTGAGACTCGTAAGAGCTCATGTGATGGTCACCTTGTTTTCTCTTGTGCTTGGAATCACCCTCAGAACCCATGACAAAATGTCAAAGTCAGTATTGCATTGCACTGAAGAGAAATTGACCAAACGTCTGAAACTGGTTTAGTAAAGTAAGATGGATAACATTAAATCAAGAATGATATAGCCTTTAAAGAGTTAACTTGATTTAATAAACTTTAATTAACTTGGTTAATCCTCCACCTGCGGTGCCAGCATCCCATATGGGCGCCAGGTTCTAGTCCCAGTTGCTCCTCTTCCAGTTCAGCTCTCTGCTGTGGACCTGAAGGGCAGTGGAGGATGGCCCAAGTGCTTGGGCCCCTGCACCTGCAGGGGAGACCAGGAAGAAGCACCTGGCTCCTGGCTTCGGATTGGCGCAGCTCCAGCCATGGCGGCCATTTGTTGGGGGTGAACCAACAGAAGGAAGACTTTTCTCTCTGTCTCTCACTGTCTGTAACTACCTGTCCAAAAAAAAAAAAAAAAAAAAAAATCAGAACGGAAATATCTCTGAGATATACCATGAAATTAGAAAAGCAAATCTTACAATACTGCCCATAATATGATCTCTTCTGGACCCAAGGAAAAAAGCTGGGTTAAAATACACCAAAATCTCTCTCTCTCTCTCTCTCTCTCTCTCTCTCTCTCTCTTCTCCTCTCTTTCTCTCTCTCTCCTTCTTCCTCTCTTTCTCTCTCTCTCCTTCTTCCTCTCCCTCTCTCCCTTTCTTAACTCTGGCTTTCAAATAAATAAATAAATCTTCAAAAAATATAGCAAAATGGTCAGTAGTGATTTTGTCTAAATTCTGTTTGTAATTAATAAAAACATAGGTTACATTTAGAAGTAATAAGGCACATCTCTGCTAAAGGAATTTTGATTGCACATAATGATACAAGCATAATGAGAATCATATGCTTTGGAATCACTTTTACTTTGATGGACAATCCGAGCAGTTCTAATCATACCACATTGACAAATGCTTAAAAATCAAAACTTCATACTTAGCACCAGGAATTTTTAACTAAGTATTCCATTTTCTTCTTGTCTATTTCTGTTTTTCCTCACACAGAAGATATCTTTTGTAAATAAAGTCTGCTAATAGCTATTGCAAGGATAAAACAAATTGAAATTTAGAAAGTGTCATTAAAATGGCGCCTGCCATCTATTGTTCCATAAATGTTAACTATTTCCTTATTATTGCTATCATCACTGTCACTATTTTCCCATCATCAGTAGGCTTCTCAGTTGGCTGTGCTCGCTGGCCAGATTTCAGAGGTGCATCTTGGTACCATTTTGCATTTCTAGTTTGCAAGTAAGGTTGGACTGCCCCCCTCAGGTGACTGGAAGCTGCTTCCTTGGAATGTGGTATAAAATTTTTTAGGAAGACGAATGACCAGCTTTATGTCTTATGTCCAGAGATTGTCCAGTCTCATGTCCAGAGATTGTAGACCCCGTTACCATGGAAATTAGTCAGTTCTCATAGCAGAGATAACTCCAAGATGAACAACACAAAGAAAATGAATGTTGAGCTCAATGATGTGTTTAAGAGAGGTGGAATTTTATAAAAATTGCTGTATCGACATCAAGAATCAAATACAATGATTTATTACGGAGATGGTTTTTGTCTTACGCAGCTGTGTTTTCTTATTATTTGTAGAATAATCTCCTGATGCTAGCTATTCTGGCCTTTGAAGTCACCATTTATCGCCATCAGGAATACTACCGGGGTCGAAATAACCTCACAGCTCCTGTGTCTAAAACTATTTTTCACGACATCACAAGGCTGCATCTGGATGATGGGCTGATTAACTGTGCCAAGTATTTCATCAACTATTTCTTCTACAAATTTGGTCTGGAGGTGAGTTTCCTTGCTACCTGTTTGATTTGTTCTTTCCATAAAAATTTAAATAACTACTTCTGGCCAGTTGTCCCCTGGAGCCCTGTTACACAGCTCCAAGCCATGATTCCTGTTGCCTCAGGATCAGCAAACAATGTTTCTCCCAATGGGTTAACCTGGCTTTGTAGAGAGTTTTGCAAGATCAGCTGCCCAGTGACCCCTCGTTTCACAGCAATGCCCTTGACCTCTCTGGATCTCCAGTACTATCTAAATAGGTGGACATCTGTTGGCATGTTAACTGGTTTCTTATTATGAAGAAAGTGTTAGGGGCTGGCTGTGTTGTAGTAGCCTAAGCCTCTGCCTGTGATGCCAGCATCCCATATAGGCGTGGGTTCATGCCCTGGCTACTCCTCTTCCGATCCAGGAAGAGGAGCCCAGAAAAAGCAGTAGGGAATGGCCCAAATGCTTGGGCCCCTCCACCCACATGGGAGACCCAAAAGAAGCTCCTGGCTTCTGGCTTTGGATCAACACAGCTCCAGCCATTGTGGTCATTTGGGGAGTGAACCAGCAGATGGAAGACTTCTCTCTCTCTATGCCTGCACCTCTCTGTAACTGCCTTTCAAGTAAATAAATAAATTTTTTTAAATGTTCATTTTGATGCAAAAAAATTGAAATCTGTGCAGTATTTTTTCATAATGCGTATTTTTCATGAACTTTGTCAAGTCCCCCCATGTGCATGGATTTCAAAAATTTTTGCATCAAAATACACTTATTTTTAATTCTACTTCCAAGAAATTTTCTGAAGCTCCCTTGCATTTCTGTCAAAAGACCCTGAAAAGGACAAGAGTTGGGGAATCTGTGCACAAAGACCTGTCCTAAGGAGTACAGGTCTCTGCCGCCTGCACAGGCCTGACCCCTGCCACCACTCCCCTTCCCTGTAAACCCGATTTTCTGCCTCTTGTCCTCCTTACACAGACCTGTTTCCTAATGTCAGTGAACGTGATCGGTCAGCGGATGGATTTCTACGCCATGATTCACGCCTGCTGGCTCATCGCGGTCTTGTATCGCCGCAGAAGAAAAGCCATCGCTGAGGTCTGGCCCAAATACTGCTGCTTCCTGGCCTGCATCATCACCTTCCAGTACTTCATCTGCATTGGCATCCCCCCTGCCCCCTGCCGAGGTGAGCTGTCAGCCCCTCCTCCCTGCGACCCCCCACCCCCAACCCAGAACGGCTGCTTTTAGGAGAAGCCATTGCCGAGTAGAATCTGGGAGCAGAGCCATCAGCGATATTGATTTCACTTCCGCCTGCAGATTACCCATGGAGGTTCAAAGATGCCAACTTCAATGACAACATCATCAAGTGGCTGTACTTCCCAGACTTCATCGTGCGGCCCAACCCCGTGTTCCTTGTCTGTAAGTGCATCGGCCCCAGGGCTGTGGGACACCAGCGTTTGGATTTCTGTTCGTTCGTCATTCTTTACGTGGTGTGCATTAGTGGTTCTGCTTCTTCCACCAGGCTTTACAATCACATGAAGCCTTATTTGTGCATTAACAGCACAAGTCATTAATGCCTTGCACTTGCCCTCTTGGCATTTGCAGAATTAATAAATCAACGTTAGAAATCCCATATTCCCTTGCATAAGCTCACCTCTGAATGCAGACATTTACACACAGCTACCACTGTCTACACACCAATCTTTTCAAAGACAGGTGAGAGAGGAGGATCATGTGTTCTGTGAATGGTGGTTTCTAGTGGTCACGACAGACAGACCAAAGTCAAAGACAGGGCTATGGCCACTAGGAGGATGCCGCAGGACTTCAGCCACCGGAGAGCTGGGCTGCAACCTCCAGACCCCCAGGCAGCAGGTGATCCGCAAGTGGAAGCAGCCCCATCCCCACCCCCACATCCAAGACAATAGGAAGTGCTGAGTGATACAGAATACTCAGGAGTGCCTTGCCTGAACAGATTCAGGTTTAAGTTCGAAAGCAAGGACTTGCTTTTCAGACTTGGCTGCCTGAGGGCCCGTTCTGGGCAGCTCTTCCTGACTCCACCATTCTCAAACCCTCCGCCATCTTCACCTGCTCTGCTGCCTGGAACTGTCTTTGGTTGCAAATGCAGAGCAGGGTGGAGAGATTAAAGACGGAAATGTCTGCCTTTGCCACACGAAAAGGTGGTGGAGGTTGCCCAAATGGCCTCTTGTGGGAGACACATGCAGGTAAACCTCACCCCCTGAGAGACTCATGAAGTCAAACACTGAGCGCCTGGTCCTTTCATGGACCAATGTACAAACAAATCCCAGCCCTGCCCTTCTCCCAGTGTGAGTCCCTGGGATGACTGCTATCACGCTTCTCCACATCATGGTGAGGAAGGTGGGACTTGCTCCTGACACTGGAATCCAGGATCAATCTTGAGCCCAAACCATGAGAACACAACCTACCTATCGTGCTGTAGGATGACTGAGTGCCCCATGTGTGCACCCAGAAGAGGAGAAGGTGGCTCCAGGACCACCCCTTTGTCTTGCCAGATGATTTCATGCTGCTCCTCTGTGCCTCCCTGCAACGGCAGATTTTTGAGGATGAAAACAAGGCTGCTGTACGAATCATGGCCGGCGACAACGTCGAGATTTGCATGAACCTCGATGCGGCCTCGTTCAGCCAACATAACCCTGTACCGGATTTCATTCACTGCAGGTAACAATCGCATCCTGTTCTCTAAAAAGCCACCTACATGTGCATTTCACTTGAATTACACCTCTACTTACATTCTCTGTGCTGGACTGAGTGGTATACACTGAAGCTAATAAATGAGGCAATGTGTGACTCATCTCGACTGAGCTTTTGAGTTGAAATTCAGCAACTGCTTTTTAGAAAGATTTTAGTTATTTATTTGAAAGGCAGAGTTAGAGAGAGAGAGAGAGAGAGAGAGAGAGAGAGAGAGACAGAGATTGTCCATCCTCTGGTTCATTCCAGAGATAGCTGCAACAGCCAGATTTAGACCAAGCTGAAGCCAGGAGCCAGGAGCTTCTCCCAGGTCTCCCACATAGGAGTAGGGGCCCAAGGGCTTGTGTCATCCTCCACTTCTTTCCCAGGATCATTAGCAGGGAGCTGGAGCAACCCAGCCATGAACCAGCACCCAAATGGGGTGCTAGCTTTTGTCAATGTTAACCACCTTCTTTGGCCTAGGTTTTTCACCTCTTCTTGTTATTGAGGCTTTCTTGTGCCAGTACTACTGTTAGAGTTGAATTAGAGTTGAATTGCTCTTGCCACCCCAAAAACGCTCCAAGAGACCTTCTCTCATGTAATTAACAAAGGGTAAAGTTTATTGATGATCCGACATGTCAGGGCCCCCGTCCCAGTACAGGCGAGCGGCCCCAAATAGTCTTGGGTTGGGGTTTTCATACACGTTTAAACAAAGAAAATTAATCATTGCATAGATCAGACAGAGGTATAGAGTAAACAATTGATACAAGTTAAGTGATTTTACAACCAGTTGATTTATGAATACAGGGAGTACAGGATATCGAGTAAGGGCCTGATTAGACCTCAGAGAACCATATGGCCTATACAGGGAGTATCAAAAAGCCTCCTATTGCCAAAAGGGAGGGCCACACAAGATTGCAGGAACTGCCTTGATGATACCTAGGAATGCAACTGAATGGCGATAAGGGACACATGGTGGGGTCAGAGTTCCAGGAGGCAAAGAGATATATTGTGACTTCTTCTATCTCACTTAAGTGAAACTAAGGTTACGCTCACATTGGGGTAATTTACTGACTAATTAACTTTACAGAGAATGGCTATGCAGAGCAAGTCTAACGAGGTCAGGAAAGTTCACCAGGGGAGGTGGGGGGGAGCGGCTTTTAACTTTTTAACCCTTCACTACCACTTGGTAGCTCTCCAGCCAAAAACCCTCCTCCTCACCTTCCTTCCCTCATCCTCATGCACTGTTCCACACCGGAAGACCCCACCTCCATTCCCTGTCCTTGTGTGCACCCTCTGCTCCACTCCTCCATCCTCTGTCCTTCATTCTTATCCTCTGTCCCACCTCATCATCCCCCAATCCCTCCTCCTCCTGCCCTGATTCTCCTCCTCATATCCCATTGCTTATCCTCACCCCCATGCCTCTTCATCCTCCCATCCCTCCTCATTCTCCATCCCTTGTCCCCATCCTCCACCCCTCCTCCTTCTGCCCCCACACTCCTCCTCCTCCCGTATCCCTTGTCCTCACCTGTCATCTCTTGTGCATATCCTCCATCCACCTCCATCCCCCATCCCTCCTCCTCCTCCATCATTTGTGCTCCTCCTCTTCATTTTCCATCTCTCACCTCCTCACCCCTTATAATTCATCTTCGGCCTCCCCCTCCTCCCGAGGAAATTACAGCAAAGACATGGGACCTACACATGACAGAACCAGGATTGGAACCCAGTCAGTTGAGCTCCAAAATCTGAATGCTTAAGCCTGTTAGTGCCTCTTGATACCATAAAGATGCTTGGTAGGTCCTAAATAAATCAGTAAGTGGAATTGCGGCCAAACAACTGCCGAATAGACTCAAAGACCCCTCGCTACACAAGGGCACTCCCATTTGTGTCTCTCCCCTGTGATGCTAAGAGAAAAATCAGCCCAGCTCATTTTTTCCCCAGTTGCAGAGAAAAAAATACAAGTCCTTCCCTCCACACCGTCCTGTTGGAAGATTTTGTGCACCACTGAGTTTTCCAATGGAATCTTCTGTTTAAATTATTTTGGATGTTTAAATCTGTTTCTGCATTGGGAATATCAGAAAAGTGACTTGGGAGTGATCACCCTTGGGAGTGATCTGTCAGATACCAGGGTGCTAAGAAGCCCACAAGTGCATTGGCTGTGGGAAGCCTGGTCCTTCCCCCAGCCCCTCTGAAGGCGTCAGCCCCTGGGCAGCCTGTGCTCTCAGGAGGCTGCCCAGGCTTCGACAGTCAAGTGGCCTCTGAACTGCCTGCCTGTCATGGAGGCAGGATCAGTCCCCTCAGGACAAGGCTCCTTTCACCCCCTGTGTCCTGGTGTTCTCCATGTTGTTCTTGCAAAGTCAGTGTTGTGGTTTCTGGACATGCTGCAGGTTAAGTGCTGAGTCAGAGAGAGGCCAGGGCTCCGGAAGCAGGAATTACGCATGGCAGGCAAGGAGGGAACTGCATGGAAAAAAAACATGCTATGCTGAAACACACGTGTGTGCACTCACACACGCACACGCACACACAAACCCTCAAAAATGCCAGCAGACCGCTGAAATCCACTGAATTCAAACCACGTGTGATTTAGAAACCCCCTTCGACCCAACCAGATCACTACCTTTACCTGTGGTCAACCTGGATTACTGTGAACACTGACATTTTATTCACACTCCTTGGTTTAGGAAGCCAAAGAAGGGAGTAATATATTTTAGAGAGAAAGTCGTGGAAGTATTTTAAGTGTTTTTGTTAGGAAAAGAGGTGCAGAATAGAGAGGAAGCAGTATAGAAATCTACAGCCAGATGGAATTTATTCAGAGAAAATAAATTCGTAGTGGTGAGTGAGCAACTGCAAGATGTACGTTGAAGGAATATGTGGCGGAAGGCCCCGACCCCAGGGGCAGGGCTTTTTTATGTATTAGGAGGACTAGGGATGGGGGTGGGGGTGGGGGGGCAGGCAGAGGTGAATTCCTGGAACTGGTCTTTCAGGTGGCCAAACAGGGCCTCCAGAACCTAGGAAAGAATTTGGAGTGGGTGTGAAGGCAATAGAGTATGAGACCCAATTGAGATTCAAGGGCAAGGAATACATTCCAATGTTTATCTATCTTTTGGGCAATGAGCAAGAATGGCTGAGGCTTATATCTTTGTTCCATCAGTTTTACTCTAAACAAAGTAAGGATAAATGCTCAGTTATCTGAATAATGGGGCATTAAGGCACCATCCACTTCCTGATGGATCAAGTGCAGTCTACATATTATTAAGAACTTACTTATTAACATCCTACAAAATAACAATCCATTAACCAAAGAGCTAATCCAGGATTGATTCTCCTGTGCTACTTCCTAAAACTGAGAAAAGAAACAATCTAAGCAAAACCCTCCAAACAAAGGCGGTCAAGTCTGGGCCTGGCCCACAGGTCTGCTCTCTGTCAGATGCATATTCTGGATTCTCCCAGCTGCTGTTTCCTCCTGCGAGTCCTGGTCACGTTCCATCAGGAAGGCCCTAGGGGAGAGATGGTCCCCCTGAAGCATCCTGACTCAGCCCAAGGACATCTACACATAGAAAATGGAAAGAGCCCCAAAGCCCCAGCATGATTGCATCTCCGTTGTCAGAATCATGTCCCATCAGTAAAGAGATTTTTCATCTGTAGTAAAACTATTGTATGAACTATGAATTTTTTTTAATCTGTCAATTTCTAGTTCATCAAAAGGAATACATTCTTAGCTTCCATTAAGAGATCTGTATCTTAGAAATTCTTTTGCTGGGCTGATGCTGTGACTTGACAGGTAAAGCCTCTACCTCCTACACCAGCATCCTATATGGGTACGAGTTCATGTCCTGGTTGCTCCAGTTCTGATCCAGCTGCTTGCTAATGCACCTGAAAGCAGCAGAGGATGGCCCAAGTGTTTGGGCCCCTGCCACCCACATGGGAGACCCAGATGAGACTCCTAAATCCTGACTTTAGCCTAGCCCAGTGCTGGCTGTTTTAACCTTTTGGGGAGTGAATCAACAGATAGAGGATCTCTCTCTCTCTCCCTCTATAACTCTGCCTTTCAAATAAAATACATTTTTTAAAAGATAAGAAATTCTTTTCCCATCTAATTGTTCAGGCCTCTCATGAAAAACACAAAAAAGCACTTTTTAGTGTCAGGCAGAAGGTATTTCTGTTAGTGAGAAATTTGACCCAAGTGGGACAGTAGTAAGTATAGATGTGATATTTTCACAGTTCATCTATTCATCCATTACTAATTATGTGTGAGAGAGAGATGAACACAGAGCTTAGAGTATGACCTTCTATGTGCTTTCACATAAAAGGCTGCTCAAAAAGATAATGGAAGATGAAAATAAAAGATGTTTATTTTGATGCCAAGTTATTTTGAAGTCCATGAATAGTTTTTCCATAACATATACTTTCTATGAACCTTTGGAAGACACCTTGAATGCATGGATTTCAAAATTTCTTGCACCAAAATAAGCTTATCTCTTTTTTGAGAGGAAGAGAGAAAGCTAGAGAGAGCTCTTACCTGCCAGTTCACTCCCCAAATGCCCACAATGGCAGAGCCTAGGCCAGAACCAGGGCCAGGACCAGGTCTCCCACAGGTGGCAGGGACCCAACTGCTTGAGTCATTACCACTGCATCCCAAGGCCTGAATTAGCAAGAATCTGCAATCAGGAGCCAGAACTGGGAATCAAACCCAGGCATTCCAATGTGAGACATGGAGTCTTACCCGCTATGCTCCACCTGCCCGTAAGCTTATCTTTTAATTCCATTTTCCCACACACTTTTTGTGATCTCATTATATAGTCCAGTGTAGAGTATGAATTCCTCCCTCATTCGGTTGGAATCTCCTGGTTTTGTTTTTTGTTTGCTTTGTTGTTGTCCTTTATCACTTCTTTTTCAACCCCAGATCTTACTTAGACATGTCCAAAGTGGTCATCTTCAGCTACCTCTTCTGGTTCGTCCTGACGATCATCTTCATCACCGGGACAACCAGGATCAGCATCTTCTGCATGGGATACTTGGTGGCCTGTTTCTACTTCCTGCTCTTCGGGGGTGACTTGCTTCTGAAGCCCATCAAGAGCATCCTGCGCTACTGGGACTGGCTGATCGCATACAACGTGTTCGTGATCACCATGAAAAATATCTTGTCGGTAAGTGGCTGTCACAGCATGACCAGCATAACACATCTGTGGTTCCAGTGTGATAGGAAACAGTCCACTCAGTGGTTATTAACAGCATTGTGCCTGCCACATTGTTCTTTTAAAAGCTCCAAATAAGAGTATGCATACCCAGAATTCCAGTGGCCAGTGTTGCTCTGTGTCGCACCACATTAAGCAAAATCACCTTTGTGCATCTCCAGGTCAGAAGACTAAGATATATGTATCCATAGATATAAATTCTAAAATGTGTTTTATTCCTTAAAATCCAGTCCTTTCTGAGGAATAATACTATGAGCTAGGATGTGGTCCTTGGGTGACCTAATCAGTCATTGAGTCTTTTTTCAACAGTCATGTCTTATTGACAAAAATGCAAACCTCTGACCTGGAAAGAATTGTAGAAGTGTAAAATAACACAAGCGTGGTTCTCTGCGCCACTGTGTGGGGTGGAGAACGAGGCAGAAAAGCTGTTGAATGCAGGAATGATTTATGTACCAGTAAGATGTAGGCAGGCTCAGAAAACGCCACTTGGATATTGCCTCTGAGCATAGATATGCAGATTAGGACCGCTAACACGAAGCAGGGTGGAGGAAGGCACACTCCCCTCCTCTGCCTGCTCTGTTGTCACATGGCGACATCGCTACATTCCAGGGCACAGCTTCTCTCTGGCATGAGGGACAACTCACATTGCTCACTGGTCATACCAGAATCATATCAATGTTTTAGGCTGCAAGGACATCATTTACGTTACTTTGTGCCATAGGAAATCAAACAATAACCTGTCATGAACTGGAGGTGTTAGGACCTCTCTAGTTGGCCCTCATTGAACATTAATCCAATGCCTGCTACTCAGTGGCTGTGATAGCTCGTTCATTAGAAGGGCAGGGGTGGAATGAGCTTACCTCTCCCCTCCTAACCACTTAGGGATGAGCTCACCAGGCCACTCAACTGTGAAAGTTATTAGATTTTTTTCTTTGTTTTGGCCTTTGTGTCACTGTGTTTAAAGTATCTGAAAAGCCATGTCTGGGAATAGGAATTTGAATAATGTTTTTTATCTACAGTCCATTGGAAGGTTAATTTTCTGATTGATAGTAAAAGTGAATTTATTGGAAAAAATGATGTGAAAGGCAGAGTTACAGAGAGAGAGAGAAAAGAGAGAGAGAAGGAAAAAGAGAGAGAGAGAGAGATCTTCCATCTACCGGTTCACTGCCCAAATGGCTGCAATGGCCAGAACTGGAGCTTTCTCCTGGTCTCCCACATGGATGTAGGAGCCCAAGCACAAGGACTATCTTCCACTTCTTTCTCAGGCACATTAGCAGGAAACTGGATTGGAAGTGGAGCAGGCAGGCTCGAACTGGGGTCCATATGGGATGCCCATGCTGCTGGCCAAGACCTTAACCTACTGAGCCACAGCACTGGTCCCTAAAAGTAACTTTTATCAACACTCTTACCCCGCTAACATTAATTTACATTTGGAGTAGTATTGAGAGTTCTTGGAGAGAGTGTGAGACAGAACAGTAAGATACAGGAAGATGACACTTCATTCTGAAACCAGTCTGATGAAGAGGGATCTTTCGCTGGAGGCTGATCCACAGCTGGTCCTGGAAAACACATAGATACCAAGCTGATTCATTCAGCCAATTTATAAACTTGGATTGTAGACCTGTTCTAGAAAATACTAGAAGTTAATGGTGCTCAGATTTGACCCTTGAGGAATTCACATTCTAAAAAGGAAGATATATACAAATAATCATAATATAATCTGTGGATGATAAATATTACAGCATTGTAGGGAATCAAAGCAAAAATTGGGTGCCTGACATCTTGCCTAGGTAAGCTGGGAGGAGGCTGCCTAAGGCTATGCTATTTGGAAACTCCAGATTTGAAAAGGGATTGAAGTGTTCCCTAGGGAACAAAAGGGGAGGAAATTTCCAACCTAGAGAATGGGCACAAAAGCAGGATGGGAAAGGAATGGAACATGGGTTTAGGCAGCTTTGTTCCCAGGACTGGGAAGCCCAGGCTGGGTAGCCACTGCTTTGGGAGCAAATACTAATAATGCCTATCACTTGTCCCCAGGAAACACACACAATTCAGCCATCATTGGCTTGCAATGATCTATATTAGTTTAAATGTTTTCCTCCTCAGCATTTGAACTTAATATAACTGTAACAAGATTATTGTTATTGTTATTATTGTCTCATTGTTATGAGACAACCACATGCCAATGAATGATGAAGATCCTTGTACCCAGATAATTGGTCAAATACAGCTCAAAATACATGGTGGTCCCTCGGTTTCCACGGGAGATTAGTTCTATAGGATACCAAAATCCATGGTTCCCCAGGCCCTTGTATAAAATGGCAAAATATTATAATACCTAAATACATGCAAATGCTGTATAAATAGATCTTATGCTGTATTGTCTAGGGAAAAAAGACATCAAAAGGAATCTACATGTTCAGAATAGATGCAATTTTTTCCCAAATATTTTTGATCTGCAATTGTTTCAATCCATGGAGACAGAGCCTGCAAAACCAGTAGGCCAACTATCCTGAGTTCCTGATGTTAGAACTATTACCCTATAGGTTGGCATCCAAGCTGATCTGGGGGAAAATGTAGGTTTATAATAAGTCTGACCAATGAGAGAATAACTACCAAAATCATAGTCCTAGGAGTCAATACATAACCACTTGCTGTCACAAAATTAGAGCTAATTTTTTATTAAAGTCCAGAATTCTTTATTTTTAAACTTTTATTTAATGAATATAAATTTCCAAAGTACAGCTTATGGATTACAATGGCTTCCCCCCCATAACGTCCCTCCCACCCGCAACCCTCCCCTTTCCCACTCCCTCTCCCCTTCCATTCACATCAAGATTCATTTTCAATTCTCTTTATATACAGAAGATCAGTTTAGCATACATTAAGATTTCAACAGTTTGCTCCCACACAGAAACATAAAGTGAAAAATACTGTTTGAGTACTAGTTATAGCATTAAATCTCAATGTACAGCACACTAAGGACAAAGATCCTACATGAGGAGTAAGTGCACAGTGATTCCTGTTGTTGACTTAACAAATTGACACTCTTGTTTATGGCATCAGTAATCACCCTAGGCTCTTGTCATGAGCTGCCAAGGCTATGGAAGCCCCCTGAGTTCACCAACTCTGATCATATTTAGACAAGGCCATGGTCAAAGTGGAAGTTCTCTCCTCCCTTCAGAGAAAGGTACCTCCTTCTTTGATGACCCATTCTTTCCACTGGGATCTCACTCACGGAGATCTTTCATTTAGGTTTTTTTTTTTTCCCCCAGAGTGTCTTGGCTTTCCATGCCTGAAATACTCTCATGGGCTTTTCAGCCAGATCCACATGCCTTAAGGGCTGATTCTGAGGCCAGAGTGCTGTTTAGGACATCTGCCATCCTATGGGTCTTCTGTGTATCTCAGTTCCCATGTTGGATCATTCTCTCCCTTTTTTTTTCTATCAGCTAGTATTTGCAGACACTATTCTTGTTTATGTGATCCCTTTGGTTCTTAGTCCTATCATTGTGATCAATTGTGAACAGAAATTGATCACTGGGACTAGTGAGATGGCATTGGTACATGCCACCTTGATGGGATTGATTTGGAATCTCCTGGTATGTTTCTAACTCTACCGTTTGAGGTAAGTCAGCTTGAACATGTCCCGAATTGCACATCTCTTCCCTCTCTTATTGAAAAGACCTCCTTCCAAGGTGAAAACATTATACTTAGACTTTTCTTTACTCACGAAGTTTTATTTTCCCCAGGAATTTACGTTACTTCTGATGCAACTGCCAGTTACCACATGGTGACTCAATCTGGAGGTACAACCAGTACCTCCTGTAATCACTGGTGCTGGGACCTTGCAGATTCTTGTACCATTGTGAATCACAGGACACCAAACTTGGTTTCTAGACACAGAGCCTCAGAATGTGCCTTCCCTCTTTTGTTTTTCAGATAGGAGCTTGTGGGTACATTGGAACGCTGGTGAAAAACAGCTGCTGGTTGATCCAAGCTTTCAGCCTGGCCTGCACAGTCAAAGGCTATAAAATGCGTAAGTAGGAAATGCAAATTTGGGAGTGGAAGGGGCAGAAAAGAGGGGACAGATTATTGTTCTCATTGAAAAACTGACCAAATCACATAAGGAAAACAGATAGATGTAGGGTTCAATTCTATCCCTAGCTGTAGGTTATAGAAGTGTAGCCCATTGTGAATCTATTGTCCATAGTGTGAGGTGCTCCAACTCCAGGCATCTTCATCCAGGCTTCCAGAGTGTTCCTAAACTCCTAGAACACTTTTAACTTATGATTAGAAATGATTCCAGAGGCCCATACATGTCTGCCATTGCAGGGATGGGCCTGGGGTTAATTAAGTTGCCCGTATCCTACATCCATGTGCCTAGGTTCAATACCCAGAACTGGTTCATGATTCTAGCTTCTTGAGAAGGCAGACTCTTAGCATCAGTGAGGATGGCTGAAGTGATGGATTCTTGACACAACATGGAAGACCTGGATTGAGTTCCTTATTCTTGGTTTCAGCCTGGATCAGCTGTAGCCATTGCAGGCACTTGGGGAATGAACCAGCCAATGGGAATTTACTCTTTCTCTCTCTCTCTCTCTCTCTGTCCCTCAAATAAGTAATTTTTTAAAGTTAAAATAAAAGTATCCTACAGTTGCTCTATCTAGTTAGAGTTTTGGGTCTTCAGAGTAACTCACTTCCAAGTCCTTCTCTCCTCAGGAAGCTCAGGGAACTTCAAATTCAAGACAACAACTAGGAGGAGCACTGGGGCTTCTGGAATTAGACTCTCCACAAGACTAAAGCCTCTTGCCCCAGAAGACAGGATAACATCCCACTTGGTGCCCAGAATGGACACTGCCTGGACACAGTGCTCTGACCCACTGTGGCCTCTAACCCGGGCTACCCTTTTCTGGGGATGAAGCAACACTGAGGATTTGTTTTCTACGTAGGATAAGACTTGCTATCAGTAACCCTTCTCTGTATTCATTGTTATACTACCTGTCCCTGGGTGAGACCCATTCCCCAAACCAGTGCGTTCTCTTGTATCAGAACATTTCCTCTGTCATTGGGCCATTACTTCTCCATGACCTTTCTTGGGACTCAGGGGGCTGCCCTGTCCAAGGGGCCCACTTCTGCCTCACAGGGTCCTGAGTGCCCAGTGTGGTCAGCCAGGTGACTCAATGCCAAGATTGGACTGGGGATGTGTAGCCTCACTTGTAAATAGTCAATGTAGCCATAAATCAGTGCATCAGCGTGCACTGCTCCTACCATCCCTGGTGCCCCAAGCCTGATTGTGCCACAGAGCTTAGAAAGTAACAGTGAAAGTGGATATGAATTTTAATGTGTTCTGTTTCCGCTTTGTTGCCACAGCTGATGATGACTCATCTTGCAAACTACCGAGTGGTGAAGCAGGAATTATTTGGGATAGCATATGCTTTGCCTTCCTCCTGCTTCAAAGAAGAGTGTTCATGAGTTATTACTTCCTACATGTCGTGGCTGACATTAAAGCCTCACAGATCCTGGCATCAAGGTGGGTCAGGCCATGCAGTCAAGTGGTTTGTCTCGGAAACTTGCCTGCAGGTAACGTGGCACTGTGCTTTCTACGGAGCTCGCTTGGAGAACCCAGAAATCCCTCCCAAGAAAACCAACTCAAGAAGGATTTAGCACATGCTTGTAAGATCGCAAATGGAATAGTAATGAGAAAGTTCACGGCACTAAGTCCCGCTTTACAAGGACTTGGGACTCTGTGGAGGGTCAGAGAAATGCCAGTCTTCAAGGTCTCCCAGGACACAGTCCCAGATGAGAAGTAATTCATTCTGGCCTCACACAAACAGTAGCATGGGCCATGCTGCTCTAGAGTTTAGTCTATCTTCCTCTCTGCCCCTAGCTTAATAATAAATTGCTGAACATGGAGAAAAGCCTTATTATCTCCTGCAGTGCAGGTCCTAAGCAGAGAAGCAGTGTGCCAGCCTCACTCTAAGCCCTCCTACTTCTCTCTTACCCCTTCCTTCCTTCCTATCCCCTCCCCCAATTCACCTGGTTTTCTTTGGGCCACTGGCACAATTTGCGGTACTAATCTTCTCCCTGTTAGAGGCCATTCTTCTTCATGGTGTTTGCCCCTGCTTTGTAGCTTTAGTTAAAAAAAAAAAAAAAAAAAAAAAAAAAAAAGGACCAGGATTAGAGATAATGCCATCAAGGTGGGGACAAGAAGGAGTGTCAGTGGCCAGCTGTGTGACCCCCCCACCCCCAGACAGCTGCACTCATCTCAAAGGCACTGGCCTTGCCTGGACCCCTGGTGCTTGTGGTCCGTCAGACATCAGGTTCTATCTTACGCAGCTACTGTTATCTACCCCTGGACTTGTGCTCTAACTCCCACGTCTGCACTCCTGCTTCCCCAGAGCCTTTGCTTCACCTACCAGGATCAACCAAAGTCCATTTGTTGGCGGCAGTGCCCAGCTTTTGTGACCTAACTTGAACGTTAGCCAAATAGAAAGAAGACACAGAAAAGGGATCTACATTTATTCCTTATGGCACCCTTAGCCCCCTTTATGTAGATGAACAATGATTCCTTTTATGTATAAGACTGGCCCTGAAATTTATCCAATAGTTTTCCTCTTCACAGCTTTATAGATAGAAGATTCATTCTTACCATGGATCTTAGCAGTCTCACCATAGGATATTTTTTCTTCCCTTCCCAAGTCAAGAACTTTCACCTTTTCCCTTATAAGGAGCCCTTTGTGGCTTCTCTCTGGTATATCTGATTGCCAATATCCCTACTCATGTGCTTTGGAGCTGTTATCAAATAAAATAAGGGTGACTTGAACATAAGCACCATACTACTGCAGTCCATCTGGTAATTGAGACACAACTGCTAAATTTCTACCGAGTGGATAGTGTATACAATGTGGATGCATGCTGGGACAAAGGCATGATTCATGTCCACGGCAGATGGCCCAAGATTTCATCGTGCTACACAGTCCAGCCAGTATACACTGTAAAACAGGCCAATTGTTTATTTCTTGAATTTTTCACTCAATATTTTCAGAACGTGCTTGACCTTGTGTAACTGGAAGGGCAGATACAGGGGGACTACTTGTAATCGTCTTTATCAGGAGAAGCTGAACAACAACAAGACTACTAATTTGTTCTGTGTTCCCGATTTTCCTCTAGAGGGGCTGAACTTTTCCAGGCCACAATTGTAAAGGCTGTAAAGGCAAGAATTGAGGAAGAGAAAAAGTCCATGGATCAGCTTAAAAGACAGTAAGATGTTTGGTTCACTCTCATTCTCCGTCCTCGTTGTTTTCTGATTCGTATGACCGCATTTCAGCTGACTCTCAGCCCTCGGGGAGCCTCAAACCCTGGAAAATCGATTCATGTTCACAGCTTCCCAGGTAGTTACACTCATGTCAGGGTAATGGCTTCACCTGCCTGACTGAAGATGAAAGTGGTTTCACAGAGCAAAGCTTCCACTAGAGTGAAAAGGGAGCTGTCTGAATAGCACCAGCGCCCAGTTCCTAGTTCAGTTACTTGGTTTTGAACTCTGAATGGGTCATTCAAGTTCTCTGAATTTCAATTTCCCATTTTTAAATTAGGGCTCACAGTTCTACCTTTCTGGATTTTTGTAAAGACGAAATTAGTTAATGAATGAGACAGGGTCTTGCCCAGTGCCAAGCATTTAAAGTAAACACTCATTACACTCATAGGTTAAGGGAAAGAAGTGAGATGCACCTTTTGAGATGCTATAACCCAGTCTCTGGGAGGAAACTGATGGCCTCTGGTGTTAAATGGTGTACAGTTCACAGAGGCAGCACTGGATGCACAGTCCGGGGCTGGCATTTGGCCCAGTGGTTAAGCTGCTGCTTTGGACAGCTGCATCCCATATCAAGCGTCTGAGTTCAAGCCTCAGCCCCAGTCTCAGCTCCAGCTTCCTGCTGGTGTGCACCCTGGGAGGCGGCAGGTGATGACAGGTAGTCGGGTCCCTGCCACCCCTTTGGGAAACCCGGATTGAGTTCTTTGGCCTGGCCCGGCCTCAGCTGTTGTGGGCTCTTAGGGAGTAAACCAGTAGATAGGGAAATTCTCTCTCTCTTCTCAGTCTCTCTCTATTTCTCTCTGCATCTCAAATAAAGTCCATTAAAGCTTTCTTAACAAAAGAAAAAAGGGGCCGGTGTTGGTGTTGTGGTGTGGTGGGTGAGGCAACAGCCTGTGATACCAGCATCCCGTGTGGGTGCCAGTTCTGTCCTGGCTGTTCCACTTCTGATCCGGCATCCTAGCTGTTGGCCTGACAACTGTGGCTGAAGATGGCCCAAATGCTTGGGACACTCTGCCCATAGGGGAACACGGATCGGCCTGGCTCAGTGCTGGCTGTTGTTGCCATTTGGGGAGTGAACAAGCAGATAGAAGATCTCTGTCTCTCCCTCTGTCTCTGTAACTCTGCCTTTCACATAAATAAAATAAGTCTTTCAAATAAATAGATGAATCTTAAAAAAAAAAAAAAAAGAAAAAGAGGGACCAGCATTGTGATGTAGTGGGTAAAGTTGCCACCTGGGACACCAGCATCCCATATGGGCTCCAGTTCTTGTCCTGGCTGCTTGACTTCTGATCCAGCTCCCTTCTGATGTCCTGGGGAAAGCAGCAGAAGATGGCCCAAGTGTTTGAGCCTTTGCTGCCAATGTGGGAGACCCAGATGAAGCTCTGGCTCCTAGCTTAAGCCTGGCTCAGGCCTGGCTGTTGTGGCCATCTGGAGAGTGAACCAGTGGATGGAAGATCACTCTCTCTGTGTCTTTTCCTCTCTCTGTAACTCTTATGTTCAAATAAATAGATAAAATCTTTATTAAAAAAAAGAAAAATAAACATAATCTATATGTCCTTATATTCGGTTCAAAGCTTTTCCTACCACACCATGCTGGATGGATCAAGGAATGGATGGACACTCTCCAGGAGATTTGAAAGTTGCATTAAAAGGAAATGTCTTCAAGTGACGTTTCCAGAAGTGAATCCAACCTCTGAGCACTGGTGGCGCATTGTATGTTTGGGGACCAGGTTCAAAAGCTGAAAGCTGTAGAATTCAAAACTTCAACACTTTCCCCAAGCAAATGCAGTCCATCTGCTCACTGGGAACATTTCTAAGAGTTCACTAGAGCAGCCTCTTCATTCCATACCGACTTCAAATCCAAGTTTTTCCCCCCAAGCAAAAATATTTCCTAGTAGAAATTTGATTATTCCAGGGCTTATTATTGTTACAAAGATGTAAACCTATATATAAAAAATATAATGCAAATACAATATGACTCACTGTTATGATTGCTGTTTCTAGCCATCCAGATGAGGTCTAGAGGAATAACAAATTTGGATTCACATTTAGAACGTGTTCTGTTTCCCATAAGTGAGGCCTGTTATTGTAATTTACTTCGCTGACTTTTTCCATTTGTTCAAGAAGGCAAAAATTGCATAGAAAAGGACTTGTATTTCATAATAACTACATTCAGACTGGCTAAGATACAAGCCACGAATAGACATTGATTATTACATACCAAGCCTTAGCATAGTAATTATTAATCATATTATTAAGACTAGTGTCTATGCAGTAGAGATAGCATAGCTATATATCCAGCAGAAACTTGTTACTCATAAGCGACCAGTTTATAATCCTCAGGTATTCCAAAGTGCATTGGAATACATTGTCCATGTTCAGTTCAGTCCAATATACAGGCTAGTGTGAATGTGTTCTTGGCATTACTGATGCTGGTTTGTTTTATAGGATGGATCGCATCAAGGCCAGGCAACAGAAATACAAAAAGGGTAAGGAGAGGATGCTGAGTTTGACCCAGGAATCAGGGGAAGGCCAGGACATCCAAAAACTCTCTGAAGAGGATGATGAAAGTACGTCAAGATATTTCCTTCTTATTCAAGTACCTTGACATTGAGTCGTAACATGACATTGCCAATATTATCACTGCATTTTCTTTAACTCAATACGTTTTCCTTTCCCATTATGAATGGGATAAATTTATTGTTTCATAAAGCATATATTTGATGACTCAATGACCTTATGCAAACCAGTCTTCTTTAGTAAACACATCACCTCACTTTATTTCCCAGACATTCATTTTTCAAGAAATTTGGCATAATTTTGCTGAACATGTTCCTTTAGGGAGGCTATTTCATATATGCAGTCTACTATTGTGTTCTATTTCTATAAATTTTATATGAAAATGAAAAACATATGCATACTTTATGTGGCACCTGAATATTGGTAGTTAAAATATTCCATTGTTGCCCATTCCAATGAAACATAAAGTGAAATATATACATATATATTATATCTAATTATAGACTTGTTCTAAAAAATTGAACATTAAAAGGTCTTTTTGTAGAGGTTCACATGCTTTTCCACTGGAAAAGAATGGAAAAATAGTTCTTGATTTTTTTTCAATGTATCTGTTCACTATCCATACATTTTTATTTTCTAATAATGCACCAAAATAATGACAAGAAAGTTTTCTTATTATGATAATTAATATATTTAACCAATTATTTGTCCCTAAATGATTCTATAAAATTTGAGTGATACTTCTTTTCTGTTAATTCAGTGTGAGATGCATTTTTGTCAGATAATCCCTTCATTTTTAGATTGCTTTATATACCCTCATTACTAAGAAGAAACTGAAAATGTAGCCTACTGTAAAAAGAACAATTAGTACTTACCTTCTGAAATTGACTGTTAATACATGTATGCTTTTCAGATTCAGTATAATTCCTTTTCCTGACCTCTGATGTACTTTAGCAATTTACTTAGATTTGACAATTGAGTTGTTAAAGCGTGGTTTTCAAAATTTGTTTTCTCACTTTATAAGAATTAATATTTGGACATATTTTATTTTAGGAGAAGCAGAAAAACAGAAAGCCAAGGGCAAAAAAAAGCAGTGGTGGCGGCCTTGGGTTGATCATGCTTCCAGTAGGTTTTCTCGATCCTCTTACAATCTCATCGACTTTAACCCTTATATCCTTGACCAGAATTCAGGCACCCCCATGACCTGTGTGTCCCATGCATGGTTTGACCCTTGTGACTTGATAGAGGGGTTGGAGTGTAAGAAAATTGCCATGTCAGTGGGTCTCTGGGCTCTGGGAACCCAGAGAACTGGTTCTTCCAAAGAAACCAGCTGATAACCATGCTGGCTACTGTAAGTCAAACACAGAAGGCTTACAAACTCTTGAGCACAAGTTAAGGGCTGAGAAAGGGAAGAATTACCGTATTATCCAATTCTGAAGTCTAGAGCTCTGCTAATATTTATTTGTTTTATTGCTGAAAACCTTTCTGGCAATGAGTTTGGGCTTGTCCTTGCATTCTGACTGAAGGGTGATCTTCCAAGTTTTTGTGACCAACTGTCTGGGTAAGGCACTAGGCCAGGAAGCCAGTGAGTATCCTCTCCCCCTGGATCCGACAGCTTTGGTTTTTTTTTTTTTTTTTTTTGCATTTAAACATCAAGATCAGGAATCACTTAAAATGCATTCAGTGTTGCACTTTGCCTCTTCACCAGTCTCAAGAAAGCTATAAAACTGCACCCCAAACCGCAATGCCCAGCATGTGGTACAGCCACTGAACCTCGTCCTGCTCAATGATGGCCAGTGAACAGCCAAGATAAGGAAAAGCTTGAGAAACAAGGCTTGGCAGCCACACAGAGCACAGTCTGCTTCCCTGTGGAACTCAATGTCTGTATTTGCTCTGCTTATTGACAAAGGAAATATCACCATTAACCAATGGTGTTATAATGAAATAACTCATTTCAAGCTAGTCCTCCTTAAGTTTCTTAGAATATTAAATAATTATTTTGCAAATCACTTGTAGTAGTTTAGATTTTTATCCCTTATTCTGTGTCTCCATGACTATACCTAATCTACTCAGATGAGGAATATCACCAAGGTGCATAATATCACACAGTGGCGGGGATTCTCTGTAGGATATTCAGAATCACTAGAAAATCAAAAACATCAGAATTTTTTCCTATTTTGAATTCATAGTGTCACATAGATGCCATGTTAGCCTGTCTCACCCAAAAAATAATTTTCTAAAATTGACAAGGTAGTTTAATGAAGCAGTATTTGAAATTTTCTCAGTAAACCTGTATATAGTTCAATTCAATCCCCAATACTGAGTTTCAGCATTATGGCAAGAACAAGTCCCAGCACATGAGTTACTAAGACTTTTGTTTAAGTTTCTGCCCAAGTCCAAACACAGAGATTCAGGTTGAAATTCAGTTTGACTCTTTCCTTTATTGTTCACTGATACATTAATCAAGCTAACAGCCTGACAATGTGGTGCCCGAGATGCCTGGTTCTATCAAGTCACAAGTAAACTGTGCCTTTTCCTATTGTCAGAGGTCCTTTGCTAGTTTAGAGCGACCTATCCATTTCAAAATCATGTCGTATTTAATGTTTTGTCCTTTCACCTGGGGTCAATTCCCATTGCAATCACTATGGTTGTCCTTCCTTTTCTCCTCTAAACATTGTATTTTTGAAGGAATTGGATATGGTCTTTGATAATCATCTTACAAGTTGGTAATAATTTAAAGAACTATGAAGATTATTGATGTTAGATATTTCTGATTCATTTCACCCTCATTATATAAAGTTTTTGAAGACTGATATTAAAGTAAATGTGCCTTGTTACAATACCTTATGGTGCAATAATGCAGAAATGTGTGTAATTCATAGTTTGGAATCGTATTTTGACTACAATATTAATTTTTTCTGCAAAATGCATTTCTTTTACAAGCTTGCAAGGAATGAAAGGGGAAGAATGTGTAGTTTATTTTTTATTCTATGATGAGTTCCAGAACTTATTTTTAAATCTGGAAATACTTTATTAAAAGCTCTTATTCTTTTTGAGTTAGTGGGCTTTCAAATAGAGATTTCTTGGATATGCTGTAAAAGAATAAGTGTGGTTGGAATACCAATGTAGAAATCTGTTAACAACCTAATCATGTTATTATGTTGTTGATAATATTGGTAAAAAGCAGTGATGATCTTAGCATGATTTTAGGTGATAAATTTCCTACTTCCATTCCTATGTACACACATATGGTTGCATTATTGCTGTTCAATGATACCTTCCATTCAGTATTGTATACCTCTGTATCAGTTCAATACCAAGCCTTGCTTTGTTGGTAAAAATCTGAAATGAAGGGCCGAGTTTCTCAGGATACAACTAGTGGGTTTTAAAAAGTTAATGTTGGACTTCAGCTATCACATCAATATCCATGACGTGTAAATGGACGCAGGCTAGAAGCAGGCCCTCCATCTAAAATGATGAACACATGACAGAGGCTTTCTACTACTATTAGCAGATGGCACTTAAGAGAGTACTCTTTGTTGTTTTTCCAGTTTGGTCTCAATAACATTTTGTAAGGGAATGAGACTTTTTTATGCGTTTCCTTCTTTTTCCAATGTGTTCACTCCACTTGCTCACCTACAAATTGGTAAAGTTTCTAATGATAACCTCAGTGTTATAACTGATTGAGTTGAAAACTGTTTGGGCTCAGGCAGATGAGCAAAAGCTATAGAAGGTATGATTGAATACAACTTAAGCTACCATTGATTTTAGAGCCTATAATGAGGGTAGAATGCTCCATCATATACTACTGTGCGGTCTTTTTCTAAGTGATCATCCCACGTGGAACCCATATAACTTTCCCGCAAATGTCTCAGCTTCCGTGAAGGCATTACTTTCATGGTCATCTTCACTGTCAAATGTAATGCTGTAACTTTGATTTTTTTCTCGCTTATTCTACCCTATGTTGTATTGCATTGATTTCCTCAGGCCTGGACCCAGTACTCTAGGCCTGGTTTTTTCTTCAAAATACAAATAACAAATGACAGTGCTTCTGTTCAAGGATATAAGGCCCAATTCATTACTCTGCATCTTCATGAATGAACACTTCTGATTCGTCTGAAATCATGGGCAAAATTACTTATTATTTTTTTTACTATGCTCAGTGATGTCCAAGCAACTAATTTTAAACAAGTCAAGGTTTTCCATTATCCTGTGATGTAAAAGTCCAAAAGATAACTTAAGATGTCACATCCTGTTACCCAAAAGATACCTCAGCATTTGCTAATCTGAATATAATTTTGAAAATCTGACAGTGTTTTCTTGCAACAATGATACAGTTCTTGTAGCATCAGAATGCAAATGCTGAGTCTCTTTTCTCTGATAAAACAATGATGCAACAGATAAAGATTGAATTTCTGAAATTTCTTTCACTTTCTGGACTCCCAACTCAACATAGGCAATGCATTCTTGCAGGGAAAGTAGCAGACAAAGACAATCCGTACTATTGTGCTCTGTGTCTTGCGATCAGTAGAACTCTCCTCAAATTTCATGAGCTACTGGGGAGTTCCTGGTTGACCAGAAGCCTAACAGTGCTAAACCACATGGACCATTGTCTTTCATTCTTCCTCTGGTCCCATGGCTACATGTAGATGCAGCCAGAGCAGTGGTGTTTGTTGTTGTTGTTGTTGTTGTTCTGTGTTTTGTTGAATTTTGGTTTTAATGTTACCTGCCCATATCCTCTCTGTGGCCACATTTCATTTTTGTTTTGGTTTTGTTAAACTTTTCAAAATGTCTTGTCCTATATGTTATGTCTCTTGTGTTTCATGTGGAAAGCCAGGTCTGCACAGTATAAAGTGAAGTAGAAGGTTGGTCGCACTGATCTTGGTCCTGCGTCATCCTGATTGACTGATTCATAACCGTTTGGGTCCATTCAGACCATGCCAGATCCTCCACTTCACTTTGGCCTTGTCTAAAAGGGATCAAAATTGCTGAATTATGAAATAATTGTTTTCAGGCTTTTTTGCCATCATGGCAACAAAACTGGTCACTATGGAGTTGATCCAATTCATCTGTGTAAAATTTACAGTGGAACAAGGAACAAATATGAGATCAAGTCTGTGGTGGCCAATTCTCTTATATGGCATAGACAAGGCCTCATACTCTGTGGATCCAATAAGGCCAACACCATGTAGCATTATCCTAAAATGGGTTCTATTCATTCTTGATTTTTCCTACCTGCCAATATGTCTTGCTGTGGTCTTTGTGTGAATAATTTATTTTTTGTTATGGGGCATTTTTGTTAACAAACCCCCAATGATCTCATACCTCTTTCAAAGAAATAAGTAAATATTTTGTTTTGCTTAGTGGTCAGGAGTGGAGATTATTATTTGTTTGAAACGGATAGTGAAGAAGAGGAAGAGGAAGAGTTAAAGAAGGAAGATGAAGAACCACCCCGGAAGTCAGCTTTCCAGGTAATCACGGAGTTGAGAAAAATCGTGTTCTCTTGTAGGGGGAGTTTTGCTCATTGACAGATCTTAACTGCAAGCCTACATTTTCTTTTTCCTGTGTTCACATGTCTTAGCTCTCAGAAGCTGTTGCCTCACATCTGAACTTGTTCACCTCTAATCAAACTATAACATTGCCTGCTCTCAGCATTGCCACAATCATTTCACACAAAAACAGTATTCAGGTCAGGTCTTTATCCTCTTGCATCAAACAGTTTTTCTGATGTCATAAACAAAAAATAAAGTTTCTTGGGGTGAACTTTATATTTTATTGCAAGTAGGAAGGAAAGAAGACTCCTTTGGTATTGCTTTGGGTTGCTTCAATAGACTTGTACTCCATTTGTAGAATAATTGATCATGAAAATAAAGCATCTGCCTCATGTTGATGCAAATGATCATTACATGTTGTTTCAAATTTTGAAAATCAGTCGCATTTGTGTTGCTAAAAGCTTGAGAATACATTGACATAATTATAAGACTATCTGGCACAGTTCTGAGCTTTCAGCCTAACTGCCTTTCTGTTTCAGAGCCTGCTATCTCATTCCCAGCTATAGCTCATCAGCCTGATGTAGCACCCTCGGGGAATGTGAATCAATGCTTGTTAAAGATGACATTTTGTCATTAAAATTGCACACAGGATGAAAATGTGGTGTATGTTTCTCTTTCCAGTGAACCATATACTGGCACGGTTATTTAGCATTTGTTATACTAAAGGCACATGGAGTGATATCACAGGATATGCCCATGACAAGGCTGCTGGCCAGGCCTTCCCAGTCTGGTGGTTTCTGGCCCCTCTTGTCTTCCCAATGAAATAGAAGAACTCGAAAATTCTTGGAGACCTTTGGGTCTGATGGTGTCTCACTGGCCCCATGGTTTCCCTTGTATGTTTTCTAGTGACCATGTTTGTGTGCATGTATGCTGGCTTGTCAAATACTAATGACTTAACATGTTTATTTTATGCTAATGGTGTTATCGTAACCACCACTCGTCATGCATCGAAGCAGAGAATGTGACCGTCTTGACCATGTTTGATGGATTACTGTTTTCTTTCTTCCTAACTTAGCAAACAGCACCTTTTATTCCAGCTTCAATGACCAGCATGTTCTAACTTTGTTGATAAATTTGTAGAGACCAACCCGTACTGACATCATCTATTAAATTATTAGATTTTGTTTTTTTCTACTAATTACTCTTGCTTTGTCCTTCTTTGTAGAGAGCTATTGGGAAGTTTGCGTCAGCCATTTTAGCCTTGCCAAAGTCTGTCATTAAACTTCCCAAAACTATTCTTCAGTATTTAATCAGAGCTGCAAAGGTATTTGATGTTTTACTGATGTGTAGTGTGTGACTCTCCGCTCCTTAGAACTTTAGACAAACTGTGCCCTGTATCTGCATTTTTTCTCTTCTACAGAACACGTCATGAGGAATTACAAGGTTGTAAACCATTAGGAAAAGTTTTCCAAAAGAGTTCTTAGGAGCCAAATTTCTTGTTCCTTGATTTTTGTTTTGTAAGCTGACACCAGAGACTATCAAAAAGTAGAAAGAGAAAATGCAGATACTCCATGAATGAGGGTTTTTTCACAAAGCCCATGGAAAATGTGGATTTTGGAAAAAGATGTATGGATTTTCTTTTTTTTTTTTTTTGCATTGAAATAAACTTAGCATTTAATTCCATTTTCCATAAGCTTTCTTAAATTCCCTCATACTTTCTTGTTCTCATAGTTTTGCCTAAGTCACATCTCTCTCTATAAGGGCCACAAATGGTTGCATGCATCAGTTATGATGAGTAAAAAATATGGCAGATTTTCTCAGAAAGCTGGTAACATTATGGAGAAGCTAATGAAAGATTCCTCCTGTCCCCATCTCCTTCTCTATCTTCCTACACTGGATCTGAATGTAGTCCCTTTCCTTTCTGGATTGTTCTTCTACAGATAGTCTGCATAGCCCTTCACTCCCACAGGGTCCCCGATAGTGCCTTTGAGTACATTGCTTAAAAAACCATTTGACAACTCATCTAGAAGTTATTCAGCTACCTACGCAGCAGTCACTTCACGACTGAAAGCCACAGACAATAAATTGCTGTTCTTGAATTTTACAGAAAGCTGTCTGTCTTGAACTAAGTCAGGGGCAGGCACTAAAACTTATGAGTCTCTTCTCAAGCACTGAGGAGGTGGGTTGGGTGGTGTGAGAGTCGGCCTCGTGGTTTACCTGGGGTCTTATGTAAATGCAGGCTCTGCTTCAGCAGGTCTGACCGGACCTGGAGTTCCCAGGTGAAGCTCACTCTACTGGTCTACCATGGGTGGCAGAGTCCAGACCTCCAGGCTCCTTGCATTTTTTTAAAAACGCTGGCATCCTGATTTTTAGATTACTATCTGCTATTGCTGCTTCTTTGGGGTTCTGTTTCTCTTTTCTTTTACGGCTCCCATGTGACTGTCTCTCAGTTCATATTTCAATGAGGGATTACAGTGGAATCATGCCTCCTGTTACTTTTAAAAAGAATCTTGCAGTTAAAGAAGGTGCTGGATCACACCTAAATTAGATGCCAGCCATGAGGGGCCGGGGTTGTGGTGCAATGGATTAAGCCCACTTCAGTGCCCACTTGTGACCCTGATAGCCCATATCAAAATGCTGGTTCAAGTCCTAGCTGCTCCACTTCCTATCCAGCTCCCTGCTAATGCACCACCTGGGAAGGCAGCAGGATGACCTAAGGGTTTGGGCCCCTGCCACCCAAGCAGAAGACCAGGATAGTGTTCTGGGCTCATGGCTTCATCCTGGCCCAGATCTAGCTATTGGGGCCATTTCAGGAGTAAACCAGCAAATGGAAGATCTCTGTCTCTCTCTCTCTCTGTCTCTCTCTCTCTCTGTCTGTCTCTCTCCCTCTCTTCTTCTCCCTCTCCCTCTCCCTCTCTTCTTTCTCTGCTTTTCAAATAAATAAGCAAACCTTAGGGAAAACAGGACAGACATGAAATTGCACCAGTTTCAGTTAAGTACTCCACCTCAATAAAGCTCAGTCTGTTTTAATAAAAAAAATTGGATTTTTGCATAATTAGTCTTCAGTAAAATGAATACCACTTTCCCTAATACATATGATTAAAGAGAATGTCATTTAAGATGAAATCAATTGAGGACACATGCTAGAGGCAGTTGCCTTCTGGAGAACACAGCAGTCCTCTTAAATCCAGTGCCCTGTGCTTTTCTGCTTAAGGTTGGTGACATTTGTGTCTGACTCCGCGGAGAGCCACGCTGGCCCAGATGATGCTTACAGCCACCAAGTGGAAACCTGGAAGTTGAGTGAGAACCTCCCATTCCTTGACTCAGCAGGGTCTGGGATGTTTCCTCTTCCTCTTTGGTTGTCAATGTTTTTTTCTAAGACAGACCAAGGCCCAAGTGACCCGCAGTCTTTGCAGATATCCCTGGAACTGTAAAATGTATTTCAAAAAACATTGGTGTTAAGATGGTTTCCCTACAAATAAGGAGATGTCATGAGGTCCCCCACTCCTCTTGCTTCCCCCTGATTCGCATTTTCTCAGTTCTCCTCTCCCTGAGACAGCAGTGACAGGCTTATCCTTTAGGGATCCTGTGTGCCAGCCTGGAGTTTCCTTTCAATACCTGTGTCAGTGGTACCTGCCCTTCCTATGAGACTCCGTTGGTTCTGCCCCTAGTGCCACTCCCTTCTCCCCTTCTCCCTTTCCCCTCTGGCTTTTCCCCCATTTTTTTTAGAGCAAAAGAATTTCTATAACCTGTGTGCCTGTTATATTCACAAATCCTAATTACTTATTTTTTATTTTCTATTTTTGGGGATTTTTGCATTATCTAAAAGCAATATCGTAATAACACTTTTCAAAGTAACTATCAACATAAACTCCTCTTAAACTGTACGTTTCTTATATGTGGTAGCTGAGCTTCCTTTAAAATCACCAATACTGTGCCAAAGCAAGTTTGCTTACTTGCCTACTAAACCTCAGAGATATTCTCAATGGCTTCCCAGTGAGCATGCTCAGTGAACAACTGCCATCAATCTCCATATTTGGTTCTTATCCTTCAAATTCCAGTTCACCTTCTCATTTTTGAAACTATGTTTTTGGCATTAAATAGGATGTTTGTTTTTTTTTTTTTTTTTTTTTTTTGCCTCCTGGATTTGTTACTCAGAAATAATAAAGACATTGCATTTGTTTTCATGTGGAAAAAAAAAAAAGACCTGTTCCCTCTTAGTAACCTATTGCCTCCACGTTTCCATACTTGGCATGTGAATGTTGAAACCTCTTTACTTTTCACTGACATCTCAAGGTCAATGGCTTCCATAGGCAGTGTTTTTCAAAGACTGCATAAATCTGAAAATCATATAGAACAAAACAGAACTATCTGGGTTTCCCAGAGCCCCGCCAAACGTTTCCTGAACCCCAGCATCGCAGGGCAAAGCCAGCTTCCCTGAGACCAGGGTGTTTGTGGTGCATGAGGCGCATGCCTGCTTGGCTTCGGGACTCCCGGGGCTGAGTCTGCAGATCCAGTCTTTCCTTTTGTTTCTTCTGCATGGCTTGGGAGACTACGGGTGGGCAGGCTGCTCAAAATTGCTCTTCCCTGGTTATCGCTTAATAATCCATTCATGTGACTGGTTCCAGCTCTTGAGTGAAAATGACAAAAGGCGACCAAAAGCACCACAGTTTTCCTTCCATACTGTTCTCGAACAGCTCTTTGATCTTAATGTCGCATTGTTTTTCCCCTCAATGTACTTGTTAATCCACAAACCCATTTCTCACATCGCTGGTAATAGCTGTCATTCACATGGGAGAGTATCAAATATGCAAAAGCTATTTTCCCAAAGTCCATGAGATTACTAAGGATATTAGTTTGTTTTGGACTCAGAGTTTATTGTGATGGGGGAAACTGCTCTATAGATACTTAAGGAGGCATCCAACTCATTCCTGGTGTGTGTAGTGCGAAAGAATCAGGAACTAGTACCACAGGTGGTGGTAAGATTTGGGAGAAGGCAGAATCAGTGGCTTACACGCTCACTTGGTGATCATCTGTGAAACCAACAAAATCTATTCCTGCAACACCTGTTTTCCTTTTTAATCTCATGATTGGGAAAATAGCACAGAGCAGCTCAACATATTCAGGTGGGAGACAGCCGTGGAACTCACGTTGGGAGGGGGAAAATCCCCCAAAGTAAGGAATTTTGTTGTGGACCCCCTTTTCTTTTAATTCCAAATGATCAAAAGGTCAGAAACTAATTTAGCTTTGTCTCTTCAGTTTGTTTACCAAGCCTGGATCACCGACCCTAAAACTGCCCTCCGACAGAGACGCAAAGAGAAAAAGAGATCCGCAAGAGAAGACCAGAAACGAAGGCGGAAAGGCTCTGGGGACGGTGAGTCGTGGGCGGGAGCAGCAGTGCCCAGCAGTGCTCCGTGCGCCCCAGCGCCGCTGCCAAGCACAGAGGTCTCCAGAGAGGGCATTTTAAATTCCAAAGCCTTTGGTTTCCTTTGTCACGCGTGGCTCCTATCCCAGGACACTTGTAATAAATGAAAGCATGAATTTAAGATGTAAACTATAAAGTGGTAAGAGATGAGAGCCATAAAATGAACCCAAAGAAAGTAGCTAGAAGAAAAAGGATTTTTTAGGCAATGTTAAGTAATAAATAAGAAAGACAAGACTTGAGATTCAGTTACAAGCTGTTCTTGGATAAAAGCCAGTAAGAAAGATGAACCTTTGTCAATTTTATCAAAGAGAGAAAGGGAGCACACTAAAAAATATACAGGAACAACAACAACAACAAAACATAACTACTACTACCATATTCAACATAATGCCAAAACATTTGAAAACATATGAAATAAACACTTTTCTAAGAGGAAAATTATTCTGACCTTCAATGCTAAAGCTTAAGTGCTGCACTCAGCAATATTTCCATTGTACAAAGCAGGTTAAAGACTACTATTCTGGATACTAAAAAGGAAATAAAAGAAAATTCAGCCCAATATATGAAAGGTTATTGAAAAAAAATGACAGACTAGAAAATGGAAATAGTCAAAAGACACATAGCCTCATTAGGAGTATGAGAATCACAAACTAAATATTTCAACATACTGTTTTTTGTTTTGTTTTGCTTTTTAGTCTGTTGGATTGGTAAGAACCTAAACATGTCATAATATCTCCGTCTAGGAACTGGTGAGAATATAAGTAAATGCACACACCATGACAGGCGTTACCAAATAGAATATCCAGTTTCACAGCTTGGCTTCCCAACCAGCTCCTGACTAATGCGCCTGAGAAAGCAGTAGAGGATGGCCCAAGTCCATGGGCCCATGCCACCCGCCTGAGAGACTCAGATGGAGTTCCAGGCTCCTGGCTTTGGCCTGGCCCAGCCCTGGCCATTGAGGCCATTTGGAAGTGAAACAGCAGGTGCAAGATTCTCTCTCTCTCTCTTCTCTCCTTCTCGCCACAGGTCTGCTTTTCAAATCAATAAATGTCTTTAAAAATAATATAAAAATACTATATCAACCTTCAAGAACTGTGTCAATGTCGATTAAAATTTCAGTGCACACATGATGCTACAGACCAATCCCACTTAGGGGTGTGTAGTTTAGCCTGAAGAAGTATTCTCATATGTGCACAAGCACACAAGTTCAAGAATATTCATCAAACATATTTGTTACTAAAAAATATTTGGGAACCTCCTGAATCTCCATATAAATAAGAGTCAAGTGAATTATGTTACCAACATATTGTGGAATACTATTCAATAGTTTAAAAAATGAGATGGATGGCTTTGAACTGGCGTGGAGAACAATGCCTGTCATATGGTTAAGTGAAAACAGTGCATTGCAAAATGGCATGCACATTATGAAAACACTCCCAGAACAAAGGAAGCCAAAGTCCCTCTAGACAATATTTTCATTTTTAATGAGTGCATATAATAGTGTCTAAATGCAAAAGGAAAGATCAGGAAGAATACTTAGCATATTAATAGTGGTAACTTCTTAGGCATATGGAGATTGTGATATGATGACAGGAAACTCTAGGCTTCTCAATTACAATTTGATTTCTTGCAAAGAAAATGTATTTATAGATTCCTTGTTAAATGAAAAAAGTATGCAAAAATAAAGAGAAAACATAATTTTTAACGAAGCTATAATTACAAAACCTTTTGACCTTTTGAACTTTCTTCCTCTGGACACCTCCTGGTAACTTGAATTTTATTTTATTTTATTTTATGTTTTTTAAAGATTTATTCATTTAATTGATTGAAAGGCGAAGACAACACACACACACACACACACAGAATCTTCAAACCACTGGTTTACACCCCAAATGGCGGCAGAAGCCAGGAATTCCATCCTGGTCTTCCATATGAGTGGCAGGGGCCCAAACACTTGAACCACCATCTGCTGCTGTCCTAGGTACGTTAGCAGGGAGCTGCACTGGAAGCAGAACAGTGGGGATTCAGACCAGCACTCCGATATGGGATACTGGCATCCAGGTGGAGGCTTAACCTGCTGTGTCACAACACCATCCCTTGAATTTTATTCTAGTCTGTGAATTTAAAAGACAAAGTTAACACATACCCAATATAACCAGAGGTGAAGAGGAAGACACACAATTTCCCCCACTCTACTCCCCTCAAACCCTATCCTACCAGCGGTGGTGTTTGTTTCCCCTCCTTTTTTTTTTCTTTTTCCAGGTGGTGCCTACAGATATGTGTGCAGGCACCATTTCCTTTGTTTTTCAAACACAAGTTCACTCTCTACAAACTCCCTTTGTATTTTAACAACAGTACATCATAAACATTTCTCCAAATGCGTATTTGTGAAATAGTATCATTCTTCAATAGCTGTAAAATATGGTATAGTACAGATATGCATAATTTAGTCAACTACGCCAACCTAAATGGACATGAACCTTGCTTCCATATTTTTGCCACAATGAACAATGCTATAATAGCTGTATTTACACAAAAATTCATATTCAGACATACATGTATGTATGTATATGTTTAAGTGCACAGTAAAATTTAGGAAGAAGACATACTTTCCACAAAATAGATTCTCTAAACTGTGTTTACTGGGCAAAAAGGTTGACCTCCCTCTTTTTATTTCAGTAAACATGTTTCTGAGAGTGATTTTAATTAACACCTCTCCATGTAAGGTACAGGAAGGTTTGTGTTCTGTAGCCTCAAGACACTATTGCTGTTTTTGTCGCTTGTCCTTCTGAGGACTGGCAAATAGCTTTTATTTTCATTTGAATTTAATTAAATTCCTGACTAATGAGACTGAGCATTTTTATATGATATTTTAGGTCATTTGTACTTCCAAGTCTAAGAATACTTCTATCATTTTTCCATATAATTCTACTGGGATATTTGTTCTTTTCTTATTGAGGCTACTTGTATGTTCAGTATATTGTTCTTTTTTCTTTATTACAAATATTTTCTCAATATAATGCTTATATTTTGATTTAGATTGTGGTATTTGTTATCTAAACAATTTTTCATTTTTTTCAAGTCAAATAGGTCTAAATTTCTTTTTGTAGCTTCTAGATTTTCATGTTAATTAAGAAAGTCTCTGCCTCCAAATCTAATGCAAGTTTTTCCTGAATTGCCTAATAATTTTATTTACATGTTACTTTTTTTGGTATTTTAAGAAGTAGAGATCTAATTTGTTTACTTGATGGATACACAAATACACACTATTTTTCATTTTTTTAAGATTTCATTTATTTGCTTAAGAGGTAGATTTACAGAGAGAGGGAGAGACAGAGAGAACATGCTGTCTTTATTGAATGATTCTTCCTTTTTCTACTGGGTTTAATTCTACTTTTGTCAATTTTAAGTTTGCATGTATTCTTAAGTATGTTTTTGGGCACTGTATTCTCATCACTTCTCCTATTGCCAAGCTCTGGACCAATTGCCACATACTTTCTTGAATCCAGTAGGTATAGAGTTAGTTTTAATGTTTGGTGAGGCAAATTGTCATCACCAGATTTTTTTCAAAATGGTTTCTACTATTCTAATTTTTTTCTTCCAGTTTTTTTTTTGTTACCTATTTCTAAGAATTTGTCTTTTAGTCATCATGAAAATAGTTCATTACTCCATATCACCAAGATTATTTCATGTGCAGATGCACTATTGTTTACATACACATCAAAAACAGCAGTAATTTGCAGGTACTTGCATTGAAATAATTGTCTGCTTCTTTTCAAAAATATGAGGGGTCACCAAAGATCATAGAAAATACATATTATGTAAAGGTTATGCATGAAATTCAACATTTTTTCTCCAAAATAAAGTTACCCTTTATTTCACTTTTTCCCCAACTCTTGGAAATACCTTCCTATTCATTTAGCACCCTCTTGGTCCCAGGCACCTTATCTTCGGGTTCCTTCTGCGACAGGGAACACATTCTTCACAAGGTGCTGTCCTTGTGGAGAAGCAGGTGCTTAGGAAATGCTTTCTATGCAGTCACTCCCCAGATGCTTACTACAGCTCAGGAGCATTTTCTCAGTCCTGTTACACAGATAACAATACAATTCCAGAGAGTGAAGCGTAACCATTCAAGTTATGCCTGAGGTCACATAACCATGCAAGGAGTATTGGATCTGGATCTTGTAGCAGACATCTGGACTTTAAAACCTTCTATCTTAACCAGTAGGGAAAGCACATATGCATATTTTTTAAATCTTAATGATATAGAAACTACAGAGCTGCTTTTCAAAAAATATAGGCAGACAATAGTGTGGGATCAGAAAAAGAAAGAATTTCTTGTTGCTAGAAATGTCAGGGAATGGTTCATGAAAAAGATAGTATTTGAATAGAGACTGACGTTCTGGCTGAAGAAAGTAAGGCCATGTATGAAAACGAAAGGCTTGGTCAGCTTGGCTGGCAAGGATAAGATGTAAAACAGCAGTAGAAAATAGGATGGAGAAACAGGATTTACCAGGAAGTACATTTGAGAAGAATAACTGGAATAAAATCATGAATGGTCTATCTAAGACCATTGGGTTACCGTTATGGTGGGAAGAATCACTATGTTCCTAAATTTGTACATATGAAATGCATGAATTTTGTATACCTTAAATAAAATTTTGAAAAATCCAAAAAATTTAATTAATTAAACTAAAATTTAAAAAAAGATAGGGTTACCAGGTAAAATGCAATAAACCTCATTAAATTTGTATTTTCTAGTTAAACAGCAACTAGTGTTTAGTTCAAGCATAATTTAGGCATATTTCATTGAATACACTTAGATTAAAAACTTTTGCTTAACTGAAGTTAAGATTTAACTGGGTGTTCTATATTTTCACTTGTTAGGTCTGACAATATTAGCCTTGAATGAGAGGTTATGAAATAAAATGAGGGGCTGTCATTTGGCCTAGTGGTTAAGAGGTCCTCATCCCATATCCGAGTACCTGGGTTCACTTCCCTGTTCCATCTCCTTGCTAATGCAGACTGTGCGAGGTAGAGGTGATAACTCTAGTAACTGGGTCCCTGACACCCATGTGGGAGTCTCAGATTGTATTCCCAACTCCCAGCAGCAGCCCTGATCCAACCCTGGCTGTTGCAAGCATTTGAAGAGTAAATCAGTGGATGGGAGCTCTCTCTCTTCTTCTCTCTCTTTGCTTCTCAAACAAATAAATTCAAAAAATATTTAAAGAAATACAATGACGTCCTATGATGTCCTTTTAAGATATTACACATTAAATTTGCAACATCATCTCAAAATATTAAAAATTAAAATTTCATAACATATCAGGAATCAGTGAGCTTTCTGTGTAAAGGGACAGATGGTAAAAATATGAGGGGTCTTCAAAAGTTTCTGGAAAGGGAGTGTTAGGAAAAAACAATTGATCACTTCTTGGCCTTTTGGCTAAGATCAAGTGTAGGAAAAAACAATTGATGAATTTCAAAAAATTGCACCAAAATAAATGTAATTTTTGGATTCCATTTTCCGTGAACTTTGTCAAGTGTCCTCCTATGTTTGGCTTTGCCATCCAGAAAGGCTCTGTTACAGCTCAGCTCTGCTGTGGTGGGGTCAAAGCAATCAGAGATAACAAATAGGAGTGGCTGATTCTGGTTGGCTGTGGATTTCACATCATCTTCACATGCACAAAGTCTCCTTCTTCAGTGTTTGTGCAAGTATTAAAGATACGACCACCATTCTGAGTTCACGGGCAATGTAACAGCTGTGGGATCTGACCTACCCTTGGTAGACAGGGTTCTTGTCCAGTGGAGTAGGAACACTATGTGAGTTCACACAACTTAGCCCCAGATGCTCTAAAGACAGGCAGAGTGTCTGAGATGTAATTACAAAATTCCTTTTCATCTGGAAGGGCAGGGTTGGCATGACATTTACCCTAAAGGGAATTTAACTCCTCTTTGTTGAACATGCTTGGCAGGTGCGGTGGAATGGGAAGACCGAGAGGATGAACCTGTCAAAAAGAAATCCGATGGCCCAGGTAATACAGTCAAGCAAATGTGAGGATTTGAAGTGATCCCTGCCCAGGTGGTCCACCACGGAAGACTGCCTGACAGGTCCCGACCCAAGCACCCTCTCTGGATTATGACTGTGACTAAGTAATTGCATCCCTTGAATTCTCGTCTCCCCTGAAATTGCAAAGTGACTCCTGAAAGCAGGTCTGGCCTTTCCACTGCTGGATAAAATGTCGGATTCCTGTCGGGCTCTGAATTCCTTTGTGTGATTATGTTTGAGAGAGGGCATTAGTACATTCTAAACTTCCCACGGAAGTCATCAGACCAGAGGCACAAAAGATACTGGTTCTGTTTTTGCAAAATCCGTTACTTATTTTTAACTGATCCCTAATAGTTAGACATACTTATGGTGTTACCTGAGCGAGTGTAAACAAAGGAGCACCACACATTGATAAAATTTGATGGTCCTTTATTGCCAGCGGTGGAGAGTGGGTTCATGCCCTAAAGAACTCTTGACCCTGAAGCCCAAAGCAACAGGGCTTATAAAGGCAAAAACCACAAAATCACGAGGGGAATACATGGTTGCTAGGATCGGGGGAATACATGGTTACTGGGGTCAAGATGACCTAAAACCTATGTGAAACTAATATCAATTATAATTTGACAATTCCTGCTACAATCTTAACAATCTTAATTATAATCTTGACATTAATCCAGGTATTGTTTTTAGTCACATGTAGGACATAGACAAATTACATTTTTATCATTAACCCAGGTGCAGCCTATCCACTTCCAAGCTTGAGCGATCATGCTAGGGGGTTTCTATGCTCTGCCGAGTATGATGCAGTGGACTGCTATTGTCCAACTGTTCTAGATCATAGTTTCAGACCGGAGTCTCATGGTGTGGGGGGGCACCTTCCCAGAATGGAGTCTCAGGTTCTCCAAAATGGAGTCCCTTCCCCACTGTCAAGGTGTTATTCAATGGGGCACAGTATAATAATTTAATGCTAATGGGTGATGATTAAACCAGGGTAATTAGCATACCCTTCACCTCAAGCCTTTATCATTGCTTTGTGTTGAGAACATTTAAAATCCTGTCTTCTAGCTAATTTGGGATATACAGTAAATTATTATTGAAAGAACATGAAGTTAAACGAGAGCTGAATAGAACTGGGAAGAAAAGAAGGACTCTGGAAGCTTGGGACAGCCTCATCCTTTAGGAAGGGAAAACCAAGCCCCAGAGAATCTGTGACTTGCTCAGGACTCTGCAGCTTCAAAGTGTCCAAACCAGGGACAGAACCTGTCTAATAACTCCTGCCCAGTGCGGGTGCCACTTGGGCTTCTCATGCTGTGTGGTTTGGAGGATGGTTCCTCCCTGCAGGAAGGAAAGCCAAACAGACCCAACAAAAGCCCCCCAGAAAGTGAGCTCAGTGCCTGTCTAGTTCTGTTCCATGCCACGCACCCATAGTCACTCACCCCTCAGGGATTCCTGTGCATGTTCTTCACCAGACCGGGAGAGTCAGGCTCCACAACGCCCAGTGCAAAGCCAAGGGGACTTCAAAAAGTTCGTGGAAAATCAGAATTGAAAGCAACACATTTGGAGATACAAAATATCATGAGGTTAATGTGTAGATTTTTCATAAAATGCATTTCCATAATCTTTTGAAAACTCCATGTAAGCATGGATTTCAAACATTTTTGCACCAAAATACACTTAACTTTTAATTCCATTTTTCTATGTACCTTGTAAAACCGCTTGAATTTCCAAGGCTGCCAACTGCTGAATGAAACTTCTCCCAAGCAGTTGCATTACTTACACTTGGTCTTCCATTTCCACACTGATGCACATCTATGTGGAGCCAGATATTCTATGATTATAGCAAAGCTTTATCCAGTAATAGTGGCTAACAATTTAGATTGCCCGACTTGTTTGCTAAGCACTTTTCCCAGATATGTGGGCATATTATTTTGTTTAACTCTCTCAAAAGCCCACTTCCCCACTTCCAAGTCAATTCAACTGCTAACGGCTCATGACCCAGAGTGGCCTGTCAATGCTACACCCTATGGCTCCCATGGTAAAGTAAATAAAGGGAAAATGAAAACCCTAATGTCATGGGTTAGTTAGTGGTCACCCAGGTTAACAAAGTGAGTGTTGCTGATGTCTGCAATGCAGCAAATTTGGCTTTGCCCAGCACAGCAAAACTATGAACGTGTTTTTTACCACTTCTAAGAAACTAATTGAGAACTCAAGAAAAAATCAAGTTGTCAAAGGTATGAAGAGCTGCTACAATGTAGTAATAGGTATAATCCCAAGTCCTTCATCTTCCAGGAGCCAAACTGCAGCTGCCAGAGGTCAGATTTCTACACAAAGCAGCGAGGGATTCCATCCAAACCAGTGTGGGAAAGATGTACCTTGCTCACCGTTGTTTGAAAGGGGAGTGGGTAGAGGGAGAACCATGGGTGTTCCCAGCATCTGCCGCTCAGGGCTGCTCTGTGGAATCCATGGCACGGGTCCCCCTCGGGGAGCAGCTGCCTTCTTCCTGGGCTGCTCTGCTCAACAGAGGGCACTCTCCCTCCCCACTTCTTAAAGCACACCTCCTGCCAGACTGTCAGCTGTCACGTCCTTACACACAGGTTCTGGGGAGCAGGAGCGTCAGCCTGGACAGGAAGCAGCTTCCTTCACACAGGGCGCCAGATGTCACCCCTGCAGCCGGGGCTGGGCCCCGAGGAGAGGGGGTGATGTCATTCTGCCACCTCCTTTCCCCAGTCACAGCTGCCTTCTCCAGGCACAGCTGGCGACTCCAAGATCCCCATTACCCTATTAGGACCTTTTCCCTCTTCTTTGTGGCCACCTGGCCCCCGTCTGGACTCTGCCCAGGAGCCATTCCATTCACAGCTCCACTTCCCTTTAATGCATTTCCTTTGGAGAAGAGTGAACTTTCCACCTGAGAGAAGGTCTGCCTTCCTCCCAGGCGCTCAGCTCAGAAACTACCTTCACTTTCTTCCATTACTAAGCTGAACTGCGATTCACACTGTGGTCTTTGGAGAGAGAAGTTGTGGAGGGCAAAAGTGAGCCATTCAGGGGTCACCGCTGATTACACCAGATGAGGGGTCCACCAGCTGTGCCACCCACGGGCGCCTCCATGGGCGCAAACGACTGACTTAGACAAATGGGTAGGACAGGTGGTTAACATGGTATTTTTCCTCTTTTGATTTTTTTTATTGTGTATATGTGTATGTGTATGCAACATAACACGCTCTTTTGATATACACATATGTAGTGAAATGATCACCAAGGTCAAAGACATTGACCTAGCACCTGTCACCTGTCACCTTCCGTAGTTACCTTTTGTGTCCCATAAGAATGTCTAAAGTCTTCTGTCTCAGCAAATTTCCAGTATGCAATACAATATCATTAACTGTAGGTCTCATGTTGTACAGTAGCTCTCTAGACTTAATCATCCTAAGGAATTGTTCTCCTCCAATTCCCCACCCCCACCCCAGCCCCTGGTAAACATCACTCTACTCTCTGCTTCTCTGAGTTTGATTATTTCAGACTAGTGAGATAATACAGTATTTGTTTTTATTTATCTTATTCATCTCATGTAACACAATGTCTTCGTGATCATCCATGTAGTCACAAATGATGGGATTTCCTTTTTATGGCTGAATAATATTCCGGCAAGTGAGATCACAGCTGTGGAAGTCCTCAAACCTTTCTCAGTGGTCGAGGAACTCGTGTTTAAATCTCTGAGAGTGCTGTGGGTCATGCTGGCTCTGTATTTGGGAGTTCCAGCCTCCCCAGGTCACAGCTGCAGCTGAAGAAGAGATCTAATACCACAAGGATCTTAGGGTTTTTGTTGACTGGGGGTGGAAGGTTTGATCCCAGGTACAGAATTTTGTAGGTAGCACAGCTCAGTCTGCAAAGTATGATGGTGATAATTTAGAGACCTTATAGACATACTCTTTGTGCATTGAACTTTTCACAAAATAGCTTTTAGGTGACTTAACAGAAATGCAGATGTCGTGGGAGGCACGACAGTCTGACTACATCAACAGAACTGTTTCCAGCAACAACCCTTACTTAAGGGTAGAAGAGACTGATAGGGAATCACTGAAGGACCCAGCAAGCTGAATACAGGCTGTTTGTATCCCTATTCAATAATGAATCCATCTTTAACACAGCCTCTACTTTTTGATGAAACACATTGAAGTCAGCCGTGCTCATCTGTGGGTTCTGCTTCCATGGACTGAATCAACCATGAATCAAAAATATTTGAAAAAATATATTGTATAAACATTACATGTCTTTTTTTTGGTCATTTTTCCCTAAACAACACAGTATGACAACTATCAGTATAACCTTTACATTGCATTAGGTGTTACAAGGAGTCTAGGGGTGATTTCCAGTCAGTGAGAAGGTGTGCATAGATTATATGCAAATACCACACTGTTTCATATTGAGGGCTTGAGCATCTTTGGATTTTGCTAATCTGCAGGGTGTGCTGGAATCCATTTCCCATGGATACTAAGGGACTCCCTGGAGGTGGAACCATACTGAATGATATGTTGACCATAGATGACTAACTCTGTCTTTGTCTGGTGTGGATTCTGCCACTGCATGAGTGGTGAGCCCCTGCATGGCAGCTGTCCCCCATGTCCTGCAGAGGGTCAGGTGCCCCACCTCTCACTGGGAACTCAGAGCAAAGCACACAGCCTGGCTTTGGCAAAACATCGCTGCTCCACATGAACGCCACACTGTTTCTGATGTCATGTTCATTCAGAATCACACTGTCCCCCTTCCTCCTAGACAACATCATCAAAAGGATATTTAACATCTTGAAGTTCACCTGGGTGCTGTTTCTGGCGACCGTGGACAGTTTCACCACATGGCTGAACTCCATCTCCAGAGAGCACATTGACATATCCACAGTTCTGAGAATTGAGAGATGCATGCTGACCAGGGAAATCAAGAAGGTAACACTGGCAGTGTAGTGCTTTTTTCTTCCTCCCACACTAAAAGGACTTTAAAAGTCAAGATCTGGTTGATCCATTTTGTTGCAAAAGACAGGATCTCATTCTTTTTTTTTTTTTTTAATGTATTACTGCTGAGTAGTATTCAATCGTGTGTATATACCAAAATTTCTTTATCTGGTCATCAGTTGATGGACATCTATGCTTAGTGAAATAAGCCAGTCCCCAAAAGACAAATATAATATGTTTTTCCTGACTTGTGGTACAGAGAACAAAAAATGCAATATATGAGCAAAATTGACATTTTGAGATTTGATTATTGTGTATAGCCCTTGTCTATACTCTTGAGGAACAGTAGTTTTTTCTACTTACTTCTTGTTCAAGTCTTCATTTGGTGGAGGGTTAATCTTGTGCTTACAAAGTAAAGTGAAAGTATGTCATTGTGAAAATTAAAAGAAAAGTAAGAAAACAAGGCAGAGGGAGGGTGACAATGAGGGAGGGAGGGAAGGAGGAAAGGTATCATTGTGCTCTTAAAACTACATATGAAATTTGTTCCCTTTATATAAATTTTAAAAAGTAACACAAAGTCAGTATTTAAAACTCTAAGGAGGATCACACAAAATGTTTTCTTTCTGGGTAGTTGTTGCCCTAATTATTTGTCTTTTCTATATATTTAAAGCTGTTCCACACTCAGAATTAAAATAATAAAAATGCTAAACACACAGACACACACACACCCCATCTGGGGAATGATGACTGCTTCATGCATTCCGTGCTCTCCCCTCACCAGAGTTTGCAAGCTTAAAATCCCTACCATGCTCTGTAAAGGAAATTTGACCTGAAACTTAATTACAATATATGAAAAGCAACAAAATATGGTCATCTCTCATTTATAGATGATCTCTTAAAATAATATAGGTTGAACATCCCTAATATGAATATCTGAGCTCTAAAATGCTCCGCAATCTTGAACTCTGAGTGCTGATGTAAAACACAAGTGGAAAATTCTCATGAGACATGTTGAAGTCCAAATATTGATGCACTAGAAACGTTGTATACAATTATCCTCAGCCTGTGTGTCTAGGGTGTTTATGAGACATAAATGAATTTCTTGTTTAGATTTACTTCTTATCCCCAAGATATCTCATGATGCATATGCAAACATTCCAGAATTCAAAAAAAAAAAATCACAATCTGAAACACTACTGGTCCCAAGTATTTTAGCTAAGGAATACTCAATTTGGAGGTCATTTCTGGGAGATTACTATCATTTAGCAAAATTATCTACATATAAGAAGGTGATTTCTTGTTTAGACTTACCTAGTAATGTTGACTACCATGCATCCGATGAGTCAACATCCATCTCCAATGTGACTAGTTGGCTTTAGTGCATGAGAACAGAGTCATCTCTACAAGAGGTGCCGAAGCCTCTGCAGGTGAGGGCACGCACAATAACTGTGGCAATGTCCCCTTCTCCACAGGGCAATGTTCCGACGCGGGAGAGCATCCACATGTACTATCAGAACCACATCATGAACCTTTCCAGAGAGTCAGGACTGGATACCATTGACCAACGTCCTGGAGCTGCCGCAGGGGCACAGCCAGCGCACAGGATGGATAGCTTAGATTCACATGACAGTATCTCCAGGTATTGCCCTTTCCAAACAGTGGGTTTGCTTTGGACAAAGGTGAATGAGGTGGACGTTTCTAATGAATGTATGAGGTGAGGGTTAACTAAAAATGTGCATGGTCCCCAGCATCTGCAAGCATTCTCCCACAGAGCACAGCAATATTGTCCTGACCTGGATGGAGTCACATAACACGCAATATCAACAATACACTTTTAGAAATTCCCATATCCTTTGCAAGCATGATAAAGAGATTTCCAACCTGGTGGCCAGGAAGAATGATCCTCCCCAGTCCCCAGATTACTGTTCGTGTTGAGCGCTGCATCTCTGGTGCCTTTCAAAATAGCTTCTCTGCAGAATATCTGCTGTATTGGGTCTTCCACCTTCCACTGCCACCGTTGGTCTTTTCCTTGCAGAACTGCCACTTTAAGGAGCACAGTAAAGACTCCCGAAATGATCTGTGAGCATCTGTCACCTCTGAGTTTTAGCATCATGTGCCTCGTTTCACAAAAGGACAGGCAGGTGACATATTTGAATGAATAGAGGCCATGCTTGGAGCATTTGCCTTGGGCCTCCAGTAAGCACTGTACATGGCTTACCTCACTTTGTCCTTCAGGACTCTACCAGCTACATCCTGTTGCCATCCCTACTTGACAAAGTCCAGTTACATAGGGAATACGAAACTTAGCCAACATCACACAGATGGGAAGTTAATTAAAGCAAACCCAGGATCCAAACCCACATGATTCAACTCAGATACCCAAGCTCTAAACCTCCATTGAACTGTGTCTCTCATTGCTTTTTCCTGTACCCAAGGCTGATTGATTGTGTTGTCCAGAAAAGCCTCTAGATTCATTGCACCACACTATTCCAGGCATCTGCTGCCAGCTGTTCAGAGCTAGCTTCTGAGTAAAGCAGAAGTCCCTGTCTAGGCAGAAAATTTACATTGTCAAGGCAATTTGCTAGACTGAATGAACTACACCCTGCAGCCATCTTCATGGGGCAATCATTCTACCACTAAGGACATGCATGTTTTTTCTCTCATTAAGCATGTTAAAAAGCAGCTATTCTAAACCAGACCTTGGGCTCAGTTCCATAACACACACATAAAAATTGGATTTGTCCCCTTAATGTTTTAAGTCTGGGAAGAATCTTTGAGGTAAGATCATTGCCTCCTAAAACACCTGCTGTAGCTGAGCCCTGGGGATTGGCTGCCTCCTGCCTGCTGGTCTAGGAGTCACACTTTGTGTAGGCAGCAAGCCTCTGATGGCTGGGGAAAGATTTGTCCTTCACAAATTCTGCATTGACTATCTTTTTAGGTACAATAGGGAAAGGAACTGAGACCATTTTATGAACAGCAAACCTGAAATAGATGACAGAAATTTGAAATGACAATATTAGTAGTAGGAATAGGTGAGTTTTTTTAAAAAAAGCTTTACGTTGAAGAGCTATTTTTAACTGTTGCTGAATTGCAACATTTTGCTGTATTTGTGCATCTCTAATTGTGTCTGTTCTTTTTTCTGCTCAATCATTATCTATTGATGCAGATCCACATTTATTGGTATGAAAAGGTATTAGCTTCCTATTAGTAAAACCTAAAATTTTAAAACAGTATGTATAGTAAAGTCTTATTTTTATTTAAAATACATTTCATGAATATATTGATGTAAATGTACAATTTGTAGAAATGAAACCATGCATGGATATATCCCTTCTTGTCCTCACAAAATTGATATTGAGTCTTAGAGGGATAATAGAACAGAATGCATCCCCTAGAAGAGAGTACATCTTGCCTTCAATTTGGGATTAATCTTTGCTTATTTATAAGTCCAAAGACACAAATATTTCAACTATTATTTTTTTATGAAACGAAACATTTAGGACAGAAATCCCATCAGGGTTTCAAGGTCAAAATGTTTATTTCCCAATTGAGATTCGGTTAAAGTGGTTCTAATTCCTAGAATAATTCCTAGATTATTAGAAAAATATGTCAGTGTAATGAAACTCTTTCTACCCAAGCATGTGCACATTTCTCGGTCCTGACTTCCTGAAATATGAGTAATGTACGAAGTTACAAAGGGAATACTTAGTAGGCTCTCCTCTGAATGGTGGTGTCAGCAGAGCCTCACTGTGTCTGCTTGAAACAAATTCCATTAAGACAAAAAGGGACTTCAATTTTCAGCAAATCATAAGTGCCAGTTGAAAGCAACCAACCTTCTTAAATGTGTTCTTGTTGCAACAACTGTCTCTATAGGTCATTATATTAAATCTGACTTCATTTTAATACTAAAACTTAAGATATGTTTCTACCCTCATTCTTCCTAAATCTTCAGTGTTCCAATTTATCTCCTGGTAGCTCCTCCCCTAATGATAAGTGGAAGCAGCATGAACAGGTGTGTGAAAGTGTGCATATGTGTGTGAAGCAGGGTGGTGAGGGAGGCAAGGTGTAGTGGGCCCTTGCAATGCTGACTAATGCTGCTTTCTAGGTCCAGGGATGGATGAAGGTGAACTGGGGAATCTAGACATTTCCAGCTCCACCCACTTTAGAATCTTTTCTTGACCCAGTAGCCATTTCTCAAACAGCCCAGGAATGGTAGGATGTGGCAAATGCTGAGATTCCCTGAAGATATATTTCCCAGAAGATGTTCCATTTATTTGAGGAATCAGTCACTCATTTTTGCATGATATTTACGAAGTTCCACTGCCCTAAGTTTTGGACAGTGCTGCATTTATGACTTCACAAAGTTTATGGAAAAATTAAAATATGTTTATTTGGATGCAAATTTTTAGAATCTATTTATCTTTTTTAATAATACACATTTCCATGCTCTTTTTGAAGACCCCTTATATTGAATATGAACTGAGTGCAATCCAAACAACATTTTGATTTTTCAAGAATCTCAAAATAAAAGATTGCAGACATCTCTGGTTTACTTAACTGAAAGCCATGTTCACGTTCAACTGGAATTGTTTTTCTCAGATAGTGAAGAATATAATCATGTACCTGCATAGCATATAATTTGATTACTACACCTTTGCATCTTTTCTTCAAGAAAATATGCTGAATTAAAATGTAATGTATAGTATTTTTTCAAGTGTCTTCTTTTTTGAAACTAACAGTATTGGATTACAGTTCTGTCGAGCTGCATCCTACTCCCAAAGGGGAAAACCACATAGAAATACAGGCTCACTCCATAAAATTCCAAGAGTTTCCCAGATACCTGAATATCATACTTGAAAGCTGCTTCCTATCCAGCTGCTGACCAAATCAAATGCATCAAAGAATATGAGAAAGAAAATTCAAAATAAATTTCCATTAAATAAACACACACGATTTTTATAATAGTATCTTTTAACTGCATAGTGTTACAAAACATGTAATTAAGAAATTACCTCAATAATAGAAATCATAACTGAGAAGAAAGAAAGAGAATGAAGAAAAACTGGATAAGATGAAATCAAGTAACTGCCTTTAAATCTGACCCAAGATCACAAATGTGAAATCATATTCAAGATTAAAAATTCATGGGTTACATTTTTGCAAAGATTGCCAAAATGTCTTCCAAAGTATAAATGGTCAATCAACAAATAAATTTACTAGAAAGCCAAAGTTGTTAAAATTCACTTTTGATGTATTTGGACCTTGTTTCTAACCACAGAGGCCATTAATTACACATAGGGTGTGACAGACTTTCCTTCTTAGTGGCTGAGTCGCACTCCCAGTGTCTCTACTTAAGGAATCTTCAGATCTCCAAATAGTAATCATTCTACACTGGACATCCAGGAAGCCATACTGACTGCTGGAAAGCAGCAGTCTTCCCTGGAAAAGTCTCTGCTTGTGGATGCACCTGCCCCACTAGGAAGGGTCCAAGGGTCTGGTGGGTCACTAGAAGATCCTCCCTCGCGAGGACACCAGATCTTGCGTCAGAATCCGCATCCCAGATGTTTCACCTCGAGGCATACAGGAGATGAAGTCAGGGTGAGAACCTAACCAGTGAGTTTTGGTAGTGGAATGGCCACAATTTCCTTCAAGTCCAGACTTACAATGGCAAACATTTTCCTACTGGCTGCCTTATAGAATCAGGTAGCATCTACATTTCCCATAGATAATAAATTGGCTTAATCATTATCTTCAGAGGGGTATTCCCAAAGGAGAGGGGGTGGCTGTCATTCAACGCACATCACCTACAAGGTGCCATGCGCATCATCTCAGCCAGAACCTACCATCCTTCTCTCCATGACTGCCACTCCATTGGGTAGCAGGAGGTGAGGAGCTTAACCAGTGGTTTCTCCCCCTACTGACATCCACCAACACCTAAACCCAGAATGGAAACCAATCAAAATGAAAAGTTAACAGACAAAATGAAGCTGGCATTGCTAGAATTCCTTTCTTATTTTCTTTGTAACATTTTATGTTATTTTTTGATGTTGGTTTATATCCAATGCATATCAAACCAGCATCTCTTCTACATGCAAGGCATTTAATTTGGCTTAACTGAATATCACTCAGAAAATGGGGTGGAAAATTCAGTGTGTTGTACCATTCCTGAGCTTCCCTCTCTGATTTTGGAGACGGTGTTGGAAAAAAAAAAAAGATTAACATCTTTTATATAAATTTTACGTAAGCAATTATTTCTGCATAAGCCATCGAGTTCATAAATGCTCTCAATGAACTCAGAATGGCTATTCCAAGCAAAGCATGTTTTCTTTAATAATTAACAAAATGCTTTTGCAAGGTTATTATATCAGTTCTGCTTTGTGAGAGAACTAAAGGGATTTTTCTCATGATTCTAATATTTTCCTGTCCCATCCAGAGAGTGCCATTTGATCGTTGACCGCTAGCCAATATATTCTTTTAAACTCCAGTGCTCTTGTGTTTTATTGTCCCGCCAAACAGGTCCTCCCCTGTCCTGGAGCCCCGCTGCAGTGGTGGTCGTTGTTGGCGGTGTTGATGTTGTGTGTGATTTGCTGCATGGCAGTGTGTCGGTCAGTTGACCCGTGTGTGACGTGATGTACCACTGGCGTTTTAACACTGTGTTTCTGTAACTGTTTGCGCTGCTAGCTGCTACACTGAAGCAACCATGCTGTTCTCAAGGCAGTCTACCCTTGATGATTTAGATGGACCAGACACGGTTCCCAAAACAAGTGAGCGCGCACGGCCTAGGCTCCGTAAAATGTTCAGCATGGATGTGTCCTCCTCATCTGCTGACAGTGGCAGTTTAGCGTCAAGGTGCTTAACTTGTGCATGCTTTGTTTCCTACTTTTCTCATCTTCTCCCCTTGGTGTGTCATTGCCAATCTAAGTTTTTTGGATGTATGTCATTTTTTTTCATTTTTATTTTATGAATTTGCATGATTAACAAAAACATACCCAATGCCTTTTCTGAAATATACTTGTTCCCAGGACAGCACTGTATGAAATGAACTGCTCCTTAATTTTTGTCTGTTAGAAGTTTCTTAAAAAGCCTTGTGATTGACAGTCTCCTCCATTTTTTAAATATTTCACCTTTTCTCTTTTTCCAAGACATAACGCATGTTTCTTGCATGATGTGAAACTGTAGTGGGCAACCCTCACAGTGGAAAATCTATCAGGAAAGGTAGAAAACTTTGATTCGTGATTTTACCCAAAATGACATGCAATCAAGAAACTGAAAACCTGCCGTGTGTAGTCATTTTCAGTTAATACAGAACAAATCGCCCACATGTTATGATCTAAACCGACATAAAAATCAAAACGTATCTGTCCATTTACTGTTGAAAAGAATATCACTATGCAGCAGACTCTCATGCTGTAGACCCCCACTTAGTTCATTTGGAAGAAGATACTTTGGGCTTACGTGTCCTCATTAAGTCCCACCATAAAACAATCCTCACTGGGAAATGAAAACATTTGCATAAAATCCACAGAACTGTTTTTGAACTCAGAGTGGTCAGCAGGGGCAGCAGCTGTGTTTATCCTGACATGAAAATGACCGAATCCACCAAACAAATGTCACTCTGACTGTGCGCAGAGGCAGATCAGAGGAGTGTTGGCAACCCCATGTGTATCTTGACGCTGTGCCGCAGTATGGTGGGGCCTGGCACCAGTGAGACTGCCCTGCTGTGTGAGATGTCCTCATGCTGGCTCTGCCGTCACACTCCGTTGAGTCCTGCAGGGTCCCCCAGCCCCTCAAGGCCAGGCACGATCCCAAGCCACAGGGACCATGCTTAGTCTGTTATCTTCATCTTGGAGCTTACACTGGGTGTGGGGCTGACTCCAATGTTTAGAAAATTTCCACCTGATGGGTCAATTTCATGGCTTTCCTAAGAGGCCATATGAAATTGAGATAGTCTTAACAAAAATCCAGCTTGGCCTTGGACTCTTAGAGCCTTCTACATGATGTGCACACTTAGGGCCAAAGCCTTGGCGATGTTAAACACCTGCGTGGGCATCAAGGGCTTGCACAAATCTGTCCCTCACACCCAGGGTGCCAGGAAGGGCTCTTAGAGGCTCACCAATCTGTCACTCACTGGGATGTCTACACTGGCATCTATCACAAGAAAACAGGATCAAATATGCATAGCTGAGGATCTTAGTGTTTATGGAACCCAGCTGCTCACATGGACCATTCAGAAAATAGGACTTATCTCAGTTGCTAACCCAGGATACTCCTGCATCTTCCCGGTTCTCAACACTCTCCCCTTAGTCCTCCCCACTCTCCCTTTCAGAGGCTGGATGTGTCTGGGGTAGATAATCATAAAAGCCACACCATGAGATGTGGCTGCTCTTGTTTCCATTTCCAGTCTTTCAGGCGTGCACCTGACAAGGAAGGTTGGATAACAAAGGAATACAAGGAGAGGAGAGACACAAGAAAAGAGAACAGGATGCCCAATGTAGGGAGTCATGATAAGAGTGACGAAGTCCTTACCTGGGAAAAGAGCAAAGGGTGGGCGCTGCCCTGGTTAAGATCACCAGTGAGAAATGGCTGGGCGCTGGAGGGATGCAGGACATTCACTCAGGTGGACAGCAAGAAAGAGGCAAAGAAGCAGAGAGCTGGGAGGGAAAGCAAATGTCAAAGAAAGGTGACTATTTTAAAGCTTGCACTTGGTTAGCTTATCCAAAACATAATTATTGCTACCATGCCCTGGAGGCAATGGCTGGGTCCCCTGTGTAGGACTGAGAGTGGAACCCTACAGAAGGAAACGGGCCTGGCCTTCCCTTTCCACGTGGCTCTTCTTGAAAACAGCTTGAACGGTAGGTATGTGATGCTGGGTGTGTGTTGACTTGGAAATCAACCCCGGAACTCATGGCTGTGTCTTCTGCCTACTGTTACGAACACCTGCGTGCACAGGCAGGCTTTGTGCCTTGCCAGTCCTGTGATGGGCTTTTGCCTCGGAGAGGTAGCCTTGCAGTTTCTGCAGAGCAGAGTAGATACACAGCAGATGGGAGGCAGGAAAGATGGGGTATTGTCTTTCCTCGCGGGCTTGGATGTGTTTACTCAGGAGCTCTGACGCCATCTCTTGGGAATTTGGAGAGGTTGCGAGGGGAGTGGGTACTGAGCCAAGGGCATTGTGCCCGTCCCTTTGTCCCTACAGCGAGCCCACGCAGTGCACCATGCTGTACTCACGCCAGGGAACGACGGAAACCATCGAGGAGGTGGAGGCTGAGCAGGAGGAGGAGGTGCTGGGAGCAGCACCCCAGCCCGGGGATGCTGAGGAGGAGGAGGACGAGGAGGAGGAGGAGGAGGGAGTAGAGGAGGCAGAGGAAGAGAGGGAGGAGGAAGAGGAGTTCCCCGTGGGGGCTGAGGACTGCAGCCTCACGCCGGAGGAGGAGCTGCCACAGTTCAGCACGGAGGACGGGGATGTGGAGGCCCCACCCTCCTACAGCAAGGCCGTGAGCTTCGAGCACCTGTCCTTCGGCTCACAGGACGACTCCGGGGCCAAGAACCACATGGTGGTGAGCCCCGACGACAGCCGCACCGACAAGCTGGAGTCCAGCATCCTCCCCGCCCTGACGCACGAGCTGACCGCCAGCGAGCTGCTGCTGAACAAGTGAGTCCAGTCTGAGAGTCAAAGCCAGCACCATGGCCCCGCAGCCAGGGGACTTCAGCAAGGTCATGGGGAATGGAATCAGGAGATAAATGTCTTTAGGTGCAAAAGAATCTTGATATCCATGCATAATTTTTTCACAGGATGTAAATTTTTTGTTTAAAAGTTCTTTCAAATTTTTAAAAAATATTTAGAAGGGTAGAGGGAGTGGGAAAGGGGAGGGTTGCGGGTGGGAGGGACGTTATGGGGGGGAAGCCATTGTGATCCATAAGCTGTACTTTGGAAATTTATATTCATTAAATAAAAGTTAAAAAAATATTTAGTTAGCTGAGAGGCAGAGAGAGACAGAGTTCCCATGTGGTGGTTCACTGTCCAAACGCCCACAATATCTGGGGTTGGGCCAAGCTGAAGTCAGGAGCTGGGAACTTAATCCAGGTTTCCCACATGGGTAACAGGGATCCAAGGACTTGAACCATCACCTGCTGCTTCTCAGAGTGTGGGTTAGCTGGAATCAGGGGTGGAATCAAGATTCAAACCCAGGTACTCCAACATACAGCCATTTCCATCGGCCTCCTGACTTGTAGGCTAAAGCAGGAAGGACCATGCTAAGTGGAAATCAGTAATTTGGAGAAACCAAAGACCAATGTCTCATCATAGTATTTGTCTTGCCAGGATGTTCCACGACGATGAGCTTGAAGAGTCGGAGAAGTTCTACGTGGGCCAGCCCCGGTTCCTGCTTCTCTTCTATGCCATGTACAACACGCTGGTGGCACGCTCCGAGATGGTGTGCTACTTCGTGATCATCCTCAACCACATGGTCTCTGCCTCCATGATCACCCTCCTGCTCCCCATTCTGATCTTCCTTTGGGCCATGCTGTCTGTACCCAGACCCAGCCGGCGCTTCTGGATGATGGCCATTGTCTACACTGAGGTAGGCCTGGGACTGCAGCCCTGAGTCCTATCCGCAATTGCACCTGCCCGAACCCCAGCAAGTTCTTGTGGAACCATCAGTACTGTGGGCATTCTGAGATAGGCAAGTTATTGCCATATCTGTCCTTCCTTGCTTCTTACCTCGCCCAGGACAGGCGCTTAGGTTATTCTCCTTAAACAGATAAGAAAACAGCTTCTGTGCGATTCAATAATTATCTCAAAGTTACCCAACTCATAAGGAATGACGAGGCTTTTGAAACCTGATTCTCTGACCTACAACACTAGACACTTTTGCAGAGTGCCTGGTACCACCGGGTGTTCAATACATGGACAGGGCATTAAGTGATACGGTCAGTACTTTGAATAAAGTTTGATGCAGTGTATTTCCATTTTCAAACCCAAAAGTCAATGTCCACACACCACAATGTAACACAAGGTTATATAAGCAGCCAGGTGCAAATGTGAGTGGCCAAGAGGGTACATTGTCAGCCATTCCCTTCTAATGTGATAGCACCAGATAATTTGCCCAAACATACATACATGCTTTCTTTTCCTGCCCAACTAAATATAGAGATCATACAGTTCCATGAAAATCACAATGGGGAATAAAAGGGAGGCTCATTAGACTTTGTGCTTTGGGCCACCCTGACCTTGCATTCATGGGTGAGTGAAGAAGGCTGATTTTCTTCCCTATGCTCAGAAGGAAAATCTTTCACAGTTGACAGCACTGGAGTTGCTTCTTAAAGGACAATACTCATGAGAGAGCTGAGACATTTTATAGATTTATTAGTAATTCAACAGTAAAATTAAAACAAAATTACATAGGAAGTCATCTCAAAAGTATTCAGTGTACAGCAATACAAATACATGAAAACAAATAAATGAATGAACATTAAAAAATAATAAAATGTAAATACACTTCTGAACAAGCTTGTCCTAAATACCATATTTCCACATCTGAATAATTCTGTGAGTTATTTAAATCAGTAATCAAATCAAGTTCTGTGATCTGATTAAATCAGTATGGAAGTCAATTCCTCGGCAATGGAGAAAGTGACCAACCACACGAATAGTGACCTGAGTGGTCTGATTGGCTCCACTCTGCCTGCACCTACAACAAAGACACTTGCAGCAGTGATTTGCTGCTCTTATTCTAAAGTTAGCGGTCTGGAGGGTGACAATGCTACTACTCTACATGACTGTGCATTCCTAATGGCACATTTGCAAAATGAGTATTTTTCTTATTTTTTATAACACTGTCTCCTCTATAACTCATTCCTAAATATGAATTTTTTTTATTTCTGTCATTCATATGTAGGTGGCAATTGTAGTCAAGTATTTCTTCCAATTTGGGTTCTTTCCCTGGAATAAGAACGTGGAATTGAACAAAGATAAACCGTACCACCCCCCAAATATCATAGGAGTGGAAAAGAAGGAAGGTTACGTCCTTTACGACCTCATTCAGCTCCTGGCTCTGTTCTTCCACCGCTCAATATTGAAGGTACTGCACCTTAGCCAGGTTCCACTCACACTGCTCACTGCTGTGTCATTCCTGGGGCATTCACCCATTAGGAATGGTAATGGGCGGGGGGGTTAGGGGTGGGCAGAGTCTACTACTTTTTTTTTTTTTTTTGACAGGCAGAGTTAGAGAGAGAGAGAGACAGAGAGAAAGGTCTTTCTTTTTCTGTTGGTTCACCCCCCAAAGTGGCCACTATGGCCGGCATGTTGCAGCCGGTGCGCTGCGCCGATCCAAAGCCAGGAGCCAGGTGCTTCCTCCTGGTCTCCCATGCGGGTGCAGGGCCCAAGCACTTGGGCCATCCTCCACTGCACTCCCGGGCCACAGCAGAGAGCTTCTATGCTTTCCTTTTTTTTTTAAGTTATATTCATTTAGTGAGCATTTTCTCCAACACTTGGGGTGCTTAGTAATTGAACTTGTAATAAATCTGGGAGAAAGTGTCCCACAGTTCCACCTTGCTGGAACACATGGAAACTATTCCGTGAGTGGTGACATGCTGACATGCAGTGGCTTACTGCCTTGATACACTAGCCTCTGCCTGTAGTTTGAGCTGGGACATCAGAGAGCTAGTTTGGGATGGGTCACTGGACCTCTTGTCTCCAACCCACCTTCTGCCCACCTTTGTCTAGTGGAATTGCTTTTGGAGGGCAGTTTCTTGCCGTGAAACCATTAGCATTCAATGAGGGACTAAATATTGAATATGTGGTGGAGCCCAAGGCTGTGCTTCTGGTTGCTTGCTGTTGAAGAAGTCCTCGACTTTGCTGTCCCAGGAGGATCTCTGTCCTGTCTCAATTCACTAACTGATGCCTCTGCTGAGCAGCCATGTGGCTCTTGTCTCCTCCATTGTGAAGTTTCTAAATGCACCCTTCACTACTAAGAAACAGATGTTACTGCATAGCATGCGCTTTATGTGTTAGTATACCTATTATTACCACCTTCTTTCCTCCTCTTACTATGACCTAGTCTGCTTTTATAAAATATCTTAAGTTTTATTGTTATCAAGTAGTGTCATTACCAGTCCTGGGATCCTTTCTAGAACAAGGCTTGGTATGAGTTAGTGCTTTTACCTTTTGTCCTGACCTAGTGGAAATGCACCCTGGTGAAGATTCTCACTGTCTTCCATTACTTTGCAAAGTACCCAGGTCCCTAAGCTCATCTGAAGGAGCCTTACTTGGGTCATTGGCATATGGTGGGTCTGCAAAGCTGCATCATCTAAAGAAGTAAGGTAGCCAGAGTTAAATTTGCCTAAATTTTCCAGTTCCTGTGCCGTGATGAACATGTTAGTTAGTTGAGCGTATGCAAGTTACTGATTCTTGCTATGAATACATTAGTGAATGTGTCAACTTTGTTTTATAATTTTCATTCTCAGAGTTAATGCTTTGCATTCCAGCATTGCACCATGGGGCTGTTTCAGAATTCTCCTACAGTTTTTGCAGCCCTTTGCATGTCATTTCAATTTTCATAAATCTTCAGGCATTTTTACTATTTTTCATCAATATTCAAATAGTTCAACAGCCACATTTTTCTATTTAAAGAATATAGTAAACAAAATTTGGTGTTTCAAATCATTGTACTTATTCTGTTTCTTTTTTGAAAATTTCATATCCCAGAAAATGATGATTATATAAGAGATTTGAAATACCAGTATTATGCTGAAAGCTTGACTAATGATATGAAACATGCTTTCTGGGATGATAGAACTTTTCATAAGATGACTCCACCCAACAGTTGTTGAAAAATTAGATCTTTGTGATGCTACTTAGAAAACCAAACATCTAAAACTATGCAGAAATTTCAGAAGTGTGTCCAACTCTCTTAGTTCATATAAATTGCTGTGAATTTTATAAATAATTATAACAGGAGCTGGTGTTATGGTAAAGCTGGTTACAATGCTGGCATCTATATGAGTACCAATTTGGATATCAAGTGCTTCACTGTAATCCAGCTACCTGCTAGTGTGCTTGGGAAAGCAGAGGAATATGGCCCAAGTGCTTAGGTGCATCCTGCCCTCACGTGGGAGATCCAGATGGAGTTCCAGGCTCCTGGCTTCAGATTGGCCCAGCCCAGATGTTGTAGCTGTTTGGGGAGTGAATCAGTTGATAGACTAGACTCTCTCCCTCTCCCTCTCCGTCTCCCTCTCCCTCTTCTTGTCTCTCTCCCTACCTTTCAAATAAATAAAATATCTTTAAAAATAATTAGAAAGAATGAATTTAAGAAAAAATGCTGCCAATGATGAAAGGATCTAAATATCTTAAAATGTTGAAAAAGGAGAAAACAATTTTTAAAGTGATTTGAAATAAATCTGTAGAAACTTAAAAAATCCCATTATGAAAAACCAAAATGTTTCTTATTGATAAGAATGTACTCATTGAATACACAGATCTTCAAAAAGTTCATGGAGATATATATTATGAAAAGCCTGTGCTGGGATTTCAAAATTATTTTACAGCAAAATTAAGCTATCATTTAATCCCATTCCTCCACAGACTTTTTGAAGTACCCTCATATCTTTAAAAATTATATGTATGAAGAAATATTTGAGAATAGTCTTCAGTTGGATGCCTTTGTCTTTAGGTGAATTGGTCATTCCCTGAGTTGACTTTTGATCAAGTGGCTTTCAGCAAAGTGGCCTGGAGTTCCTGTGACCCTGTGAAGTGTGGGTCAGAGGCAGTGGCTCAGGGGAGCACCTCACCAGCAGGAGCCAGCTCTCCCGCGAACATATGTAGCCCTGGCTGCATCTCGCTCCATACACCCCAGTTAGTTGTCCTCAAAGTCTGTCCTCATTCCTCCTCTCTCTACCAGCCCTCTCTTCCATTTCCTGGAAGCAAAAACCAGACGCTGCAGAAGGCACCTGAAGCTGTGTCTCCCGTGTGCGCCAACACTCTCGGAGCAGACTCTTGGCAGCTTTGTTTCTAGGTCAGCCCTAGATGAGCTGACTGTCATCTCTTGCTCTGCAAGCTGGGAAGGGACTGTGTGATTTCCCAAGGGAGGGCGCTTGTGAACGTGGAGTGGCGAGACTAAGTCAGCCAGCAGGTGCTTCAGGGTGAGGCTGCACACACATGCCGGCTGCGGGTACACACAGATGTGTTCTGGAAAGTGCTTTTGTTCAAGAAACAAGTCATATGACTAGCATCTCATTTTTGCTCCATGGCCAAACATGATCCATCTCCCTCTCAATCAATTAGCCAAACTCTTGTCATCAATACCCGCATGTTTCCACGCTACTAGGACCTCACAAAATCCTACCTGATAAGCTTCCTCCTCTCCCTGGGTTTTCTCAAGTTGAGGGTCAGCTCGTCGGGTTAGTGGTACAGGGAATCAGCTGCCCACCGTCCTCCCCGAATCGGCAGCCTCACCTGTCCCTCTCCCTGCCTTCTCAGTGCCATGGCCTCTGGGATGAAGATGACATTGTTGAAAGTGGCACCGACAAGGACGAGTCCGACGATGAGCTCTCCCTTGGTCATGGCCGAAGGGGCTCCTGCGACTCACTGAAGTCCATCAACCTGGCTGCCTCGGTGGAGTCGGTGCACGTGACCTTCCCCGAGCAGCAGATGGCCGTACGCAGGAAGCGGTCTGGTGGCAGCTCCCAGATCTCCCCAACATCCAGCTTTTCTTCAAACAGGTCCAGAAGAGGTATCAGTCACGTGCTAACCCTAGGCTGGAATAATGCACCAACTCTTGCTTCGGTGATGCTGTTGGGTCTGAAGTGGGATGGGAGGGGGGGTGGTCATTGGATATAACCAAAGGATAGACACTGTGATGTGAAAAGAATGGGCTTTGAAACAGTCAGTCCTGAGTTTCAATGCTGCCACATTTGTGTGACTTCATTGCTCAAAACACTTGATTCCTCCCCAAGATGAGGATTTCAGATAACTGTGAAAAGTGTGCAGCATCCTGTCTGGTACCCTGCATCGAGTACATAATTTGTAAGTCATATGCAAAAATTCAGTCAAGTGTGTGCCCACAGTGCTATAAATCACAACTATTACATTTTAAACCAATGTCATTGATTAGATGTAATCAATGGGAACTTTTAATCAGACTCTCTAGTTGTTTGTTGAGCTGGGTAAACATTTCTCCTCCTTACCAAGCAGTAAGAATGAAGAGAGAGTAGTTATGCGGTGCAGTTGTCACTCTGGGAGCAACTGGGCTTTTGTATTTGCAGCTTCGTTGCTTGAAGATTTCCAGACACTTGGTGTGGATTCATCTTCAGAATCTGCTTCTGAGGCAGACACTGGCAGAACATACCATACTAGTTTTACAGTTACAGAAACTAAGTCACGGAAAAAGGCATGGGTCATGGGCCCCATCTGGAAAATGTACAACCGATGCGTAACACGAAACGGTTCCTCCAGTGAATTCTTCCAGGGACAAAGATTACAAAACCACCAGGGGAAGAGCCATCACGAGGTGCCAAACCCCACAGGTCCATGGAAACAGAGTTGAAAGGACAGGTTCCAAATTGCCCAGTGATCTTTCCTAAAGGCATCGTGTATACGAGAGTACTTGCAAAAGTTTGTGGAAAATGAAATTAAAAAGATGAAAAATGTGTTTTGGTGCCAAAACACCTTGAAGTCCATGCATGGTTTTTCCAAAACATGCATTTTCTATAAACTTTTGGAGGATCCCTTGTATGCACCCTGCAAAGCAGTTTCAATGCAACCCTTAATGGGTAGCCTCTGGAGCCTTTTGTGATATTCATGTTAACAAACTGGGTCTTTCACATTGCATCCTGTGATGTTTTGTATTTCTTGTTATTTCCAGGGAGTACAAGCACCCGGAACAGTAGCCAAAAAGGCAGTGTTTTGAGCATTAAGCAAAAAAGCAAAAGGGAACTCTACATGGAAAAGCTTCAGGAACATTTAATCAAAGCGAAAGCCTTTACCATAAAGAAGTGAGTACCAGAAAACATTTGAATCATGTGTTTTATTTTAGGGCTGGGGAACTGGCATGCAGTCTTTTACTAGAAGCACAGGTAAAGATCAGGGAAGTGACTTCTTGTATAAAAGGACCCAGTGTAGGGTTGTTTTTAAAAATCATTTTTTGGGAAGTGCAACTCATTTTTATGTGCACAGCATCAATATGCACACTTTTTCTATTGAGCAGAACAAATAAGTAATTTCAAGAGCTCCAGGTGCAGGGCACATATGCCCAGGCAATGTCATGGCCAAGTCCAGCTGCACAGAGGAGGCAGAGGTCAAAGCTAGAAGGGCCCTAGAGGCCCACTATTCCCTGGAGAGGACAACTGAGGCACACGAAGGAGAAATACTTTGTCCAGTGTCATAAATGTCATGCAACCCATTGGTCCCCAGCAAATTCTGCAAGTTCCTCCCACCCAGTGCATCAGCTGACAATGAGCAGGCCTGGGTCTGCAGGCTGTGAACAGTGTAAGGACCCAGCCACACACAGGGCAGGCTCTTAATAAAGCTGAAATGAGGAGAGCAGCAGCAGCACCTGAACATGGCCTTGAATTGAAGACAGATTCCAGAGTGCAGTGAAGCTAGGGCAGAGGCAGACAAGCCAGAGGCAGCAAGACACAGTGAAAAAGGACAGAGCAGGGTAGACATAAAGCCTAGAGCTGTGCTTAGGAGCCAGGGCAAGCACAGGACCCTAACACAGAGGCAGAAGTCCCTGAAATTCATACAGGCTCTGACCAAGCTCCCCAAGTCTGAGTTGTGCCTTCCCTCATTCACCCCAGCCCTATGCATCTGTTACAGAAAAGAGAACTAAAATGTGTGCAGTTGTCCAAGATCTCACTGGGGATGAGTGATTGAATGGGGCTGCAAACACAGTACCTAATTTCGAGGGTTTATTATCACATTGCATCAAGCAAGAGAGGTGGTACCCTCAGCAGAGGAAGCCAACTGATCTGCACTCCGTAGAGCAACAGCCATATTCAGAGGCCCCTGTCCTGGGGCTGGAGAGGAAGGTAGGAACTGGCTGGCATGCAGAGCAATGGCATAATGGGGTCTTTGTTCTGCAGGACTCTGCAAATATACGTGCCCATCAGACAATTCTTCTATGACCTCATCCACCCAGACTACAGTGCCGTGACCGATGTCTACGTGCTCATGTTCCTAGCTGACACGGTGGACTTCATCATCATTGTCTTTGGCTTTTGGGCCTTTGGGGTAGGTAGAGGGCCAAGGCCACCACACATCCATTGACAAGGAGTGACAGCCTTCCCCGCTGTGAATGCCACTCACCTGGGCCTGAACCTGTTGTCTCTTCCCCAGAAACACTCAGCAGCAGCAGACATCACCTCTTCCCTCTCGGAGGACCAGGTCCCGGGTCCCTTTTTGGTGATGGTTCTGATTCAGTTTGGAACCATGGTGGTGGATCGAGCACTCTACCTCAGGAAGACGGTATTGGGCAAGGTCATCTTCCAGGTCATCCTTGTGTTTGGAATTCACTTCTGGATGTTCTTCATCTTACCTGGCGTGACTGAGAGGTAAGAACTTAAGAAGCTGGGAGCATACGGGGTTATGTGTGTCTGCACAACACAACGGCCAGCTGGAGGCAGCGTCACAGCAGAGCGCTGCCATGGGTAGTCAACATGAATTGACTCCTCCAGACAATGTGAAGTGGCTGTTAGCTGCATTTGTAGAATATTCTGCATTAAAGACGTGTCAGCTGTGATGGCTGGAGCAAATCTAGGCCCTTGTGTTATTTGGATTCATGCCTCAATTGAACTGGGGAGAAACTGGAAGATGTCATGGAGGCATTATTAAAAGGGTGGGATATAGATTAAAAAATGGGGGCTCCCTAAACTCTCAAAGAAAATATGGAGGCATCTTGGGGGACAGATGATAGTAGTGTCTGCCACATGGGAGAGTTGTGAGAGTTGAATGTGACGGCGAGGGCTTAGAAAACATGCGGTAAGGGGCCAGTGCCATGGCTCACTTAGCTAATCATCTGCTTGCGGCACCAGCATCCCATATGGGCACCGAGTTCTAGTCCCAGTTGCTCCTCTTCCAGTCCAGCTCTCTGCTGTGGCCCGGTAGGATGACCCAAGTGCTTGAGCCCCTGCACCCACATGTAAGACCAGGAGGAAGCACCTATCTCCTGGCTTCGGATCAGCACGGCTCCGGCCGCAGCAGCCATTTGGGTGTGAACCAATGGAGGGAAGACCTTTCTCTCTCTCTCTTACTGTCTAAATTTATCTATGAAAAAAAAAAAAAAAGGAAGGAAAAAGAAAACACGTGATGAGGACAGCAGACAGACCCATCACATGGCATGGTGCCGCTGCTGATGCAAGTATTGCAGCTGGTTCATGTGTGCTGGGCTTTGGGTTGAGTGAGATTCAAGAGCAAAAATAAAAATTACTGACAAATCCAGATTACAATACGAAGAGACATATATGCTGCTTGTATAAAAACATTTCAAGAGATAGTACTCCTAATATTAAGGTCAGGGAGGATTGCACTAAAGTCACACCAAACCAAAAGTCTTATTTTTTATTTCCTGCTTAAAAGGTATACTATCATATTTAAGACTCTTGAAGAATGCTATGTGTGTGGAAGTTCAAATGGTCCAATAGGCCGGCGCTGCAGCTCACTAGGCTAATCCTCCGCCTGAGGCACCAGCACTCCAGTTTCTAGTCTCGGTTGGGGCGCCGGTTCTGTCCCTGTTGCTCCTCTTCCTGTCCAGCTCTCTGCCGTATCCTGGGAACGCAGTGGAGGATGGCCCACTGTGCTTGGGCCCTACACCCGCATGGGCGACCAGGAGGAAGTACCTGGCTCCTGGCTTCAGATCGGCGTAGCACTCCAACCATAGCAGCCATTTGGGGAGTGAACCAATGGAAGGAAGACCTTTCTCTCTGTCTCTCTTTCTCACTAACTCTGCTTGTAAAAAAAAAAAAAAATCCAATAGTTCATCAGTCTTTGAAAATGAATTTTAATTTTTTTTCCCAATTCAGTTCCACTAAATTTTTGCTCAGGCTTTTGTTAGCACTCAGGAACTACAAAACACTCAGAGTCTCTTCACTCATTGTTTATCTGCAGAAAAGACTGCCATCTTTACAGTGGAGGACGTTATTGAAAAAAGAAAGGTTGGATGGTGCCAGCATTTTTCAGAGCTAAGGAAATTTTTCCAATAAAAATTCTGATGTCTTGAGGAACAAACCCCATAGTTTGCAAACAGAATTGAAACCAAATCCAGGTTTTTGCAAAAGTTTGTTCTTTAGATGTATACTAAAAACCTTGGGGTCCCACTTCTCAGAATTCTATAAAAACATACATTTTTTTTTCTTTCATGAGTGAGTTTAATGTGAACTAGGGTAGCTACCTCATCTATGTTGTGAGACAAGTTTAATAAAAAATGTACTAATAACTAAGAAATAAATACCTTAATACTTTACTATTAAAATCACTGCAAAGTAATTTAATTAAATTATGGCCTAAACAACTGAATAACATGTGCTGAGGCACTATGCACAGGATTTTTTTAAGTATGAAATTTTCTTATCCACCTTGTGCATTTGAAGTCATCTGATCTGTATAGAGAATCCCTTAGCGACTTCTTGCACCAAAAGAGAATTTGAGGATTTATTTATTTTTTAAATCCTAAACTCGTGTCTTTTTGAACGGGAACAGGATTCCATTCCTTCACTTTCTGTGCTCTCACAATGTAGGAAATTCAGCCAGAACCTGGTTGCCCAGCTTTGGTACTTTGTGAAGTGTGTCTACTTTGGATTGTCCGCCTACCAGATCCGTTGTGGCTACCCCACGCGTGTCCTCGGGAACTTCCTTACCAAGAGCTACAACTACGTCAACCTCTTCCTGTTTCAGGGGTAAGGGCATTGCACTCATCACAGGCGCTTGTGAAGGGACCACTGGCCATTGCAGGGCATCTGCTTTCCTCTTGGAAAGGAACAGGGGCAGGAGGAAGGCAGCAGTGCAGATCGGCCTGTAACCCTTTACAGGGCTGGCCAAAGAACAAACAAGGCGCTCCGTGAGTAATTGCCCCATTCTCTGCCAGGATGGTGTTGTGGGACCATGCACATGGTTTCATTTGCTTTGCCAGCATCCTGCCTGAAGACTGTGATAATACTTTTGGTAGCTGCAAAGTTGGGCTACGTGACCTTTAAGTCTGAATACACCAGAACAGAATGCTTGGAGTCTAGACTATTCCAAAATACCTCTCACAGCTTTCACGTTCACTAAGTGAATCTATTGAAGGTGGCCTTTATTCCTCCTGTGACCAACATTTGTGCTACATGACTTGTTTATTCCTGGTGGCCTGTTAGCTACTCACACAATGCATTGGTCATGGTCTCAGCAATAGCATCTCCTCTGTGTTCTCTTGGAAGTTCTACCAGGCATGGAGGGCAGGGGCTGGCTGTTCAAGGCAAGGCCAGCTCCTACACAGCTCCAGATCTGGGACTGGTGACCTAGTCATACTACACTGAGATATTGGGAACCACCTTGTGTTGAGGACTGTTCTATTCAGGGCTGGCCTATGTTGTGGCCTGCAGTGTCCTCTAGGGGTAGGATTAGTGTTCATTCCAGATTCTGAACAGCGACCCAGTCTGCTCTAAGAGCCTTGGATGAATCCAGGTTTCCCAGCCTTGGAGAAGTTCTATGTCAGTCCAGAAGTAAGGAACATTCCTCAGACCCCATAAGAACCTGGAACAACCCATTCGCAATATTCAAGATGAAGCCCGAGGCTGTTAGCTTTGGGAATCCAACAAGTATACCAGCTCTGGGGCCTCTTGCCTTAGTGATGGTTCCTGCTCCTTCTGACTTCTCCAAATTACTCTCATCTTTTACTTACCAGGCATAGGTCACCCAACAGCAAAGCTGCAGTAATCCAATAGCCCTATAGCCAACAGACTCTCAGAACATAAACAAATATAGGTTGAGTATCCTTTATCAGACATACTTGCGACCAGAAGTATTTCAGATTTCAGAGTTCTTTGGGTTTGGAAATTTTACATGAATTTTATTAGTTGAACATCCTTCAACAACAACAAGAACAAAAATTCAAAATCTAAATGCTTTAAAATCTGTCACATCAAGGCTCAGAGAATTTGGGATTTGGGCACATTTCAGATTTTAGATTTTTGGATTAGGGATGCTTAACCTGTAAATGTGAAATAAAGGAACTCACCTTCAAATTTATTTAAAAGGAGAATCCTGTTGGTGAAGACCATCAAGGAATAAAAAAGAAGTGAAATACATTTATCTGTACATTGGACTTGTCATGAAAAGCAGTTGTATTCTAAGTTTGATTGTACTATTATGGTCACTTTGAAAATTGTAAATCATAAGGGTTAAAAATAAGTATGTGCAGGCATTTTTAGGGTGAGATGGGTGACGGGGGCCACCCCACCAATGACCCTCTAACAAGATGTGGCCCCTGCCAGGTTCCGCCTCGTCCCGTTTCTGACCGAGCTGAGGGCAGTGATGGACTGGGTGTGGACAGACACGACTCTGAGCCTCTCCAGCTGGATCTGCGTGGAGGACATCTATGCTCACATATTCATCCTCAAGTGTTGGCGGGAGTCGGAAAAGGTGAGGAGCCAGTCAGAGGGCCTTCTTCCAGAGCAGGTGTTGAGCTTAGTGGTTAAGATGCTGGTTTAGATGCCCACCTCCCACATGCAGGTGTCTAGGTTCTGATGCCTGCCTCTGCTCCTGACTCCAGCTTCCTGCTAATGTGTGCCCAGGGAAGCAGTGGTGATGTCTCAAGTGATCGTGTTCCAGCAACCCATGTGCAAGAGCTGCATTGAGTTTTGGGTTCATAGATTCAGCCTGCTCTAGTACAACTGTGGAAGTAAAACAGCAGATGAGAGTTTCTCTCTCTCTCTCTCATTCTCAATAAGAAAAAAAGTACCTTCTTCCTATTTTTGTCTAAGATGGTTATAAGATTAATGTGAACTTCTGCAATTGTTGTAGCCAAATAAATGCAGGCAGAGGACAAAGCCACCATGACCTATAAATGTCCCATTGATTTCTGACCCACTAGAGTTGGAAATTTTGGACTTGCCACTGCCTTAGCTGACAATAGCAACCAGATGTTCTCTCCTTTTGCAAACAGTAGATCATAGTTATCTTCAAAAAGAAAAAATATACATTTCTGTATGACCCAATGACTCATAAATGGCCCATGTGGGAGCAGGAGGGTATGTGGTATGGTGGAGAGCAGAGGGGTCAGGTGGCTTGGGCTCACATGTACCTCTGATTCACTCTTTTCTGAGGGCCAGATAATTTAACCTCTTTGTGCAAAGGAAATGGAAATGAAAATATATGCTTATTTTCCTACATTATATTGAGGCTTAAAGATAGAATGACTACTCTCCATTGGATTTTTCAGAAAGTTGTCTTTCTTCATCACCTTGAAACTACCCTCTTGGGAAAGTCTCCTCAAATTCATATACTTTCCAGTGCGCTCAGTAGCTTTGTCTGGGAACTTCAGCTATAGGAGTGGGGCTTATTGATTGTACCATTACCTCCGTGTTTATGGGTTTATGGAGTGAAGGAGCCAGGCCTGGCTGGATACTTAAAATCATATGAGGAGTTGATATGACGGCAATGTCTTAGTTCATTTTCTGTTGCTATAACAGAATTCCTGAGATGGGGTAACTTTTAAAGAAAGGAGGTTTGCTTTGACTCATCGTTCTGAAGGCCCTGGTGTCTGCTTGGTTTCTGGTGAGGACCTCATTCTTCTCGATGCATGGCAGAAAAGCAGTGCCGAAGAGAGGGAAAGTGGGCCAAACTCCTGTAATATCTCATACATCCTGTGAGAAAAATGCTCATCTGTGCATGAGGGTTGCCTCCTCCTGGCCCAAACACCTCTTAAAGGCCCCATCACCTGTCAGCACCATGATGGCAGGGACCAAACCTCAGCGTGAGTTTGGTGGGGACAACCCCTGTCCCAAACATTGTGCAGAATATGAGAATCACTACCAAAGGCAAAGTGGGGGCAGCACCCAGGATGACAAAGGATCTGGAAATAACCAAGAATTATTTTGGGCTAAAGTTAAAAAAAATAAGGGAGAAGCAGAAATAATATCTGTCTTCAAGTATTTTAATTATTGGAAAGAGATAGAAATTAGGATGAGTCTGGAACACTAAAAAAGGAAAAAAGCAGAATTAAGACAAGTGGGCGGAATTCCCAGTACATTTCAGAAACTCACACCATCTTAGCTACTGCATTACAAGATTGGCTGCCTCTGGAGGTGGTCAGCAAGAAATGCCCATGTACACACCAAGGATCACCTGCAGGAGAATTTACATCAGGAACCTCTGCCCTAGAACAATCCTGCCATCTTTCATGCAACAGATGAAGTCTTGGTTTTCCACTGCTGCTAATAACCACTTCAAATCTTAGTGATTTAAAAACAAAAATCATTTTATTTGCTAACAATAATTTCTCAGGCCAGCAATTTGGGCAGGGCTCCACTGTGTGGTCATGCCTGGGGCCACTCCTATGGCTGCTGTCTTCTGGCCTCTGAGTTGGGAGTGGATGATGGTCTCACTCAAATGTTTGGACATTGGGTCTGGTTTCTGGCTGGGCCTCTCTCCCCAGGTACACTTTTCCTTCTATGTCCATGAGGGCTTGGTTCCAGGACCCCCAACAGGTACCACAGGAGTTCAAGGCACTGGCATAAAATGGTATAGTGTTTGCATGTAACCTGCACACAACCTCCCATGTACTTAAACCCATCCTAGATAACTCCTAAAACCTAACACAATCTCAATGTTACATAAATAGCTGTTATACTCTGTGGTTGAGGGAATAATGACCAGACAAAAACACTGCACATGCTCTGTACAGACGCAATTTTTTTCCAGATGTTTTTGATCTTGCTAGGGAGCAAGAGGGGAAAGCTGCAAGACTGGAGACCGAGGTCTCCAAGTCCCCTGTTACATTCCCCACACTCCTCCGGTCAAACAAGTTCAAAGGCCAGCCTGAATTCAGGGAGAGGAAGAAGCTGATGAGATCAGCCATCAGGTTGGCAAAGGTCATGCCTACAGGAATGAGGAGAATTTGAGACCATTTCTTTTTTTGCAGTGCATTGTGAACACTTGCTACACTCCTCCTGTGTGCCCAGAACACTGCTGAGCATAAGAAGAGCAGGGAGCCAAACACACAATGGCTCCACTATCATGCAACAGACAGGCCAGAGGAGAGATAGAAATGTTAGCAAAACGGTCATGCACAGTAACACAATACCTGAACAACAGATGCTTGGACAAGAGACCAGGGACACTCTGAGAGCATCTTGAGGGGGCTTGACCCAGTCGAGCAGGGAGGGAGACTTCTCTGAGAGTGAGGTCCCCCACCTGGAGCAAGAGGACCAAGTGGCCGTGCCCAGAGGGAACATCTATGTCCTGTGCTTGTTCCTGAATCTTTTGCCCCCGTCCTTGTGCCCTCTTCCACTCTTCCAGGGAATTACTGGGAGGATGACTGGCCCATTTCCATTCCCCTGATAAGGCCTTGACTTGTCTTCTCCCTGTCTGAGACATCTTGTACACCCCCTCCTCAACTGCTTCCCAACTCAGATGCCACCTTTACCCATGGGCCTTCCCTGACTGCCTGAGTTTGATCACATTTCTCCTGATGGGCCCCAGCACCCCTCCGTATCAAACCTACCTAATGCTTAACCACATTGAGAGTCAAGTATGTAGTGTTCTCCGTTATAAGCTCTGTGATGAGATCAGTGCAGTCTACTTTGCAAAGCAAGAAAAAAAGTTTCTCAAGAGGCAAAATGTTGGCAGGAGCACATACAACGCAGGCTGCCCAGCTCCATTGAGAGAGTACGAGAATATGCATGCAGCTACCTCCTAAACACTTTAGGAAGCTGATGGGAAATGCAGTATAACAGGAACAATGGCAAACCAGGAAACACAGCACAAAGCTGAGGAAAGGGGTGAGGAGGCAGCAGAGGACAAGGTGACAGTACCTTTGAAAGGGGAGAAAAGAAAGTAGCCACACCACGCCAGACAGATCAAAGGGCTTTGCCCTGTTCTTCCCGGGGAGTGCAGGAGGGAGTAGGAGGAGGAGGAAGAAGAAAGGGGGCCAGCTCTGAGAACTTGTGAGATGAGCTTCAAGGAGACTGGTCTGCAGGAGAGGAACTGATGGTTCTACTTCAGGCACAATGAATCAACACTGTTCTTGGCAGAGAAGATAAATCTCTTTTAACTTCAAAAGCTCTACACATTGTAATCTGGAGTCCTGAAAGAATGGAAGGAATGACTGATCATCTAAATTTGCCTTAATTAAAAAATAAAGACAAAGCGAATCTATATATGTGTGTATGCACATGTGTATATGTATGGATAAATGTATTTCAAAGTCTCAAATATTAGAGTCTTGGTTTACATTCAAAATAGTAAATTTGAACTAGGCAATTGCAGTCAAGAATATCAAATTCCAGTGCACTGATATCAAAATATATAGATGCCACCTGCACATCATACAGTCTCATAGTACAGAATCATTTACGTGTATGTACATTGAATGAAAATGCTCTCCAATATGGGTTATTTTGCCCTACTTTAACTTGCTGACATGAATGAATGATCCTTACTGAGTGATTGTGAACCTGAGGATGACACACGGCTAGGCTGAGGAGTAAAGACGACCGTCATGTTAGGTACATAGCCTCTTTTAGCCTGTTTTCTGGTGCTAATAGCCCAATACCACAGACTGGGTACATTATAAAGAGACATTTATTGCTGCCCCACAGTTCTGGTCCAAGGTCAGGGTTGTATCTGGTGACGGTCTTCTTGCTGACATAGTAGCACAGAGCATCACAGAGACAGGGTGCACACTAGAGACCTGACCAAGTTGGTTTCCCACTCTAAAGATGACCCATTAATCCACTCATGAGGACAGAGCCCTAATCAGCTCTTGAAGTCCCACCTGGGAGCTGGTGTTGTGACACACAAGTTAAGCCCTGCTCTTGATGCTGGTATCCCATGTCGGAGCACCAGTTGGAGACCTGGCTGCTCCACTTCTGATCCAGCTCCCTGCTGATGTGCCTGGGTAAGCATTGAAGGGTGGCCCAAGTACCTGGGCCCTTACTACACATGTGGGAGACCTGGGTGGAGCTCCTGGCTCCCGGCTTTGACCTGCACCAGATCTGGCTGTAACCACCATTTGGGGAGTGAACAAGGGGCTGGAGGCTCTCTCTAGCTCTCGCTCTCACTCTCTCTCATAAATAAATAGTTTTTTTTTTTAAAGATCCCACCTGGACCTTCCTCTTCTATCCCGTAATGGAGGTTGGAGAGAACACACCAAATTCATGCCACCATGTGAGCTAACCTCCAAAGTAACTAGGAAAGGAAAACAGTCACAGAGGGGCAACATTTACACAAAGAATGCACGTGCAGACCTGCAGTGCGTGTAGCATCACAAAGAAAAACTGGCTCTTTCTGCCTGCTCATAGCCTCTAGACACTGCACTCAGTCAGTTTGTAATAAATCTGTATTAAAGTGAAGGGATGGGATTCCAGCTTCGGCAGTGTGCCAACCCTTGTTTCTACAACACACACACCCATCTGCTCCCTGCCTACCCACAGACCCAGCACTCAGTAGGGCTTGGGCTGGATTACCAGAGCCAGAAAGTGCCCTTCTAACCAAGCAAATCTTATTTCAGGATCTGAACAACAGTGTCTCTGATAACAAGTATCATGATGTAAATAAAGAATGATCTTTCCATTTACCAAGCACAGGGACAGGTCTGTTGAAAGGAACAGATTTTAAATAGCCAAGAATTTAAAGGAAAATGTCTTTCTCCTGTGTGATCTCATAAAACCAGAAGGGTATGTGTGTGATCCACTGGTCCATCAGTGCTACCCCAGCAGAACTCACACATCAACTTCCAAGGGTCACGTCATTACCTAACTTTACTCTGAGGTCAGGACAAAGTTGCTGCCCCTGTTTCTGAACAAACAGAAGAATAGAACTAAGCCCGTGTTCTCCAATGCTGGGGGGAAGAGCACCTGCCCTTCTCCCCACCCTCGTTCTTCGGGACATCTGTCTGAACCCTGTTTGAACCCTTCTGTTGCAGAGGTACCCACAGCCCCGGGGCCAGAAGAAGAAGAAGGTGGTGAAGTACGGCATGGGAGGCATGATCATCGTCCTGCTCATTTGCATCGTCTGGTTTCCTCTCCTTTTTATGTCTTTGATCAAATCCGTCGCAGGGGTCATCAACCAGCCCCTGGACGTGTCTGTCACAATTACCCTGGGAGGGTATCAGGTAATGCCTGGGTACTTCCTCTGGGGCTTCATGCTAACCAGTTATAGGATGCTGAGGGGTGTTTTGGATCCAACTGTCCTATCTGAATTTTGAGTGTCCTGCAAATATGTGATGGATGAATCAAGGTGCAGAAGGTGGTGAATGAATGATTCTGCTGCATTTGGGCACAGAAATAGTCACCTCAAACAGACATCTCTGAGGCCAGTTGCCCTCCAGGGGATCAGTGATTGATGTGCCTAGAAATGTTTATCTTTCCAGTCGGGTTGCAGAGGAGAGTTCTGTTGACAACACTGTGCATCTTTGTTTTCCAGCCTATTTTCACCATGAGTGCCCAGCAAAGCCAACTGAAAGTTATGAACAAGACAACGTTTGATAAGTTTGTAAAAGCTTTTACTAAGGACACTGTAAGTACAAGCATACAATAGATCCCTGTGGAGACCTTTCACTAGGCGAGCTCATCGGTTGCCGTAGTGCTCAGTGCTTTGCCACGGCCTGTGGTGGCATGAAGGAGGGTGTTCCTGGGTTTATAAGTTACACATGGCAGACTCCTGGCCACTGGCTACTTTGATAACCTAGAAGTTAAGTCTGTGCTACTGGGCATAAGTGTTAATCAATGTAATTTTAATTCAAAACATTTTAGCGTAAGCTCAACAGAGACTGCTTGATTTCAAAAATATTTTTTAATGTTTTACATTGTGTTCTGCATTGATCCTTTGACGAGATCTACACTGGGAATCCACCCTTACAAAGCACAGTCATGCTTCACTTAAAGACAAGGAAACGTTCAGAGAAATGCATCAGTAGGCGATTTCCACCGTTGTGCGAACATCATAGATTGTACTTCCACAACCACAGGTGGCTGTGATGTCCCTCAGTGGCGTAACCCTATGGAACCTCTATTGTGTCTGCAGCCTGTCACTGACTGAAATGTCATTTTGTGGTACATGACTGTAATTCCAGTTATGGGAAAGCTCTGTGTAGGTTCTTGCCTACAAACACATTCTCTGTATCTGTAGCAACCTGAAGCACCTTGAGGATTCAGGCTCATAGTACAGAATCATTTACATGTATGTACAATAAATGAATAATGCTCTGTGGAGGGAACTATAATCAGAGAATCTGATTAGCACTGGTGACCTGCTCCTCAGTTATAAAAGAGAGACAGACCTCCACACTTTTTCTTTACATATTATGAAAATTTTTCTAGCAACTTCTTTTGTAATAAGCAACAATCCTTATAGAGACCCCAGGTGGCATGACAATTTCTCAAGGGAAAACCTAAATGAAAAAAGGTTTAGATTATTATTTTTAATGATAAAAAATACATCCTCAATTGTATAAAGCGCCAATAATGTTTTGATGGTGGAGTTGTAGCCAGTGTTATTCTCTCTGTATTTCTAACTGCTGATAATGTAACATAGTTCTTATCAGAATTAGTTTCACAAATGATGTTTTTAATTTAAGAATGTGATTAAGCAAAACAGATGTATGTTTTCCTCTGTTGTAACAGCATGGTCCATGATTCAGGTTGTCAAAACTAACCTTGAGCCAAGAACAGCCATTAGGACAGCACTGAAACATTGTCAGTGGATTAAATTTTTCTCTCTCATGAGAAGGACTCTCCTGTCTAGGTGACAAATTTCTTTGTTAGTAGAGAGGAAAAAGGACACAAAACCACTTGTGTTTCCTCTGTCGTTTCATTGGAAGGACTGGTCAAAACCACCACTGCGGCTGGGCCGTGTGAGTGGGGGCTGCCAATGCCTGTGGGTAGACATGCAGAGGGCGATGGGACATCCATGGCTGTGGGCTGTGTTAACCGTCCTTGCACAGGAAGAACCCCCGTCTCTACAGCCAGTACGAAGGGAGAGTAGGTGCTTGCTTTATACAGCATCATGTATGTGATGTACTTATGCATACATTTTTGTGCACATGCAGGGTGCTATGCAATTTCTGGAAAATTATGAAAAAGAAGACATAACAGTAGCAGAACTGGAAGGAAACTCAAATTCTTTGTGGACCATCAGCCCTCCCAGTAAGCGGAAAATGATACAAGAGCTCATGGACCTCAAGAGTAGCTTCTCTGTTGTTTTTTCATGGAGTATTCAGAGGTAGTTACTGTATTTCCACCCGTAATTTTCCCCTTCCCCCAATCTAATCTCGGGGTGGAGGTGGGGAACAGAAAAGCAGAATCATTAGGGGGTGCTGCTCTTACTTATCTTTACACGTTTGAGAATTTTCCTTACATTTGCATTGATGAAATAATGATTTGCCCAGGAATCACTGACCAGACCAAAAACTTCTTAGTTTTCCTTTCTTTTTACTAACTTCAGTCTCTAAGTAAAAAAGGCTGGCAAGGAGTTCTGTGAGCAAAAGAGAGAGGAAGAGAATCAAGAAAGAGGGTGATGATTTACAAAGTGAAGCGAAGTATGGGTGCATCGTAAGATTTTCATGAAAAGGTGGAGTTTCTTCCTAATAAGAAACCATAGCCTCTAGAAGGCCCAATGCCATGTGCATCCCTGCAACACCGGGGAAGCACTGGCAGATCTGTGAGCACCAGGTGTGAGGACAGCGTGGCAGACAAACCAAGATTCCTCCCCAGCTAACCCGAACCAGTGCCAGCATGGGAGTTCTTCTTTTTGCCTTTACTCGTGTAGACAAGCATGGCTTAGAGTTCTTCTAGCCAAAAGACCAATGGTTTAGAGACCTCAATATAACATATGAGGTGCTTGAAGAAGTTCATGAAAAATGGAATTAAAAGATAAATTTATTTTTATACAAAAAGTTTTGAAATACACGCAGGGGCCGGCACTGTGGTGTAGCACATAAAGCCACCGCCTACAGTGCTGGCATCTCATATGGGCGCTGGTTTAGTCCCAGCTGCTCTATTCCCAGCCAGGTCTCTACTATGTCCTGGGAAAGCAGTAGAAGATGGCCAAGTCTTTGGGCCCCTGCATCCACATGGGAAGACCCAGAGGAAGCTCCTGGCTCCTGGCTTTGGATTGGCACAGCTCAGGCCATAGTGGCCAATTGAGGAGTGAACCAGCAGATAGAAGACCTCTCTCTCTCTCTCTCTCTCCCTCTCTCTCTCTCTCTCTCCTTCTTTCTCTGTGTAACTTTGACTTTCAAGTAAACCAAATAAATCTTCAAAAAAAAAAAAAAAAGAAATGCATGCATATGAGAGGCCCTTAAAAACTCATGGAAAATGCATATTATGGGGGAAAAAAAAGAGGTATGGATTGCAACACATTTTTATACCCAAATAAACTGATCTTGAGTGGGCATTGTGCCATGGCAGGCTAAGCTGACATGATATTTTCTATATCACGGTGGCAGTTTGAGTTCTGGCTGCTCTGCTTCCAGTCCAGCCCCCTGCTAATGCAAACCCTGGGAGACAGCAGATAATGGCTCAAAAACTTGGGTCACTGCCACCCATATGGGAGAATCAGATGGAGCTCTAGACTCCTAGCCCAGCCCTAGGTGTTGCCAGCATTTGAAGAGTAAAACTAACAGATGGAAGATTCTCTCTCTCTCTTCCTCTCTCTCTCTCTCCCTGCCTTGCTCTCTTCTTCTCTCCCTCTCTGCCTTCCAGCTAAATAAAAATAGATGAACATTGAAAAAACAAACTGATTCTTAAATTCTGTTTTCCATGAATTTTTTGAAGTTCCCTTGTCATTAGTTTCTCTCATCATTGCCTTCTGACTCTAGACTCTTGCAAGCAGTGAAGTAGGTGCCTTTGGTTCATAGTATCAACTCCTAAAGTTAATTCATAAGGAAATATTACAGACCAAGGTACTGTTCAGCATTTAAAGTGCTCTTTCTTTAATCTGATTTTCTCCTTTTAACAGTGTCAAATTCCTCCCTCGGATACTGTACTAATGGCCAAAAGTTTATTCCCTAACCTTTTTCTTTGAAGAGCTATCCAAAAAAAAAATTTTTTTTTTATTTAACTTCTGATGGAACATTCTTTTAAAATCTGGAATCTGGCAGTCGCCATGGAGACTTCAAGTTAACTAGGGTTTGTCTGAAGTCCATCTGAGAGCATCCAGAGGGTTTCTCTTGGGGTCAGCAGGCTCTGCTTGCTCACCTGCTCCTCTGCTGGTGGCCTCGGTGGGCTTTGTCAACGTGGTTACCAGAAGCTGCACAGAAGGGTGAGGAGGACAGGGCGGGTTGTGCTGACAGTTGTGGCCTCAGCAAAACTTCAGTGAGGTGAATAAGCGTCGAGGGAGTTTTAAGTCTCTCTTCCAGAATTCTCAGCACTCACTGACCTTGAACTTTTTTCCTGTTTTCCTTCACAGAAACATGAGTCTGGGTGCAAAAGCAGAGATAGCCACAGATAAGCTTTCCTTTGCTCTTGAAAATGTCACGCGAGAGAATATAGCCAAGATGATAGCTGGCAATGACACAGAGAGTTCAAAAACGCCCGTGTAAGTTTCCTTTCCCTGCTCCCAGAGCTTTAACTGGTATAAGTGACTGCTACCACGTCTCCATCCGCAAACCCGTGTGTACAGGAAGGTGGTCCTTCTTAGATTACCCACGTGAATTTCTATTTGGAGGTCCAATTTTGCTGAATAAAAGAAACTTATAGTCTCAGCCCTTGGCTCCTTTCTCCCCTTCCCCTGGCCTGATGCCTCTGCTGCAAATGAAGGTATGCCTGGTGCCAGGCTCCAGGGAGATGGTCCGTCCATGGTCAAGGGCACTGCTGGCTTCCACTGAGATACACAGGGCTCTTCCAGGGCTCAGCCATCAGTGCACACCACGAGGTGGCTCTCTCCTTCAGTGACTGGTGCCCTTCTGGGCACTCTGGAAATCAGTGTGCTGCCAGGAGCACGGGCAGGCTCTCCTGGTGGGCATGGCCAGACATTACGTGTGGCAGGGAGCTCCATTCTTCCTGCACCATGATTTGTGCTGCCCTCAACACCCTATTTAGGTGGGGGTGGGGCCCAGGACTGCACGAAAATTACCCAGGTCTTTTGTTGTCCTTATCAGCCTCTTAATCTCAGGTGTCCACTTCAGCCATTCAACCTCAAGGGCAGGAGTCCAGGCTCCACTTTCCTTCTTGGGGAGCCACCATGGGGAGCTGTGTGTATCTCCCCTACCATTCTGTCTGTCCAGCCAACCCAAGGAGTACTGAACTTGTCTCAGGGTTGCAAAGTCTGCTCTTGTCTAATCATAATCACCAAAGGCCAGGAAGGCCCTGAGAGACCTTTTTCCTGCCATTTCTCCTGCCCCTGGGTCACTAAGTTCCTGGCTAACAGAATGGCTGTGGGGAGGTGAGAAAGGGAGATAAGGGATAAAAGGGAATTGAGGGTCAAAAAATTGTATCTCAAAGTGTTATCCTGCCACAGAGGTACTCCATCCAAAATACATGCAAGCTGGGCTGTTCAGACTCTAACACGAGAACCATCGAGAAAACATGGTCTAGAATTGTGGAGTGATGACAGCTGGCAGTACTGTCAGTTTTGTCCCCCAGTCTGCCCTGGTCCTGTTTTACATTTTACTCATTTTGTTTTTTGAATTGTCACATAAAAATGGTATATATTTATGGGCATCCTAAGATGTTTTGGTAGTGTATACACGGTGCAATGATCAAATCAGAGTGAGCATATCTCTGTCCTCAAGCACCTGTCATTTCTTTGTATTGAAAATATTCCAACCCTGTCATCTAGCCTTATACAAATGTACAATACATTGTTATTAGCCTGGTCTCCCTACTATCCTACCATCACCCTACTAGTTAGGACATTCCACCCAACTACAACTGCCACCTGCTGGCCTCCCCCTCCTCAGGCCCTATTTTGTGCATTGACTTTAGGGACCAACAGAGGCAGCCCCTATACTCCCTAAGGCACCCTTTGTGATTCGCTGAGGCTGGAGATGGTCAAAGCCTCTCCCATAATCTCCAGATGAAAATGTGGGTCTAAGCCAGTGCTGCAGCTCACTAGGCTAATCCTCCACCTGCAGTGCCGGCACCCCAGGTTCTAGTCCCGGTCATGGCGCTGGATTCTGTCCCGGTTGCTCCTCTTCCAGTCCAGCTCTCTGCTGTGGCCCGGGAGTGCAGTGGAGGATGGCCCAGATCCTTGGGCCCTGCACCCACATGGGAGACCAAGGGAAGCACCTGGCTCCTGGATTTGGATCGGCGCAGCGCACTGGCCGCAACACACCAGCTGCAGCGGCCACTTGGGGGGTGAACCAACAGAAAAAGGAAGACCTTTCTCTATGTCTCTCTCTCACTGTCTAACTCTGCCTGTCAAAAAAAAAAAAAGCAGAAGAAGAAGAAAGAAAAAGAAAACTTGGGTCTAGATGTGACGTGGGTCACTCGGAGGGAAGAAGCAGAGGTCGTGTAAGGTCCAAGCCACCAGTTGTCTCCTCACCTCCATCAGACCCATTCATGTAGTCCTTTTGATTGTAGATCTTTTAGAAATCCTAGAGATTAGAATCAGAAGGGTGCTCAGTGTTATAGATAACAATAGGAGGAGCCCACCAGGAAAGAGAATCCCTTGGCTTCAGAAGCAAGTCACAGACATGGAGAAATGCCTGTCTCCATGTTTAAGTCATCAACCAGCTTGTGTACCGAGTTTATGTGCATGTCTGGATAGAGTCCAGTAAATTTGTTCTGCTTCAGATAATACTTCCGGTCATAATGGAAACCCATAAATTATGTCTATATCATATATGAAGACTTTTATCATTATTTGTTTGATGTAAAGCCAAAATTAGCAAGGAAGTATAATTTTACATGTTTCAAACAAACTTTAATTTTATCCTTTTTTTCTTACTGCACAGGATAATAGAAAAGATCTACCCGTATTATGTGAAAGCACCTAGTGATTCTAACTCAAAACCTATAAAGCAACTGTTATCTGGTAAGAATGAAAAGAAACTTTCAAAAATTTTTTTTCAATTTCAGCAGTTTGCATTTTCAACCTTTATCAAGCTACTTTCCAGTTATTTTGCTCCCTGGGAAAGGAACCATAAAACACTTGCTTGTCTTGAAAAGCCAGAAGGAATCATTCTCTCACCTGGAAACTATGCTCTTCATTTTCTTGATTTCATTAAAAGAGGGCCTGATTGGCTTAAATCCAAATTTAGTGATGTACAGTGCCGTAGAACCAGTCTGTCTATTTGTTTCTATTGACAACCAGATCTTGTACAGAAATCTGCTGCATACATTGTTAAATATGCTTGCTCCTTCACAATGAACATAGTAGAGAGATGGTGAAATGTTCTTGATGCAATCAAGTGTTATAAGTATCATTAGTAGTGCTTTAGTGATTGGATTTGTGCAATAAAGCAGTGATGATAGTAAACTGATGTTTTGGGATTAGTTATGAGCCATAAAACGACATCTCAATCAATGACAGACCGTATATATGATAGCATATACCATATAGCCTCGGCAGATAACCTCCCAACTGACATCCAGAGTTGCCCTTGTAGCTTCCCATCTCTCCCTAGAGAAAGGTCCTATCTCCTTCTCCCTCTGCCCTAGACCCCACTCCCTCCTCATCTGCAATCCTCCAACATCATGGAATTGCCTCCTCTTAGATCCTCTATCCCTCCCTGACACCGGCTTCTTTGCCTGGGAGTGACATGAGATGGAGCCTTCAATGTTACTCTTCCCCACACTGCATAGCCTCACTTCTCTGAGATCCTACTCAGAATAAGGGTTTATAGGATGTGCTTTGCTGAGTTCTCTCTGATCTTTACCACATAGTACATTTAAGATAGGTTGATGGTTACCACCAGCTAACATCTAAGGAAACTGAGACTCATTATTAATTACTCAGCTTAGGCAATGGTAGAACTAGATCCAGACACAGGAATGTCTGGGCCCAGGGCTGGATTTTTGCCCTTGTAACTTCCTCTGGACTTTAGAACCAGTTATCTTCCTGCTCCTGAGTGTTCTGAGTAGCTCTCATTCTTCCTTAATAACCACTCTGGCATTACCAGTATCCTGCCATTCCTCACTCTTCTACATCCATCCATCCATCCATCCATCAATCCATCCATCCTTCCACCCAACAGACATTTAATGCCAAGCACTGCCCTATATTCCTATGATCTAGGAATTGAGCATGAAATAATGTAGAGTCAGTTCTTACCCTCATAGAATCTACACTTCATCACAGTTTTCAGTGGGAACACTATCCTCATTGGCAGACGTGGGAATTTCTTAGAACAATCTATGAAATATAACTGCAGGCTTTTTGATTGCCCTCTTCTACTGTGCTTTTGCATTCGGTTTCTGCTCTAACACCAGCTGTCACTGGCCATACAGTGTGGTCTGCAGAACCTCATGCCATCCTTCCTGAAAGGAAGTGTTCTCTCCAGGCCAACTGACTCCCCTGTGCTGGAGAGTCTATGCATGTGACCAGAGACGGTGCATCCATGCATGATCTGTACCCACTGGGATAAGCAGCCATGCCCTGAGCAATGTTGTAGCCCCTTAACACTCAATGAAGTGTCTTCCTCCTTGGAGAAACTGAATAACTGCTGGTAATATAAAAGAATCAGCAAGTTCTGTCAAAAGTCAGGGCTCTGGGTTTTTGAGAGTTGTTTGGAATAATCCACAGAGCTGTCCTGTGCTTTGGCTGAAGTGCACATATAGCAATAGTGACCTCTTTAGCTGAAAAAGAGAAATTGCCTATCCTCCCAGGGCCCCCCCTCCATCCACTCTCATTGCTAATATGCCCATTGTCCTTCTCATCCCAGAACCTTATGGTACAGATGGTAACCAGGTTTTGCCATCTGAGAACTGCTGATGTGCCTGGAATCCTAAACATCTCATGCTAACTTGATTTTGTTTTTCTCTTCTTCTAGAAAATAATTTCATGAACATCACCATTATTTTGTACAGAGACAATGCAACTAAATCTAACAGTGAGTGGTGGGTTCTCAACCTGACTGGAAATAGGATCTATGAGCAGCAGTCCCAGGCCTTGGAACTGGTGGTCTTCAATGACAAAGTCAGCCCCCCAAGTCTGGGGTTCCTAGCTGGCTATGGGTAAGGATTCTGGTTATAATCCACAGTTACAAGAACAGTCTGCTATGGCAAATAAAGTTGAGGATGAGAAGCCATTCTCTTCTTAGAATTCTTGGATAATAAACAGGACATTTCCCAGATTTAGCCTCATAAGGTAGTGTTCTCCACCTGGAGTCTTAGCAACATGATTCTCAGAGAAAGCCCATTCTGTTAAAGTAGGGATGGCTAACATCCAGCCCATGAGGTATATAAGACCCACAAAAGCTTTTTGTCAGGATTCAAAATTCAGCAAATTTATAGCAGGCTAATTTTTAAATATGTATTTATGTATGTATGTATGTATTTAGTATTTAGTATTTGAAAGGCAGAGTTACAGAAAGAGAGAGAAAGAGAGACATCCTCTATCCACTGGCTCACTTCCACATGTCCACAACAGCTAGGGCTGGGCCAAGCCAAAGCCAGGAGCTAGAACTCCATCCAGGTCTCCACATAGGTGACAGAAGCCCACGTACTCAGGCCATCTTCCTCTGCCTTCCCAGGCTCTTTAACAGGGAGCTGGATCAGAAGCAGAGCAGCTGGGAATCTAACCGTGAGATGCCAGTGTTGCAAGTGGTGGCTTAACCAGGTGTACCACAACGCTGGCTCCTATAGCAGGCTGATTTTTTCAGACTTATTTTTTATTTATTTGAAAGTTAGAGTTACTGAGAGAGAGAGAGAGAGAGTGAGAGAGAGGTCTTCCATTCACTGGTTCACTCTCCACATGGCTGCAATGGCCAGAGCTGGGTCATGCTGAATCAGGAGCCAGGCACTTCATCCAAGTCTCCCATGTGAGTGGCAGAGACCCAAGCACTTGGGCCATCTTCCGCTGCTCTCCCAGGCACATCAGCAGGGAGCTGGATCAGAAGTGGAGCAGCCAGGATTTGGACCATCACCCATTCGGGATACCAGTGTTGTAGGCAATGGCTTAACCAATTTGCCACATTGCCAGCCCCATCAGGCTAATTTTTAAGTTGATAATTTTGTATGGCTGTCACTCCCTGACTTGCAGAGGAATGACACTGGACTCTGCGCTGTTCTTTTGTCTGCTTGGCCCTTCCCGGGTTTGCTGCTGGTTCTTTCCAGGTTGGCTGCCGATCCTTCCACCTCCATGGAAGGGCGATGCCCCCTGCCACTTTCCCCACTTCCGCGGGGGAGCAGCACACGGCCGGCCGGCTCTCTCGGGGGCTGCTCAGGTGTTCCTTCAGATGTTCCCCTTAGATGTTCCTGGTGCATGTTGTCTCTCTCCTCCTTTATAGTCCTCTTCCACCAATCCCAACTCTGCTACCCACACGCCGAGTACGCTGCTCTCCTCCAATCAGGAGCAGGATCAGCTCCTGCAGGTCATCACTCAAGTTGGCGAGAGGCAGCTGCGTAGAAGTTGTTTACTCCCTTCTCAGCGCCATATTGTGGGACAGCAGATGCATAGAATAAGTCTTAATTCCAGTAACTTAGTCTAGTCTGAGTTGCTCCCCACATATGGCCATGGATGATTTTTTAAAAATTGATGCTAACATGGCCTTTGGAAGAAAAAAATATTCCTCACTCTTGTGATAAAGGGAGAAGAGCTAGGTACAGGAAGCTGTATTTCACACCAGCCATTTCTACCCAACAAAAGAGTCTTCAAAAAGTTCATGGAAATACCTATTACAAGAAAACTGTCTGAGTTTTTATTTTTGGCACCAAACTAAACTTTCCCACAAACTTTCAAAGTCCCCTAGTATTGTGTTACACCAAATATACCAGTGTTATGATAAACATCCTCCATGAACCATACTTAACTGCTAGATATAACTTCTGCTTTCTGTGTTTTTCAGTATCATGGGATTGTACGCTTCGGTGGTCCTCGTGATTGGGAAATTTGTCCGTGAATTCTTCAGCGGGATTTCGCACTCCATCATGTTTGAGGAGCTCCCAAATGTGGATCGGATTTTGAAGCTATGCACAGACATTTTTTTAGTTCGGGAGACAGGGGAACTGGAACTAGAAGAAGATCTCTATGCCAAATTAATATTCCTCTACCGATCACCGGAGACCATGATCAAATGGACCAGAGAGAAAACAAACTGATAACCTTAGGACCCAGGCTGCAAAGAAAGCTAACATTTGAATTTTTTTAAAAAAGCACAATATTCTCATAAGAGCTAAGCATTTCTAGTTTGACGGAAATGATTTCTCTTCTGACCGGTGGCGGAAAGGAGCTGACTTCCTTTTGCAACAGAAGCTACCACAGCAGTGAGGGCGCTGTTGAAGGAGTTCCTTTTAATTCCGTGTCTCTGACATCAGGGCTATTTGCTTTTATGTTTTAGTCAACCGTGTCTTGCATTCTGATGGACAATGTGAAGGAATCACATGCGGGCATTCCCTACTACAGAGACTAGAGGGAGGATGAGAGAAAGGCGCCTCCAAGTGGTACCCGGCGGGATGGCGCCTTTGCTGGAGAGACGCTGTCCTGCATCTAGCTCTCCAGCACCCAGCGGAAGCCACCGCGAGGAGACTGGAGGAGCCTTCAGCACACGCCAAGTATAAAACAGCAATAGGAGGCGGAAAACTCCCCACCCTGTGTCTTAGCGGGGAGAGAGGGGGGAATGAACAAATCCACAAAGATGTCCCTGGAAGGATAACGCCTCGCTCTAAGCAAAAAGATACCATTAGCGATACTCTTACTGCCTTATTGTAACTGAAGACGAATAAGAAATCTTTCCATGAAACACCAGTGACTTCTCAGGAAAACATTACAAGCAGCAAAGAAACTTCGTGGACACCTGCTTAGCTGAGACCCAGGAGTGGCTCACTGCGTTGATGTGAGCGCTGTGCTTCGGTTTCTGCTCTTCGTGGAAACAGATGTGGGACAAAAGACCCGAAGGCCAACCCAGTGGGATGTGGAATACTTTGACTTTGGAACTCTCGCGTAACTGAGGTCATGATGGCTCCTCTGCCTTTCCCCGTTCCCCTACACGCTTTCTGCCATTTCCATGATTTACGGCAATGGTTTTTCCAGTATGTGACATTTTCCTTCCTGTTTTTCAGGTATATCAAAGAGTTTACATGTTCCAATTCACATTTTTACATCTGAGACGGGTTTTTTAAGTTCATAATTATGAAAGAAATATGTATATTGAGCTTGGGGAAATAAAAATGGCCTTTTCTTAAATTATTATTATTGGTAATACAACCTCTTCATTAAATGACAATGTAGCATGAAAAACGTTAGGATTGAAATGTAGTTTTCATTCCATATTAAAATGCAGTTTCTGAGAAGAAGCATTGAATGGGCTAGAATATGTCAAAAAAAAATGATCCTGTGTAGTTTGGGTTCAGGGCTGACTTAAAATAAAGCACATCTTGCAAAGTCATTTAAAGGATACTCTTTCTTCTGCCTGTTTGCATGGAATAGGAAGTTATTCTTTTCAACATAGTGTGCAAAGAGTTAAGGAATCAACTCAATGGGGCTGGCATTGTGGCATAGCAGGTAAAGCCACATCCCATATGGGAAAATAGCGGAAGATGGCCCAAGTGCTTGGGCCTCTGAACCAACATGGGAGATTGGAAGAAGTTCCTGACTCCTGGCTTCAGCCTGGTCCAGCTCCTGCTATTATGGCCATTTGTAGGAGTGAACCAGTGAATGAAAGATCTCGATCTCTCTCTCGATCTCTCTCTCTCTTTCTCTCTCTCTCTCAAACAGTGAATAGAAATTCCTCCTCCTCTCTCTTTGTCTCTCATCCGTGTGTGTATCTCTGCATCTCAAATAAATAAAATAAACTGATAAGCCTTAAAAATCAGCCAGGAATTTTCAGGATGCAAACTAACACATTTGAGGAAATGTAGACATGGGAAAGCGCTCATCAAACGAAAGTGTAAAGGCTCAAGTTTACCAGGACTGAATATCCCACAAAAAATAAATAAATAAAAATCCAGGGTTTAAGAAAGAAACTCCAGGTGTGTCCGAGAGGGAAATTCTGCAGGGAGGCCCTAATTCCAGGAAGGTCTATGCTGGCATGGGAGTCACACAGAGAATGAGGAAGCCGACCTCTGATCCAGGCTTGGTCACTGTCGAGCTGGGACACGCGGGCAGCAGGAGCTTCCCCAAGCCTTGGTTATCTGACCCCAGAGGATCTCAAGCTTTAGCCAACAGCTCGCTGAGCCTCAGAGGACACTTGTCCCACTCAGTGGTCTGCCTCCTCTCTAAGGCAGCCTGTTCCCTTAGGCTGGGCTGTCTGGAGATAGACCAGGAAGTGGGGTCACTGGAGGACATTTTGGGGAGTGACTCTGGTGGTCACATTGGTGAGTGGGAAAGGCAGGACCAGGCAGAGGGAGCGCTGGGGCCTTGGCTTGGTGGGAGTTCCACTGGCTCAGTTTGGAGAGTTCCCAGGCCCAGGGAACCCCTAAAGGCTGTGCTTCTGTCCCCTGCCCTCACCTACAAACAGGTACAAAATCCAGGGGGACCGTTTGCCGATGTCCAGGAAGTTGATACCTGTGTGAGTAGCCAGACCATCCAGTGTATCTCCCTTGTCCCTCTGGCCTGGGAGTGGCTCCCACCATGTCTAGTCCATCTTGTGGATTTGGGGGTAGGGGTGGGGTATCCTGGCTAGCCCAGTTCTCCTCTGGGCTTGCTTTACTGGGGGTGGGGAACAGGGACTGCTTGTTCCATGAACTCCTTGTTCAGCAGGAACCGATGTTCCGTGCTGCCATTTCCTCCAGCCACCCAGGGCCCTCCAGTCACAATGTTTAAACATAGTCTTTCACACCGGAAGAGTGTGTGTAGCTTCAGAATTAGAGATGAAATTTAAATTACACTGGCCTGGTTAAGGTCATTATTTATTTGGCAGGAAAGGTCTTTGGTACAGCCAGGGTGCACAAATGATTATTTCTGAGGACCTACATTGTTTTGTGTAGGAAGTATTTGTTTTCTAAAAAAATAGAACATTATTCCGAATTAAAGTGTTATTTTAAGACATAGGTATCTGTGGTTGAGTTTCTGAATACTTTTAGGGATCAACTTTGCCTACAGCTTAGATTTCATAGCATCTTCAGAGTGGCTGATCATTTCCCCTGTTGTCGATTTGCTTTCTAGTTTGTAAATGTCAGTTTGTGTCTGTATTAGTCTGATTCTCATGGCATTAACGAGAGGGCTTGTACCCACCCATGCTTCATAACCACCAGAGCTCATCCTACTCCCAGATGCCTTATGAAGACAGAAAAGGGGAATACCTGCAAGCTGGAAGATCATTTCAAAGTAACAGTTTTTGCATATGAAAATTAAGTATTGAGAACACCACTATCAGTTATAAAATGCTTATGTGTTCCCAGTCTACTCTTACATGCCAGACCTTCTTTTCCATGTGTATTTGCATGTAGACTCAGTGTTAGGACCCAAGGACTGATTGGTCTAGATGAGAATATTAGTTTACCTGAGAAGTCTGGGGATCTGAACACTAGGTGTCATGATTTCTGCGGGTGTCTCTTATTGAATAGAAGCCACCAGGTAAAATAAACAAATGTTGATCATCTGGATTAGAGCCCTTCAGTCCGGCCAGAGTGTGGCTTAGCCTGGCCTTGTACCCCCAGAGGATGTCCTCAGGGAGACGACAGAACCTAGGCAGTGCCTGTGGGATGTACTTAGACTTGGGGGAGATACATCATTGCTTTAGGCTGTGGAAGTTGATGAGCAGGTCCTTCTGTTGTCTGTTACGCTTTTATTTCTAGGCCTATCTCCTTAACTGCCCTGCAAAAAGCCTTATCATTTTTACAGTTGTAGTCTAGTGGCAGGTTACTGGTCTACAGTCTAGTAACAAAACCCGGTGAAATCCCACAGGTTGTGTGTGCTGGAATTGGTCTTACCGAGAGGATAAAACCCTTGGCAATTTGTAGCTCAAGCTACTTCAGTGTTTTTCAAATGATTCCATTTTTGATTCCTTTGTGATCTTTCTGGAACCAGAATGTTTGAGATTCATAATGGGTATAGTCATTGAATAAGAAAATAAGCATTTTCTTCACGATAAAGCTGAATGTGATCAGGCTTTTAACAGCTACCACAGTGCCATCACAGCTGCAGGAATTGTGGCTGCAGTGTGATGTGCTGGTTCTCTGCCTTATATGCACGCCAGGCACACTGGATCGCAGCTCCAGGCTTCTCTGTAGGGCGTCTGAACCTCCCTGGAGCCCTGCAAGGGCCACGGTCATAAGATGTGAGCTAGAAATGGCAGTGAAGGAGCTGGTCGCTCGTGCGAGCCTGAGCCTGTGTGCTGTCATCCTGCTTGTTCATGCACTTCAGACAACACAACAAGCTAGAAAGAGGTGGGCAGGGGTGAAATGTCCCTGCAGACTGTCCAGGCAGCCGTGGAGGAGGGGCAGTCACCCAAAGGAGTGACCTTCTCACTGACCCATCATGGATCAGACTACCCAGGCCACACTCAGAGACCAAGGTACACTCTGGGAAGGGTTAAGGCCCCCAAGGCCTGAGAGTCAAGCCTTGCTGAAAGTACTGTTGATTGAGCCTTCCTGGACAGAATGGAATGGGAATTTGTGAAACTGCGGAAGCAAAAGTTCCTAGTTATCCAAGACACTAAAACGTGGCCAGCCCTTCAGTGCTCATCTTCTACATACATGTCTGCATATTTTTTTCAAAATGTTCCTTAAGTTCCTGTTGAGAATGCCAGTCTGAAGTCTGAAAGAGTTCACCCACACAGGGAGGCAGAGCACGGTGCTGTGGGGTGGTGTTGACCCTGGGGAGCAGAGGCAGAACAGTGCAGCCCCCTGCTATCCCAGTGCATGACCTCTGGGTCACACTGGCTGCTCTTCACTAAGACCAGTCCTCAGGACTCTCATGAAGCAATTGTTACAGGCACAGTTTGAGTAGAAGTAGAGAACCAACGTGGATACAGTGGTTGAAATAGCTAAGTTGGGAGGGGAGAGGGTCAATCTGTTATGACTCCACAAACATCTTGCTTTATTAGTTGAAGTGTTCATAAATTTTCTTAGAAGTATTTAAATAATTGAAGATACTAGCAAGAGAAAAATGCAATCAAAACACCAATGGGGCCATTTGTTTTCCTACAGAGAATTCTAATATCCAGAGTTGCAAAGATAAGGAGAGAAATGAGCGTTCTCTTATCCTGCCTGTGACGTAAAATTCTGCATCTTTTCTGGATGGGTATGCCATGTGTCAATGACTGTCATAACAGAACTTCCTGTTAGATCTGGTGACTCCACTTCTGAGATTTTCTCCAAAGAAAATGAACAGATATGCCTACAAACAGACATCTCCAAATATGTTCATCTGAGTATTGTTTACAATATCTAATAACAGTGAAAAAATGTCCTAAAAGAGAGGATTACATCACAGCACAGCCACTAAAATCAAGATATACACCTACATTTGTTGGCTTGGAGCTATGTTTTCAACATATCATTAAATTTTTAAAAGGGTTACAAAAAGCGTTTACAGTTTATATTTCTTTAGTCAATACAGACTGTATATTTCTGTCCAAAGTGCTTGAGACCAGAAGTTTTTCAGACTTCAAAGCATTTTGAATTTTATAATATTCACATAGACTACATTTTTCTGTTTGCTCATCTCTAGCTCAAAAATCCAAAATCCAAAATGCTCTAAAACCCAACATGACACTCAAAAAGTTTCAGATTTGGGAGCATCTCAGATTGCAAAGTTTTGGATTTGTACATGTAAATAATAGCTCTAGTGTATTCATTAAGTTCTTGCATGTCAGCCACTAGGGAACTTTACAGAGTTTTTATGTATTTAGTCGTTCCCCAAATTTTATCCTGGTTAAAGAAACAGAGCCACCAAGGAGCTAGCTAATTTGCCCAGTGTGAACTTGCTGGCAAATGACACACCAGGTGCTGAGTCCAGCGGTAACCCCAGGGTCTGAGCTCCACGCCAACAGGTGCCTACTAGTGTTGGGATTTAGAATGGTTTTTTCTTTGATTTCTGCACAGGCTTTTATGAATGCCCCTACAGCAAATGTGAATCCTGTGTACAACATTACATGCAAAAGAATTATCATTAGAGTAAGGGGAAATTTTTAATGGGTTGGGGTGAGATTTTCCCTAATGTACCCCCTTCCTCCTGCTAATGTTTATTCCACACATTCACATTTCCATTTCTCCTTCCTCCAGGGAAGGCAGTAACAGCAACAAAACAGGGTGTGAGGCAGGAAGGGCTACAACTCCATGGCCTTCATGTTTTAGCAAGCTCAGCTCCATGCTGCAATTAGAAGGAAGCCTTCCATGTCCACTGCAACCACATCGCTAGGGTTTCAGAAAGAACTCGGGACAACTTTTGGCCTTCCTTGGCCTGTCAGACCTTGTCCCCATCTTACCCATCTCACAGATGTTT